ACGAGGCAGGCCACGCAGAAGACAGTGCATACTTCCTTACTCCACTGAGGACTTTGCAGAATCAGACTCCAAGGTGGTGGAAAAGTATATGCACCATGCATGATATCACACAGTGCGGCGGTTTTGGCGCCGTGATCTGGAGGATTCGAGACGAATCATTTGCCCGGGAGCAGGATCATGAGCGTCAACAACCCCTCAGCTAACCGCTCTGTCAGCGACTATCGAATGACAAGAAAAGCAAAGACTTGCAGCTCTGCTACTACTGCCTAAGCTTGAGTTTGTGACGAATTTTGACCGGGGGGGCGAGATCTGATTGCATTTTTTGTTGGTTGAGGATAGGATCATGCGTGTATTCATTAGTTGGCGCTTTGGTTTCGATTGCGGGATTCCCTACATCAGGTAGATGGGTGTGTATGACGGACCTAGGGAGGGTTGGAAGTCGATCCTATCCGCTGACTGTACGTACTATGTCCTGTTCGCCAGCCTGGTGAATGTTACTATTCTGGTACACTACCTGCAGAAGCTAGGCAGTCTTAATTACAGGATGTGATATTTTTAGCAAGATCAATATCATATCGGCTTCAACGCTATGAGTTGGTGTATATATCTACTTGAAGAATGCTTAAATGTTCATGCCGTAAGATCATTCTCTCGGCCTGTACTCAATCTCAGACCTCTGCTGTTACTTGCTACAGATGAATTGTCTCAGATTGTTATGTTGAGGCAGGCGGCATGGTTAATCAACCACAAACCCTCGATACGCTCTGAGCAGTTCACCTGAAGTTCTTGCTTTGTCTTGGGCAATTGGATCACATAGAGGCATCCCCTGTCCATCACAGAACAAAGAGATTGTGTGGTCTTCTTGGGTTTTCTGGTCTTCCTGGGATCTCAAGGCTTGGGTTCTGTATCTGCTCTCCCAGTGGTCAGAGTGTAGCGCTGATTCTATTATTAGATGACCTTTGCAATCTTTCACTTGATAATATGCATACTCGTCACGTCAAGAGCTCCTGGCATTCTCTGAACAGTCGACATCAATTGTTAAGGCGGTTATCTCAGGACGCCATTCATGATGCTGATGCACATCTTCAGCTCTAGCATGCTGCGTACACCAGTCCCTCACTTCTTCTGGCTCCGAGATACACGAACTGCCTCTCAGCTAGGATCTCAGATGTCCATGACAGCTGCACCCAGATTAGAACGTCCCCTGCTTAATGAGAGGGGTTTTTGTTCATGATAGGTCAAGCGCTCTCCCCTGCATGATGATTCCTTCACCATCATCCATCTGCAACAGCCAGTTATTCATGCCCCGGCTGTACATGACGGCCATCTTCTCACTTCTATAGTGATCATTCTCCTGTATCCACTTGATTCGTCTTTCTAACTGTCCTGTAGGGTCATTTGTATGGTATTGTACTGTGCAAGACGCTGGTTCACCATGACAACATTGAGTTTGGACAATTCAGACATGCAATTATGCTTATTATGCTCGCAGGACGTGGAATACACAGATCTGACCAGGTACGAGATTGTTCTGCATCTCTCTTGTCGGTCATTGCACAGATCTTGAACTCGACGATAGCGATCAGCGGCGGACTATGTGTATACATACCTTGGCGAACAACTATTTGCGGACAAAACCGTCAATGCTATTCAGGTAAGTGAGCTACCCAAGTATACTATTGTATACCCCCAGCAGACCGGATCAGGTCAAACCAGCTGTAAAGAGTAGCACGAGGGGCAAAGTGTGCCGTAGTACATCATCAGGCGCCAAGCCGTTGTTGTGGCCTTGCAGGCTATAATTCTATATTTAGAAGAGTGGCCAAGAAGACCCCTCAAAAGATATGCGGCCTTTCGCGTTCGGACGAGTCCTGTCAAACGTCGCAGTTCGGAGACATCTGGGCCATTTGACGTTAGCCATCGAATCGTATCACGGCTTTCGACTGGACAATACGAACGGATAAAGAAGCATGGCCATCAACTAGGCTGGGATTTGCAGCCCCTCCGCAATCCCGTGATCGACCACTTTCTCTGTCTGTCGGTCTGTCTGTTGTCCTTTGCACTCTCGCACTTTACTTCCCGTCTCTGGACGTACCTTTCAGTTTCTCAGCCTAGCTGTCCATCGGTCTCTGTCATCTCTCCCTACGCGCCGGCCATCCATCCTCTTGAAGGCAAGGGGGACGAAAATTAAGCAAACACGATTTGCCTTTTCCAGGACTCCTTACCCCCCTTTGCTTAGCGCCCTGCTATCTTCATCCCACAAAAGTATAGTCTAGCCATGTCTCACGCCCTCTCCCCTCCATTCACTCCGGACAGTGAGTTCGCTGGTCTAGAGACACCCCGCGTGCCATCTGAGAGCTTGAGCATCACGGCGCTGGCCCGCTTCGAGTTCGAGGCTGGAAAAGGAAATGATGGCACTAAGATTCTCATGATCGAATGGGATGACGACGACCTCGGCCGCTCGTCGAATTGCCCTGGAGGCTCATGGCACGTTTCATGGGAGGGCAAGACGATGGTCCTCCCTGCCGATGAGCGAACAAGCGAAAACACTCGCCGCTTCTACTTCCTTTTACCGCCTCATGCCACCATTCCTCCCGTGGTGACCTTATCCTACGAGCCTCCCGCCGCATCTTCGGCATCTTCGACACCGACTCAGAAGACCAATTCGCTTCAACTGAACCCGCTGCCTGCTATCTTTCCTCCGGAGTTAGGTGCCACTGGTCGCTCGGCCGGAAAGAAGGGTGTCTTGCATACGATCTGGGCAAAGAAGCGGCTGCAGGTCCTGGACAAGGAGATTCGGGAGGAATGCATGAACAACGCGGAAGGTGTCGCGCTGCACATGGCGCTGCAGGAGAAGGAATGGATTGAGAGCAATTTCGGAGTGGGATCCAAGTCGGAAGCCCAGACACAGACCATGCAAGATTCGCAATATCCAATGGGTCCCGCTACGCCAGTGTCTCCCACCAGCGGTGGTAAGCTGGGCGAGAAGCTCAAGGGACTCAAGTTGCAGACCAGTCAGCGGGAATTGTCCCCAAAGACGGATGGTATGGGCTCGTCGCGTTCCTCCAGTTCGACGCCAACTAATGGGGTAGTAGCATCCTCGGACGCGCGCCATCTCCTTTCTCCCCAATCGCCCGACGTGGCCGTCTCTTCGTTCAACTCCTTCCACACAATGCAACCCATGTCCAACGCCGCTTTGCATCCCTCCCCCGCGCCAGATGCCAGCCTTCGGACGGTGGTGCACTATCCGCCGGAATCCATCCAAGCACAACAAAACAGCAGTGATCACAACAGCGGATTTGCATCCATGACTACAATTACGCGCACATCAAGCGCCGACTCTGGCGAGGACCTATTCGCCAAAGCGCTGAGTCCCAGGTCGCCCGATCTGCCGCGGAGTCCGTTCTCGTTTGCTCCCGAGACAGTGATCTGATTGCATCCACTCATTTGTCATGATGCCCACGTTCGTTCTGCAAGCCCAAGCGCCACCAAGGTTTGCTGGGTGCTTCATCGTATGATTCCCCTTTTGCATTGCCATGATGTTTATATATGATCATCACGAAACATTGTCAAGGCTTAGGTGCTTGGTTTTTTTGCTTTTATCATGTACATAGAACTAGCCCAAGTAGATATAGCCATGACCCGCATACTTTTGATACCATACCTCATCCATCGCCCATCAGCCTTCCGTACGCAACATACCACCCATACATAACATCAAACTGCAATACACCGAGTCGAGTCATACCAACTCGACCCGAGACAGAGGAAACTAAACCTAGTTACTCTTCTTCTTCACACTCCCCTGCCTGCCAGGCTTCGCGGCCGCCGCAGCCCCCGACGCTGACGAAGAAGAAGCACCACCACCATCCTTATGCCCCTTCCTCAACGACTCATACTCCTGCGCATCCTTCCGCTCCGCATACCACTGCCCCGCCTGCAGCACCAACACCCCCACCAACACCAACGCCAGAATAGTATTACTAGCCGACAACACCTTAAGCGAGTCCTCGCGGTTCAGAATCTGGTCTTTCTCCTCGGGGCTGGCCGCCAGCTCCTCACCGTACTTGCCCGCCGAGGCCAGACGCAGCCCCTTGACGATATTGGCGATGTAGACGGTGATGCCGCACATGTAGAGGACGAGCGAGGCGCCGTCGAAGAGCATGTTGCTCTCCGAGGGCCGGTAGAGTTTGGAGACGAGGCCTGCCAGACCCAGAAAGATGACGATGTGGAGGATGCGAGGGATTAGGGGCGGGGAGGCGTGCAGGAAGCGCAGGTGCGCTTCGAGGTAGTCGTAGTGGGCTGGGGGTGTGGGGGCCGTGGACCACAGGATGGGGTAGTCATAGGGGAAGAGGGAGAAGATGATGCCGAGGAAGAAGCTGACGGCTGTTTTTGGAGTCTTGTTAGAATGGTTGTTTTGTGAGGTGTCTTCCAGGAGGTGATGGGGGGGGCTTACGACACACGATCAGGAAGGTCGCGAAGGACCCGTTCCTGAAGGCCATGGTTGCTTGCGATTGAGAAGCACTGAAAAGGATTATTGACGGAAGAGGACACGGCAGAAAAGATGAGGTAGGAAAAGGAGAAGACGAGGGCGAATGGCTGGTGAGATGAGACGAAGATAGGTGTCGTCGCGTGGCCGCTTAGAGACGGTGCCAAGCCAGCCCGCTTGGAACGCACACCTATTGCAATTGGAAGTAACCTTGGTTAATGTGACAGTTATCTATCTGCCTATCGGCTCGTGGTGAGTCTTTTATCGCTGATAAAAGTCAATTATGAAAGTTCTATTTTATACGGGTCTGGCCCGTCAAATAGTGCACAATTGTTGCTATCTGCAAGTAGCGACAGTGCTACACAAATAAATCAATCAATAACGTAGTTGGTATCTCTTCGGACCGAAAATGCAAGATAAAGGTATATCCACGCCCATGCTCAAGTGGCAGATGAACACAAATACAAGCTATGAAAATCGTACATCGTCATGAATCGCCTAACAGCTTCACTTCTTATCGCTGGTAACGCGGTAATGACTCGTCTCCGTGCGCTGCTCCTCCCACCAGTTGCTCGTCGTGGTCATCATGGAAAACCGGAGCACTGGGTCCATGGACGGTGGAGTTGTCGTTATCGGCATCCATGTCTTCTGGAGCACTTGCTTCCATCATCAGTCGCTGTCGCTCCAATTCCTGCTTGTCCTCGCCGGGGGGTGCTGTGCTTCCATTCGGTTCGGCTGCACTGCTGCTGGCAACTACAGTCTGCACCGATTCCGCTGATCCCAACGTGTGAGGCAGGCCGTTCTCCACCGGCGACGGTAAATGATGATAATCGTTGATGTGGTCATCTTCAGGAAGCACGGGCGCAGTTGGCATTGCCAAATGACCGGTCGAAGGTCCTGGCTCAGAATCATCCGGCGGCCGACTGGGTAAGAGAGTCTGCTCAGCGTGCCGCAGGCGCGCTTTCTCATCCGTCGGCTCTTCAGACTGCGGTGTTGCAACCATTCCGCCTAACGATTGGTAGTGCTGAGCGGTTTCGTCCTCATACATTGGCCACTGCGACTCATCAGGAAAGCCGTAGTCGGTCTGAGGCAGATACTCCGAGTTCGTGGTCGGCATCGGGCTATAACCGTTCTGCCAGTGGTCACTTTCCACAGCGGGATGTGCCTGGGGTGGATATATGTCAGACACCGCAGCCACAGAGGGCGTGCGTTCGGTTTTCTCCTTGCGCCGTTGCGAGTCACGGGTCCCGATCACAACCTCAAACGCGACAGCTACAACTCCCTTTTCACGGCGTATCTGAGCCGTGTCTAGGATGTTGCCAGCCCAGTTCGTGGTAATTGAGTTGCCATTGGCGTCACTTGGGTTCAGAACCTGGCCACTCGGCGAGAAATTACTCCCGGACGATACCATATTGAACCGTGGTAAAAAGCGCTCGGGAGACGTGAGCTTGCCCCGCAAGTCGACAACCACCTCCACATAGTATCGAAAATTAATCATACTGCCTGGAGTGCGCGTAATAGTAGGAAAAACATCCTCCGGAATGCGGATTGAAGTCTTCACCACGGCAGTCATGTTCGTGGGGTCGACCACCAAAGGCGCAAACGTCTGAGCCAGGTCTTTCCGGAAGACGCTGCTGGTGCGACTAGTGCCTAACGTAAGGCCTCCCAGCCCTGTCCGTGATCGCGGATAGTAGTCCTCGTAAACGGGCTTTTTGCCATTCGCCGTAGTGCCGATCGGGATGGCAGGATGAAGGTCGATGCGCCCTTGACGGTATAACGTGACGATAATTCCATGCGCGCTGCGCACTTGTTTACAATGATTGATGGTGATGACGATCGGTAGCGTCTCACCCGGCAGCACACCAGCCCGTAAAAGTTCCGTTTTCGCCGTGATGGTCTTATCCGCGATCGAAGGGGTGATGCTGCCATTGCGTACCCCGGTGCCAGCAGACGAACTAGGGTCACTGACCAGTTGAAAGCTTTGGCTGCTGTTGCTGAGCCGACTCGACGAGCTGACATTACTGGGGGCCGGACTAAGGGGCGGGCGATTATCTCCGACCGCTCCACTACCATTGAGAGACGGCTCCCGAGACTGGACATCCGCAGCCGCATCAGATTCTACTGACTTGGCCTTGCCCTTGGGTTTTGAGCGTTTGGTAACAGGTTCAAGGGTCACGATGCGAGCCTTGGGGGCCGGAAAGGGTGCAATATCGATGTTCTCTAGGAAATTGACGCGTCTTCGGCAGGAAACAGTCGGGTTCATCGTCGTGGGTTTGGTTAGGGTGGATGTAAGCATATACGAGATAGTACCTCGTTCAAACTGAAGTCATCAGAAATGGTTAGCAAAACTGGACGCTCGTGATATGGAGATCAATTCCAGAACAGGAAGGAAGTCACGCACGCTGATACTACTGGGCAGCGCATAAGGCGGGAAGCACATTTCAAAGCGAAATTTGTAGATGCCCTCCTTCAGACGCCCATCGCCGCAGAGAACCACCTCATCCTCGAACAGGGTGGCTAAGCCATTGCCCAAATACTCTGGTCCCCGACGCCCGCGCCCTGGGCCGAGGAAACCCAGATCAGGATCCGTCTCGCCCGAAGGCACCGTGTTCTTGAACACCTTGACATATCCATGTAGACAGACCACTAAGTGTGTAATCCGCACGGGTCGAACCACGGTCAGGGCCACAGTGCCCTTGACCACATCACCGGGAAAGTACGAGCGCCAGGGGTCGTCAGGCTCGATGTAATAGTCGGCAATGCTGCGATTCCGGTGACCGAACGGCGCGCGGAACTTGGACAATAGCGAGCTTCGATTCCGACCGAGCGGCGAGGGTGCGGATGGGGAGGTAAAGGACTTGACGGACATGACACACAATCACGCTGTGCTCAAGCCATACAAGAGGGAGATATGAAGTGATATGATGTTGGGAACGATTAGGGAAGTGAAGGGGCAAAGAAGAGAAAGACAGAATGAGACGGATTGCCAGATTGAAGACTATCAGAAGCCAGCTCCGATCGTCTCGGGATAGAATAGCCCCGATTCAGGTGACGAAAATAGATGAAGGTGCGGTCAGACGCAGAGCAACTCGGTATGACAGAGGCCTGAAAACTCTCCGTGAATTGGAATCCACCGATCACACGTCCAGGCGCCGGGAAGTTCAGGTAAGAAATGCCACCAGCCCCGATGTCACCGTTGGGCGCAAATGCACCACCTTGACACAAGCTAAAGATCCAGGCTTGTTTCTAGTCCGAACTCCTCGCGGGGAGGGGAAGATCCGCTTCCTAGCGCAACCAGACCGGAGGGACAGACTGCGTAGGTTGTGAGGGACGTCAGGAGCTGATGATCATGGACGACGGAGAGGGCCGCATCGTTATTTCTCGCGTGTCGACCAGGAACAACAGGACAAGGGTACAGAGAATGCTTATCTGCGAGGTATGATCGAGTAAGCACTACGCAGAATGACCGAAAATGGCAGAGGTGAGACAAGCGTGCGATGCGTAGGTGTTCCCCCACGGTCGGCAAGGGATAGATGGGTAGAGGATGTGAGTCGGTCGAGGCCAAAGGAAGAGGGGAGAACCGTCGGTCGGAGGATGCGGACTCGGATGGAGTTGATTGAGAGACGCAGATTGGGCAGAAGGAGGTTATGGGGGGGAACCGGAGACAGTTGGGTGGGGATATCCGATCGCTTGTGACGGTAAAGTAAGCTTGTAAGTGGTAGATAGATAGATAGATAGATATAGAATTAATATAATATAAGGTAGGAGGAGGTTGAACAAAGAAGTGTACAGCAGCAGGATTGAGAAGGGGGGAGGGGGGACAAGTTCGCGATAAGCAACAAGCCCGACCAGGCGGAGAATGGTAAAGACCAACGAGTTTGCGCTGTCTGACAGTCAAGCTTCTCTTGGGGGCTGGACTATTTGGCCTTAGTTTGAGACAGTTCTCGTGTCTCACTGTTATGATTTATGCCTCCACATGCTCCTGCTGGTGGTGATACCTCACATTTGTCGGTTTTAATCTCCGATTGTGATCCATTTCAGGGACTACGTACAGTTTAGTCTAGTAGATACAGCACACTTTTCTCCCTCGTCAAGTATGAAATCATAAATTCTGGTGTGTCTAAATATTCAGCTCACTCAAACCCTCACCCTCCACATACTCATCCCCATAGCATTCTCTCTGCACCGCCGCAATAATTTCCCGATCCCCTCCTGCCAGCTTACTCAAGTACCCCTCCAGCACGTAGATATTATCCGTCCACATAAGCGCTTGTTTCCGGAACTCCTCAATCTCCTCTCTCATTTGCTGCGCTCCTTTGCCTTCTTCCGTCGTAGTAACTGCTATCCACTGAGCTTGCAGCCGGTTCCTCTGCTTTTCTAGCTCGCCCTTTCGACGCGTCAACTCTTCCCTCTCTGCCAGGTTTGATTCCCCGTCCTCTCCCTCTTCTTCCAATTTGTCCCTTTTGGCCGTCAGACTAGCCTCTGCTTCGTCATAGCTCGCTTGCAGCGTCTTCACCTCTTTCTCGAGCTGGTTCAATCGTGCTTGCTTCTCTCTTTTCTCATCCCCACCAAAACACCAGTACCAGTTGCCGCTTCCGATCTTCTCCACCCTGATCTTTCCCTCGTCCGTCAGGTTCTGAATATATTCCTTGACCTGCATCCCATTGATCGAAGCCACCGAGGGAAGCATCTTCTCGAGGTCTTTGAGCGTGTGGCACGTGCGTGTGGACCGGAGATGCGAAACTATCAAGTCTTCTTTGGCGCTTTTAGAGAGTTTCGGTGGCTGAGACAGGATCGTCAGTCAGCTAACTTGTAGAAACGTAGTTTGCTTCCTTTTAATTGCATATGCATCCGTTTTGGACGATCAGGGAAAGTGAGAGTCGGGGAGCAAACCATGTTGGATGTTGGATATTGACTTCGTCAAGCGATGCAATGTGTACTTTTCTAAGGACCTAGGAAGGCGTTCGATAGCGGCATAGATGAAGCCTGAGTCTTTCGGAGATGGATTAATGGAGGTATGGTGGACTGGTCTGAGTGGTGATGGTAAAGAACTTGTTGTCAATGGCACGAGAGAGGACCGGAGTACTGCGATGCCAGTTCGAGTCACATACAACAGTTCTTCAGTCACAAGTATACAGTGCAGTATGCTATGCAATAAAACAGCGAGAATTCAAATTGCTACTACATATAATGAACTCTTAATGCAGTCTTCTAACGCTCGAAAATCTTCAGGAAATTGCTGTAACGGGAAGACCGGAGCTTCACTTGCGACGTTCATTGTAGTTGCGAGCTGTTTAATATGCCCAGTTGTTTCTCTAATACTGTCAATTAATAGGTTCAACACTGCTCCTGTGCATTGATCGCCAGACTAGGCTTCTCTGCTTCTCGGCTGTCTTTGAACTTAAAGAGTTATCGACGTGCTATAACAGACAGGTTTCACCATGAAGTCCAACTACTGTCTTGAATTGGGCTCTCATAAAGCGTCGACGAGGTGCCCTCGCAAGAATGAGTCTGAGTTCACAACCTCTCATCTGCTTCTGTATCAAAATCGGTAGTCGACGCCCTCCGGGTCAACTTGCGCTTCTTCGACCGTCGCTTTCTCACAACGCTATCCAGATCATTGCCAGAGCTTGCCAAAATCATACTCTGGCTGGTATTGGCCCGTTTCCGACCTACGCGGCGACTTCCAAGTCTCGACGACAGGTGATCATCATCCGTCGAGAGTTCCTCTCCCTCCACCAGAACCAAGTCTCCGGTTTCACCCAGAGCCTCTCGCGCCATTTCCTCCATCAGTATTCCCATTGCAATCAGAGCTGTCTCGTCCATGCTTTGGTAGTCGTCTTGACCACGATCGATCGTTGCATGATCATAGAAATCGGCCGTGTAGGCGTGAATAGCTTCTAGCAGCTCAGAGCTCGGAAGAGGGCGGTCAGCAGGGAGGGACTCGTTTGCGAAGTAAAAGTCATTTTCTTCGTATCGTACTGGCGCATTCTGACGGCGGAAGAGTACCTCCTCGGGACGAACGGGACGAGCGCTGGAGGATGCTGTGTCGCGGTGTTTCGAGGCATACGAGACCGATGGGAGGAAACCATGTGCATTCACACGACCTGTACGTGTCAGTAAGCTCTCCAGAAAGCGGCACAGCCCTACCAACCAGCTACAGCATCGTAGACAGTTGCTTGACGTTTTTGTCGCCTGAGCAAAGGCTCGTCTTGAATGTCGCGCGCGCCATCGTCCTGGTCCGGAGGCTGGACGAAGGAATCCTGGCTCAGCGCAAGGGATTTGCCGTAGGACATAGTCCTGTCGTGTTGAGGGTCACCCGTGGGAGAGCATCGGGGGAAATCTTCACTAAATCTCCAACCTAGTGAGTCGAAGTCACTGATACGAGCAGTGCCAGCGGGTTGCTTTCACTTTGGCTTCTTGCGACGAGCCCGAAATTACAAACTCCGGTGCAACCTTTCTCCGCCCCCGCGTTGCGATAAGAGAGATCTGGACTGTGCATAATTGGAAGCATTGGAGTTAGTTCATAAGCATCGTCTTGAGTTATGAAAGAATTTTACATTGGTCAATGCTCGATGAATGAATTCGTATCTCCTAAACAGGGCCCTCGGGTCTATCACTCCGCACTCCTTTCATGTGGCACAAACTACCCGGCTAGTTCACCACCTGGAGCCAGCTCCTCGCATTCGATTCTCAAGCCTGAGGGACATATCTGGAGGCCAATCCGAACGTGATTCTGCATTGTCTGACGTAAATGCAGTCATTGAAAGCGATGTTGTTGCTCATAGGGCCGGCGTGAATGTACTCGCCATTGATCAAAATGATTCACGATTGTATGTACTCTTCAATCAGTTGCGACTCGATGCTAATGACTGAACAGCATGGTTTCCGGTGGCGCAGACCCATCAATCCATTTCTGGGATCTGGAAAGCAGAGGTGCCGAGTTGGATCATGTCCACCGGCCTATCGCCTCTATCCACAAGGGATCCCACGAAGATGCCCATACGCATGCGATCACGTCGGTCTCAATATACCCGTTTGATCCGACTCCATCTACAATATTGACTACTGCCCATGATGGAAGTCTTAAGCTCTCTGCCTTGGCGCCTGGCGCCATTACGCCTATGCATACATTCCGGCTTGACTGCACGCCTTACTCTCATTCCATGTCGTCGCATCCCAGTTCCACGCTTCTTATTGCAGTAGGCACATCAGAGAGAGCAGTCCGCTTGCTCGACTTGCGATCCGGTCTATCTACTCACGGACTTCCGGGCCATAGCTCTGCAGTTCTCTCAGTTGCATGGGCCCCTCACCGGCCGCATATCCTCGCCTCGGCATCAGCAGACAACCGCGTGATTCTGTTTGACGTTCGAAGGGGCGGTCACAATTCCGCCATTGCAACCCTTGATATGGATGATGCAGTCGGTCTAGTTCATCCGCAGTGCGCCCCGGCATCCTACCAAAGCCGCGCGCCGTTCTCGCCCCACGCCCGCGCGCACAATGGTGCTGTGACCGGTGTCCGTTGGACATCAACTGGCATGCACCTCGTTACAGCCGGTCAAGATGCCCGAATCCGAGTTTGGGACGCCTCCACAGGTGCCAATACCCTTGTCCACCTTGGACCCAGGGTCCGGAATGGCGTGTCTTCTCATCTTGCCGAGCGGGCTCCGCTGATTGTGCCCCGTGGACTAATGGCTCCAGGGCAAGAGACACTCCTGTGGGCCAATTTCAACGAACACGACGACCGCGGCGAGATTTTCATGTTTGAACTTCGAGAGGGGACGTTCATCAAACGTCTCAAGGTCCCCGCTCTAATGGCCGGTCGGCAGCAAATCCGCGGGCGATCCAACGCCCTCAGCGCCGCCCGGATTAATTCTCTGGTATGGCGCGGCAATGGCGGCTCAGGCGAAGGACTGGAGATGTTCTCCGCGCACGGCGACGGGACCATCCGCGCCTGGGTCTCCCGGGAGCCCGAGGGCGAGCCCGACGAGGCCGAAGAGGCTGAGCAAGCGGATCGGAAACGGAAACGAGATGTCCTTGACGAGATCTACCGGGGGTTCGTCGCCCCTTCTACGCCAGCATAGACAAGCCAAACCGATCAAACATGCATTACTCAAACATTTTCCGCAAGTATATCAATACATCACAACGAAACACAGCCCAAGTCGATACAAATCACTCATCCCGATTCCGAAACTCATGCTCCCCAATAAACTCAGGCGCATTCCCATCCTCCCTCGCCGACCGATCAAACCTACTCCGGTTGAGGTTCGCATGCTTGATCGTCCGCGCATTTCCGCGCGCACCGGGATCCATCGCACCAGGGTTAATCCTCTTCGACTCGCCCGAAACAGGGAACGCATCACCAGTCCCCGTGACGACTTCACCGCTTGCGCCCATCTCCTTGGTGCTCCGGGGCAGATCGGTGGCGTTATCGGCGGCGAAAGCCAGAGATGGCTCTGCGAGGCCGTAGTTATCGAACTGGCGGCTTTCGCTGAGCTGGTCGGGGCGAGGCACGGAGGGGAGAGTGTTTTGGAGGCCTGCGTCGTTGGGCATGGTGGTGCCGTGTTCGGCCATCTCGGTGAGGTCGCCTCCTGTGTGAGCGTCTTCGGAAGACATGTTTATTTTGTAGTTTGTTTCAAACGAGGTCTTGGTATTTGGTGTTCTCAAAGCTTTGGATGTCTGGTCAGAAACAATGAAGAGCGAGCGAAGCGAAGCTAAGGTTTTATAAACTCACTCCTCACTTGACTGTGGGGGAGAAAGACGGCAGTTGATGTCACCGTTCATCCTCGATTCGGGGATGATGGGACTATGATATCAGAAGCATGTCAACCCAGTCGGATCGCTTAGTCATAGTCATAGCTGTATGATAACTAACAGTCTACATCGATGGATATCAGACTCCAGAGAAATACTTGATCTTCGTAAAGCTAGCAGACTGGAGAAAAGTGGTGGTGATGGACGTAAGTAACATTCGGCCACAGGGACCTTGGAGGATACCAACATCGCCTACAGCAAGTAGAGACTGCCAAGGTACATTGGAATATTCTCGTTCTAAGCTTGGGAAACAAGTATCTACTCTCATCACTGGATTCAGGAAGATCCTTAGCTTCGTAAACGCTGACATCACAGCCGGACTTGACCGCAAGGTACCCAAGGACTTGATCAAGAATCAAATGACGCTGAACAATTGCCCGCTCATGTCGAGAAAGAGAGCATCTACAAGACTAAAACTCCACTACGGAAAAACTACAGTAAAGAAAGAAAGAGGAACGAAGACATCACACGTAGCATTTGCTTGGAGATTATCGTAAAGAAAAGAATACAGACAGTAGAGCGAGCGTAACAGCAAAGATCAAGTCCCAATAATATGAAAAACATTAGATAATGAAAAACGAGAGAAGAGAAGTTTAACGTGGCAACATATCGAATGTCACGACCATCAACGGCTCGAATTACAGCTTACAGCACGAAGGCAAGAACAGCCATGAGACCACACACGGCAGACACGACGCCAGCAGCGGGTGTGATGCGGCCGGCGGCGCCGGTGAACAACATACTCTGGCTAGGCGTCGGGGACGGAGCAGCGTGGTGCGTGGGTTTGACGGCCTGGCTGTGTGCCGAGGAAGGCGCGTGGTGATTGTCGTGGGCGTCAACGTCGGTGGGGCGCTGGTGGGCTCCTGACGTGCAGGAGGTCTTGTGGTTCGAGTCCATGTAGACGGGGACGACCGCGAAGGAGGAGGTGTGGCTCACTGTGATGGTGGACGTGATGGAGGTCAGGGGCTCTACCGCGGTGGCCGCGTGCTTGGGAGCTTCCTTCGGGTCAGCGTCCTGGGGTTGATGCGGTTGATACGCGGGAGCGGCAGGCTCAGGTTGGTGACCTCCGGGCCTACCCGTCGGGCAAGGAATCGCGTCGCCTTGAGGCTGGCCGTGACCAGGGCCAGCGGGAGCGCCGCCCTCAGGGTGTGCTTGAGGGTTTCCCTGAGGGGGGTACGACGGGACAGTCGGCTGGGGATGAGCTTCCACCTTCGACGTGGTGAAAGAGGGGCGGGCAGGCTCTGGCTTCTGGAAGCCAGGGTTCTCGTGGCCCTTGGGAGCCTCAACCTCGTGGGTTGGAGAAACACCAGTTGGCACGGCCTCGGCGGGATGCGTCGGCTCGAACCCATGGTTGGGGTCGGATGGAGCTTTTGGCTGAGGCACATGGGGCTGAGAATGCTCAGGCGGCCTGTACGGGGCAGCGGGCTTAGTAGCCACCGGCTTGTCTGCAAGGGTCTTGATGACGGTCTCAATGAAGGTGGATGTGCTGCATGGCTCGCTTGCTACCGGGGCCACTCCGTGAGGCGGCTCTGGGTTGCCAGCAAATGGAGGCGGAGCTGCCTGGGGAGCAGGTGCCTGAGGAGCAGGTGCCTGAGGACGAGGGGCCTCTTGGTTGCTAGCGAAAGGAGGCGGAGCTGCCTGCGGAGGGGGTGCCTGAGGACGAGGCGGCTCTGCGTTGCCAGCGAAAGGAGGCGGAGCTGCCTGGGGAGGAGTTCCCTGAGGATGAGGGGGCAGGAAAGGAGGTCCCTGAGGATGAGGGGGCTGAGGACGAGGGGGGGGCGGGGGCGGCGGAACGTGCACGATCCAGTTCTCTGCCTTCACGGAATGATCATCCACATAGTGGCTGTCGACCTTCGACGAGTAGTCGTTATCAAAGAGAAAGTCAGCATCATTCCCTTCATCATCCCCGCTGGGACCATCGAAGAAAACAGGGCCGCTGCCGCGCTTGCGGAAGCCCTTTGGCACAGCAGGTGGCGCAACGATGTGGTTCTTGATATCCACGGAATGGTCGTCCTTGTAATAATCTTCGACAGCAGATCCATAGTTGCTGTCAAACTCGACATCGGCGCTGTTGCCACCATCGTTACCGGAGGGACCTTTAATGAAGGTAATTCCGCCGTCTTTGGCAGATTTTCCAGAATCTTCGCTCGCAGCCGGCTTAGCCAGTTTATGGGAGTTTGGAGTGCCAATGTGAGAGCCTCCATCATCGCGCTTCCGGAAGCCTGGCACCGGAGGAGGGTGGAAGACAGGGGGAGGATGGATGACGGTGTTTTTGACATCAACAGAGTGGTCATCCTTATAGGCATCCTTGACACTTGAGGCATATGAGCTATCAAACTCAAAGCTAGCACTATTGCCGCCATCATCGCCAGATGGACCATCAATGAAAACAGTGTCACCGCCCTCTCGCTTGCGGAAACCCCGAACTGGTGGAGGGTGGAAGACAGGGGGAGGATGGATGACGGTGTTTTTGACATCAACAGAGTGGTCATCCTTGTAAACATCCTTGACACTTGAGTCATATGAGCTATCAAACTCAAAGCTAGCACTATTGCCGCCATCATCGCCAGATGGACCATCAAAGAAAACAGTGTCGCCGCCCTCTCTCTTGCGGAACCCCCGAACTGGTGGAGGGTGGAAAACAGGGGGAGGGTGGATGATATGGTTCTCGACGTCCACTGAATGGTCATCCTTGTAGTAGTCCTCGACACTCGACACATAGGCGCTTTCAAATTCGACCTCAGCACTGTTTCCGCCATCATCCCCGGAGGGACCACCGAAGAAGGTGGTATCACCCCCATCTCTCTTATGGAAACCCGGCACCGAGGGAGGGTGAAAGACAGGAGGCGGGTGGATGATAGTGTTCTTCACATCAACAGAGTGGTCATCCTTATAGGCATCCTTAACACTTGAAGCATATGAGCTATCGAACTCAAAGCTAGCACTGTTGCCGCCATCGTCGCCAGATGGACCACCAAAGAATGTGGTCTCACCGCCACCTCTCTTGCGGAAACCGGGAGCTGGGGGAGGGTGGACGATATGGTTGTCGATGTCGACGGAGTGGTCGTCCTTGTACGAATCCTTGACAGCGGAGGCGTACGAGCTATCAAACTCAACCTCAACACTGTTGCCGCCATCATTGCCAGATGGACCTCCGACAAGGGTTACTGAGGGATCATCTCGCCTGCGAAAGCCGTGGATTGGAGGAGGAGTAATGATGTGATTCTCCTTATCAAGGGAGTGATCGTCCTTGTACCAGTCCTCAACGTCGGAGGCATATGAACTATCAAACTCGATTTCCGCACTGTTACCGCCGTCGTTGCCGGATGGTCCTTTGAGAAAGGTCACTGCGGGATCATCTCGCTTGTGGTAACCAAGCACTGGCGGACGAGGGGGAGCGGCGGCGACCACAGTGTTATTCACATCAACGGAGTGGTCGTCCTGGTAGTTGTCCTTCACACCGGAACTGTAGCTGCTGTTGAACCCGATAGCAGCACTGTTCCCACCGTCGTCACCACTGGGGCCACCGATCAAAGTTACCGGTCCCTCCTCCTGTACCGCCTCGCCATGGCCGTTGGCGACGGCGGCGACGAGGAGGGCAAGAGGGATTCCTCCGACCAAACCCTTCATGATATCTCCTTATCGAGAATTAAACAGCTTAACGAGTGAATCTGGACTACAAGCCCAACGGAAGGAAAGACAAATGAAGAAGTGAAAAGAAAGGAACGAATTGCCGGTACCTGTGTCAGTCGTTGGAAGTTTGATATTAAGTACTTACTTCCATCGGCAAGGTTCATGCCTTTTATGAGTCTCTTTCCTACCTGTTTCGACTCGAGGCATGTAGATCATCCCCTGGTGAGCTAAACAAACAACAAGGACGTGGCCTTGTTTAGGCGTCAGGAGAATGTCGCCAGGAATGAACCACACGGTTTATCAGGTGGTGGCCGTGGGCACTGTGGCTTCGTCCGTCGAACGGAGCGCTCCGAACAGCAGTTCTGGCATTCCTGAGAGCAACGTCAACACGAGAAGGTCCAGCATCGGTATGAGTACGGAGTGCTCACTGTACTCACGATCTCATCCTAAGGGCAGCTTGGTCACCCCCTTGCAGGGCATACCGGAAGCTATCATCCCTGCGTAATTTAACACGATGCAAGAGCCTTGTGTCTTGCCAGAGGAGCCACTGATCGAATGATAGTCGCAGAAAATTTCCGACTCAGCACAATAACAACGATGTTGCCGTTGCACAGGTCTTCAACCAGAGACAAAAGACATCATAGCATCGATCGCTAACTGCAGCACGGCTTGAAACATGCAAGGTCGAGCAACCCACAAGATTGCCAGCCAAGATTACGAACATATATATAAGGCAAAGGGAAAGAAACATTCAAATATTCCAAAACCAATGTGTATTCATTCTATATCGGTATAATCTGTAAATAAGAAAAAGAGATGTCTCCCGTCATCGACATTCACCCTCCATCGCCCTCACTTAAGAGGACCCAACGGAAGGCAAACTTCCTATCAAGGAAAGCATTGTTCTCCAGAACCGAACGATCGAAAGATCGAAGGCAACACACCGCCGTGGGATAGAAAAACTGGACGATGGTCGTGGCAGGTTCTGTTAAAGCTTTTCGATGTGAGGAGAAAAAGGAAAAGAAAGGGAGCAAAGAGATCGACGCGGAATGGGCGATTTTGTAGTCGGTTTGTGGGTCACGTGCCAGTGGCCGACCGTTCTTCCGCCGCCAGGCCACAAGGCTGCCAGGCACATCCCCGGTGGATCTTCCTGATAATATGCAATCAGGCTTCTGGAAAATTGCTTAGAGACCCTTACCATCAATTTTTGTCATACTTTGATGCCAATTAATATACAGCTCGTATTCCAGAAAAAGAAACACCCAAGGAAAAAAAACAAAAGTGAAAAAGAAAAAGATTGGATCCTTCTGTACATTGGATCCTCTGCGCGGGAGGGTGGCCGGTCTAACGCCCCAATACTGCCATCGGCGCTCCCTTTGGCGTTCCCTGGACAGCCTGCTGCAGCTTCCGACCGGGGGATTCCTGGAGATGATAAAGGGGTCTGCCATGGTCAACCCGATGTGACATTGTGGGATAATGGACTCGAGCAGATGCGCGCTTGAGTCCAGCGTAGTCGGCATCAAAGGACAGAGGTCGAGTCCGCACAAGTAGACGTCTAGCACGGTGTACAATTCTAATGCTTTACCTGCGGAAACTAACGAGTCAGTGGACGAGTACAACAGCAATGTCCATCCCGTATGATAGATGCACTTACTCTTATACAATGATGGCCCCTTGTTGATGATCGGATTTCCATACTCCGCCGCCCACAGCGACGGTGATTCCCAAGGCAATTGCCACCATGCTCCCCAGCGTGACAATGGCGATGGCGGCCTTGACTATTATCCTCTGCTTCCTCGTCAAGGACTGCATGCAACCGCAACGTTTCCGCTTCTTTGTCCACAGCTTCGAGGTGCGGCAGCCCGGTACGTCCATTGATGGCTTGTAAGGTGTTTGCGATGGTGCACTTTCCAAGTCATTCATTCCATCCACAGTGCAGTTCGGCTTCTTCGTTTGAGATTTTGACTGTTCCAAGGCGAACGAGGTCGTCGCGTGTCGATAAAAGGGGGAGTATGGCTTTGCATTGGCACAGGGGTCATAGTCTTCCGGAGACCTGGGAGATTCCACGGGCGGAGCAGCGACAAGAGTCTTGGAGGAGCATGAGGGGAGTTTCTCATCCCTCCGAGAGTGAGGATTCAATTGCAGCGATGGACTCATGGCGACGAAGATGTGTAGCGAAAGAAAATATACAAGGTAAAAGCTGCGAATGAAGGGGCGACGCGGACGGGGAAGTAATGGCTTCGAAACCTCCTTCAACAGCGATGCGCCAGAGCGTAGATCAATGCTGCCAGGAAATAAACACAATCTTCAATTAACAACGCACATAAATAAGGATGCCACGTCTGATCGGGAAAGCGAAATAATATAGAGTTCTTTTTCTACCCCTCTTTCCAAAGCTTCCAAGAAGTCCAAGACCGATGTCTTGGGGCAGGGAAGGGGGTCATGCGCTGCGGCTTCCCCCATGTGTGCACCCCCCAAGTCGCTTCTCAACCAGACGAGACAATATGACCTATCAGGAACGGAACTAAAAAGCTTGGGGAACGTGCAGAAGAGAATCAGGCCAAAGTTTGTTCAGTCACTTCGGCTAAGAACAGGTTCTGTGTTTCTGATTCTAGGTTTAGGGATTGTGGAGGCATTCTTTCCGTTCCCCTGGACTACATCTTCTGGCCAACATCTCCGGTTGATTGTCCTGGTGATATGGGAAGCATGCGACAGATGCAATCGAGAAAAGGTGTCACCATGTTGCCAAGACGGTGTTCAAGTTTAGTGTCACTCTTCAGGACTAGCTTTGATGAATTGCATGCTAGACAAGCCTAAGAAAAGGAGACAGAGACCGAGTCTGGACTGCACCTCGTTTAGACTTAAGTGTTGACGTCTCCATAGTACGTCTCCATGGTCGACTAGTGATGGCAGTGGAACATGGTGCCCCTGAGCTATTACACTTTAGATCCCCCACCAGTCTTCCATAAATTTCGTTGTTCGACTCAAACCTTCTTTAAGGAGTGCTAGACTGGATTGATTGGGAGATTGTCTTGAGGTTTTCACACAATTTGTCATTGACATTGGGGCAGGAATGGTCAGTGGTGATAAGCATCAATTTACAATGGGTGCTATGCTGTACTATCAAACTATGATTATCACTGAACTAAAGATACTATTAGGGTTGCTCTGCAGATCTCTCTGAATATCATGCAATAACGTTGTAGCCTAGATAGGGGTAGACTATTTGCCACTTTGTGTCTATGTGTTGACGGCGTTGAGGCTAACTACTCCCAACAATATATATACATATATACATATATATACCGCACACGTGTCGAGTCTTAGAGAAACCTACCAACAGCCACAAGATATTGATATCCGCGTATAGTTGACTGATAATGTGATGATTCTAGCTACTAGCATAAATTGTTAAAAGTTGTTTTCATCTCTATAACAGCTAAACGTCCTATATCTTTCTACTCAAGAGTCAAGACTAGGGATCTATGAAGTCCACCACTATCTTAGACATTATAGCAGATAACAGACAGCAAACTCGTCTGCATGAGTAACGCCTCGAGTAACAAGTATTAAGCGGCTTACCGATATATCTGCTGTAGATGGTTGCTCTCAATCATATAGTAGAACCTGAACTATAACTACGGAGACATAGTCATTGTATACTACTCAACTAGACCACGCTTACAGACTGTGTGGATATGGAGTATGACAAGCGTGTACGTCCCATGCTCTAGTTTCTAGTGCATGTGTTTGGTGACTTACGGCCACTTCCTACTACCCTATCATCTACCACATTATTATACTCCGTAGATAAAGTCATATTCAGAATCCTGCCGACATCCTAAACCCAATTCTACAGATGAAATGGTAGAATCATCAAATCAACCATGTACCCTCAACACCCAAGCCAAATCAATCATGCTGTCCACGATGAGAACCAACACTTCATCACCTCACTCGTTGAATCAAGGGGTACCAGGTACGACTTTACGACTTCCCACCAATTATAATTCCCCCGTCCGACTCTGAAAGGCAACATTGTCCTCCAGCCAAGACCCCTTGATACTACACAGCTCGCAGCGGCACCTGCGCTCACCCATTCCACAAGACATTCATTCCAACGCCGCTGTCCTACTCCTCGCTGCGCGAGCGGGGCATCCTCAAATTATCGCGTTCTTTGGCTGCATTGTTTGCTTAAAATACTCTAGCGACGTGTGTTTCCTGGGAAACATGTAGCATCTCATTTCCCGTGTGTTAAGAGGCCGTCTGACGTCGACTGGACGACATCGAGAATGAGGATGGTACCGATGTACCTGGCGCTGCGATGTCCTGGCCAGAAGGGTAGTATGCGGTTGACCTTGTGCTGGGATGCATCAATTCAATTGGAGATTCTATCATTTATACTGATGTATGAGGTAATCGCAGTGCATTGCAGTAAGTGTAGGTGAGTGTCAACGGTATATCACTGTGCAACTCATGTACATACCTTGGTCGTGTGCCCAATAGCTTCTACTGGTCATTATGGCTATCAGCGTCAGTCTATAACCATACTGCCACCGATCATATATGCAGAGTAGATATCTCTACAGAAGGTGGTAGTCAAGTCTATTGCAAATGACTTGGCGATTCTTGGAATATATTCTATTCATCGATGGATTTATTGTCGACACACTGTAGAATTAGCCTTACCTAGAATATGTAGCTGCATCTACTCCGTGTATATATATATATATATATACAAACCAGCGGTACTGGAGACAACCTACGTCCAGTCCGCCTCCTCCTCGCCCAAAACTCTCTAAGATCTTCGCGTAGCAACCCTTCCAGCAAGCCAAAACCGCTGCAGACATTCGTCCAGCAATCACTACTCACATACCATCTGCGCACTCCAAAGACAGGTGACGTACTGGTGGATATATGTGCAGATAACCAATTTCTACGCGTCTGAGCTATTGGACACTACAAACCGGACAGGTCAGACGTTACGTACCGGTCTTTTTTCCAGGGACAGCGTCTTGGTTCTGCGGGACTCTGCTGTCCGACTGTACATGTTGCCAATGGCGTTCGTTCATGAGGGGCAGATATCAGATACGTCTGCTTAGATGATAATATTAACATCTGGATGGATTATAAAGAACGTCTATATTGGGTTACATTGCTATATAGCATGTATATTCGGTAGGCAATCCAAATAAGTAAAAGCACGTCCATAACACTTCCTTTTTAAACAATAGACATTAATCCCGATTACTCAGGATCGGGTCCTAACCGGGAGTATACGGTCGTCAAGCATACGGCGTCAAGCATACGGCGTCAAGCATACGGTCATCAAGCATCGTGTCCTCGCCTAAGTGCAATGAAGCTGTCCACCTTCATGGGTATGGCAGTTCTACCAACGTCAGTCATCCATCCTCTTACCGGATTAGGACTGTACTTACCGGCGGCACATCAACAGTGGCACTGGGAGTATCCGTCGGGGTAGTCGTGGCGCCAGAGCTAGAGCTAGAGCTAGACGCAGACGCAGACGCAGAAGCAGACCCGGTGTCATGTCCATGGTCATGGCCGTGGCTTTCACCAGCACATCCGACACCAGGAACCGCAATATCAAACGCATAGGCCTCAAGCGCAAAATACTGCAACGCCTCCGAGTCATGCGTGGACTCGGTCCCGTTGCTCTTGGCCAGGGCAATCACCTCGTCGTAGCCGTCGGCGTAGTGGTCGACCCGGCCCTGTCCGACGGCAGGCACATGGTACAGACGGTGCATCAGGTCCGAAGCCCAGAAGGTGTTGGTCTCGGAGCCGGCGACGGTGTAGCCCTGGGAGCACATGGAGAGGAGCCAGCGGCGGGTGGCGTAGCTACGGTCGCAGATGACGGTTTCGGAGGTGGCGTTCTCGCCGCGCCAGTGGCCGCCCCAGCCTGTTCAACATAATTAGCTGCAGGTCTAGCGAAGTAGGTATTTGGTGCCGGGGGAACCTACCTTCCAAAGCACAGTTGCCGTCTGGATTATCACACCGGAAGAGAACGTTGGCCTTGTCCCCGTTCACGATAACATCGTAGGCGCCGATGGCCTCCATGGTGGGCCGGTTGCCAAAGTACTTCCGGTAGATCTCGCTCTCGTTGCCCCAGCGGAGGATGTGGGCCTTTGCGTGCCGGGAGAGCTCGATCGCCTCGTTCAGGCCGGCCTCGATCTGCCGGCGCTGGGTGGCATTGCAGCTGGAGTGGATGGGGTAGGAGGTAACCGCGCCAGCGTCCCAGGAGAAGAAGATGGGTTCGTGGGGGTTTGCTCGCGCCGCGACGGGGGCGGGAGAGGTAGGGAGGGCGGCCACGAGGGGGGCAACGAAGGGGAGGAGAACGGCAAGGCGGAGGAGAGCAGCCATTTTGAAAGTATGATGAGCAATTGATGGTGCGTGGTAAGTTTCCAGTCAGAGGTAGGGCGTCCTTATATACCTCGAGGAAGGATTCCTTTGCGGTTCCAGAGGTACTCATTGTCTCATTGTTGGATTTGGGCCATCAGGGTATACACGCCACCGGCCCACCCCGACGTAGGTCAAGGACTCAAGCCATCGAGATGCATGGTCTTTTGTTCGTATTCTAGTGGGTTCCACAGGATGCCAAGGACACCTTGGTAGTGATCAAGCTGATTCTCGAGTCGGTCGATTCCGATAAGCTATGATCTCTGAGCTTCCGTCAGCCTTATATGATCCTGTTCGTACATGATTTGACTTGCAGTCTTGCATACAGGGACCTACATGTGCAGCCTTGAAACAGCTAATGTCCATGCCTCTGTAGTCTTGATGCATATCATAATGAAGGAAAGTACCAAGCTAAATCCCTCAACGATGCACCACGAGGTCACAACGTGATATGGATGCATGGAGCCAGCCCGCGCCAAGATTCCGGCGGAGGAGCTAAGAGTCTTGGATCGAGTACCTTGAGAGCAACAAGCACGACTCTCGATCCATTTTGCCGGGGAAAATAACTGCTTTTTCGTAGCGGTTGCGGAATTTTCCTGCTTGGCAGTCAGATTCTGCTCTTGGCCGCAGATACCTTGGGAGTTAGTGTGGTGTGTTCAAGGCGAGAGGAAAACTCTTCGCTGCCAATGGCTTAGTCCTCATCGAATGATCCATCGAGTGAATTACGATAGCCACACATTTGCTGCGTAGATAGATATAAATACCATACCACGTAACATGTAGCTACCCGACTGACCAAAACTCAAACCAATCAACCATGGCCAAAGCTCTGCTGCTGCTGTCTCTTCTGGGCCTTGCCCACGCGCAGTATGTCACTTATACGGGCTGCCACAACCACGGCAGCACCGAGTACTGCTTTGGTCCAGATGGAAAAGAAACTCCATTCCCTACGCCGACTCCGTCGGCTTCCAAGACAGTTCCTGTGACCGCCGCCGCCAGCACAACCGCCTCCGCTGACGCCTCCGCCGTGACGGGATGCCACAGCCACGGCAGCGATGTATTCTGTATCGACGGGGATGGTCACGAGGTACAAGTGATCCTGCCGTCGACACCGACGGGGGAACTGCCCGCCCAGTACACAGGCTGCCATTCGCATGGTGGAGAAACGTAAGGGTCCGTTGTATTTTGATCGACCGTAACTAACGGTAGAAGGTTCTGCATGGATCCCGAGGGAAACGACGTCCAGATTGTCGGGGAAGGAGGTTCGACAGGAGCTTCCTCTTCATCTGGCTCGAGCGAGGAATCGCACTCGGGGTCGAAAGAGGGCATGAACTGTCACTTTCACGCGGGTGTTGAGTACGTCTTCCCTCTGCCTTAGTTTCCCGCTTCTAATACTAAATCACCTAGACACTGTGTGGGCGCGGGAGAATCAGAAAGTGGAAGCAGCCAGAAATCCTGTGGTCTCCGAAACCGCGACTACGACGTCCCCCTGCGCATTGGGACCCTGTTCGTCGTGCTCGTCACCAGCTCCATCGGCGTGTTTCTGCCCATGCTCCTGGTCAAACTGCCCTCTGCCAAGATAAACGGCGTCGTCTCGACGGTGATCAAGCAGTTCGGAACGGGTGTCATCCTCTCCACTGCGTTTGTTCATGTATGTCCCTCTCCACCCAGATGACGGACGCAACTAACCGAACAGCTCTACACGCACGCCAACCTCATGTTCACGAACGAGTGTCTCGGCGAACTCGAGTACGAAGCCACCACCTCCGCCGTCGTCATGGCCGGCATCTTCCTCTCCTTTCTCTTCGAGTACATCGGCCACCGCATCATTCTCGCCCGCGGGAAGCGGTCCGCGTCACCCTGTCCCGAACATACCGGCGAAGTGTCTCCCTCATCCACAAGCAAAGAACCACCCTCCAACCAACCGCAGCAACCGACCCTCGCCGCCCTGGGCCACCACCACGGCCCTCCCCTGGACCCCACAAATCCCAACACCAAACTCTCCGTGCTCGTCATGGAAGCCGGAGTGATCTTCCACAGCATCCTGATCGGACTGACCCTTGTGGTCGCAGGCGACTCGTTCTACAAGACGTTGCTGGTGGTGATTATATTCCACCAGTTCTTCGAGGGTCTGGCGCTCGGGGCGCGGATCGCGATGCTACCGGGCCGGCTGCTGGGGTCTAAGGGGCTGATGGCGGGTGCGTTTGCAGTGATCACGCCGATCGGTATGGCGATCGGGCTGGGGGTGCTGCATTCGTTTAATGGGAATGATCAGAGCACGCTTGTGGCGCTGGGAACGCTGGACGCGCTGTCGGCGGGTATCCTGGTGTGGGTTGGGCTGGTCGATATGTGGGCTCGGGACTGGGTGATGGAGGGCGGCGAGATGATGGATGCGACAATGAGCAGTGTGGCTGTTGGAGGGTTCTCGCTGATTGCGGGGATGGTCTTGATGGGGGTGTTGGGGAAGTGGGCGTAACTTTGTTTCTCGCTTAGTGAAGCTATTCAAGAAAGTGGGGATAGAGGGCTAGCTGTAGCTATGCTGTAGGCTATAGCCTATGAAGCTATGATAATGATTAGACATGAACAATAAATTCTTATTTCAATCTAATCTAGTTAGTTATGCAGTTAGAAGATCCCATTCTGAGTCAGACCGAGTCAACCTCGGCCAGTCGGACTCCGTTTATGACAACGGCACAAAATACGAACATCCAAGCACTATTTAGGCCCCCACCGAATACTTACCCGTTTGCCTTTAACTCCAACTGTCAACTTCCTCAACATATACATGCTCAATTGTAAACAAAATGACCACCATCCGCTACGCCACCGAAGCCGACGCGCCCGCAATCGCCGAGCTAAACATCATCTGTTTCCAAGATGCCCCCATGTACCGCAACATGCTCCCAAACATCGACCCTCTATCCGCCACGCCCATGAAAATCTCCCGCACCTACGACAAACTCTCAAACCCCAAGATGCACGTACTAGTCGCTACAGACTCCACCTCGAATCAAATCCTGGGATGCGCACGGTGGCTTATGCCCGACCCGAGTCCGAAATGGCGGAACGAGAGTGAGATGGTGGTCCTCTCCGACGAAGCAAGGGCCAAGGCGGCGCAGATGGCGCAGCTGCGGCCGGCAGGGATGAATGTAGCGGTCTACGAGGGATTGCTGAAGGCGCTGGAGGAGATGAGGGAGAAGTACGTCAGGGATGGGGATATCGGTGAGTTTGCACTTTTCAGCTACTTATCTGTAGATGCCGGGCAGCTGACGGGGGTAGTTCTGGAACTTCTGGTGACGCATCCGCAGCATCAAGGGAAAGGGGTGGGAAAGGCCTTGCTGGACTGGGGAGTGCGGATGGCAGACCAGACAAATGCGCGGATTTATCTGGAGGCCACGCCGGAGGGGTATCCGCTGTATAGCAAGTATGGATGGCGGGATGTGGAGGATATTGTGATTGATTACTCGGTGTATGGGGGGGAGGGAGATGCCACATATGTAGTTATGATTCGGGAGCCGGCTCTCAATCATCCAAACTGAGGGTATAGCATTGTACAAGACACTCAGCTGAGACTGAGAGTATCTATCCATAAAATCATCATGATTATCACCAATGATAGTGCACCACCGCAAGAACCTGCCTGATTCCGCCTAGAGGCTTGGCCCTCCACAGCGGGGGCTCGGGATCCCCAGTTGGCGGCATCACTTGGCCTTGTCCACTATGATTCGTCTGATCTTAACTTATGGATGACAATGGACGACTCTGTCCGACTTGGCTTTGCAGGTGGGCTGCAAGCTCTCCCAGTAATGTGACACCTGTACTTGGTGCATGCAGTACAGGCTCATCTAAAACAACCGCATGGAACTGCCTTGTAGGGATATCTCGTGACCTTGTCTCTGAAGCATATAAGCTTCATCTCAACCATAGTAGAACACAACTCTAGCACTTGAAGTGACAGTTTACCATCATTGTATTGCGCACATCCAATCTGATAGTCAGATATTCAATCATCACTTAGATGGCGATCTCTCTCTATCCCCTCCGCCGACATTCCCACACATACACCATATCCCTATCGCAGCCCATCCGCAGAGCCAGTAGAAATTGATTAACAGCCCAAGATGGCAATCGATATACTTCCGCTTACAAAACCGGACATCCCCGATGCCGTAGTCTGCATCCAGAAGGCGTTCGCCGACGACCCATACTTCCGCTGGGTCTTCAACGATCCATCCAAAGTACTCCCTACCTACACACCATGCCTTACGCAATCTTGCAGACTGACAGAGACTAGTACGACATCCACCGCAACGCCGCCTCCCTCTCAGCGCACTTCCTCCACGGCCTCAACACCAACGCCCCCATCTACATCGCCAAATACCGCCCCACCCCAACAGACAAGCACCCCCCTCCTTCGTCCGCCGTAGTCGGCGTCTGCTGGTGGTTCCCCCCGCAGGGGGAGCCAACCTGGACCTGGACCTGGACCTGGACCACCTGGACACAAGACTGGCTCCTCTCATTCCGCCAACTCCTCAACAACATCCGCTTCCGCGGCCGCGGGGGGTTGAATGTCCGGCGGTACTGGATCTGGAAGGCTCTGCAGGCGCGCACGCACGCCGAGCTCTGGAAAAACCCGGCTGGATACTACTTCTGTAATGTGATCGCGGTGAGTGCGGAGATGAGGGGGATGGGGGTGGGGAGGAGGCTGGTGGAGGCTGTGACGGGGCGGGCGGATGCGGAGGGCGTGCCGTGTTACCTGGAGAGTTCCAAGGGGGAGCCGAATCTGGGGATCTATGAGAGGTTGGGGTTTAGGCTGGTGAAGGAGATTGAGTGTGTGGATGGGTGGGATGCGTGCAAGGTTTGTCTTTTTTGCCCCCCTTGTGTGATATGGGATATGCTGACGAGGGTAGTTGTATTGCATGGTGCGGGATCCGAAGATCGAGATCAAGGCCTGACTGGACTTGCCAGGTTAAGGCATAAAGCATTGATGCTCAGTTGCAGGTATTAGATAAAAGATTAAATGTATTACGTGACTGAGCATAAATATCTGTATGAAAGAAATACAGCCCATGACCCGCACTACAGCAGATTTCCAAGTGCGATACAGGCCAGCTCGACACCAATCAAGTCGTTGCTCTATACCACGTTAGACTTTTGCCATGTTTGAGAAAGGACTGACTTACTGCACTGCCGGGGTTCGTCTGGCAGCAGGCCACATTCTGATGGCATTCTTCGTTCAGGATATTCTGGACAGCAATCGCAATGATAGGAACTGTCTCGTTAGCATTTACTTTGGTATTATAGAGGACAAAACTTACTTTGAACACCCAGATGGGAGCACTGATCGAAAATCTCCACGCCTTGGTTGCCAGAGCCACCGCCGATAATGTTCTTCAGAGCGCCCCCGATGTCGGTCTTGTCGCCGGCGCGGATGGCCTTGTTGCAGCAGGAGAGCTGGGCCTGGTCACCGCACTTCTTTGCTGCCTCTTTCACGGTCATGTCGCTGGGGATCGGAGGGTAGTCGCCGCCCCAACCCTTCTTTCCACCAGCTTCCGCCGTGACGGCGAGGAGGAGGGCTGCAATGGTGGTGATGAGCTTCATTTTGCGGTATGGAGAGAAAGGCAGGAAATGGAAGAGAACGACTAGAGGTGAGAACGTAAAGAGAGTGAAGAGACCGGAGAGAGTGTGAGATGTCGGAAGTGAAGTCTTAAGAGAGAATCCCGGTTATCAAGGGTCAGAGTTCTACATTCCATAGTGAGGTTCGGATATTTACATCCTTGAAAGTATAGTCGATCATATTTCCGCCAAAGGGATAACGGTGGGTCGAGTAGCCCGGGAATGTAGGTACCTGTCAAGGGTGAATAGCCTCAATAACTTCAATTAGGCAAGATCCACATTCTCTGTGATATACGTGCCAGAAATGGTAGTACTAAATAGCAGTCACTGGTTATTAGCAAGAAATCATGGGTCGAGCGACATTCCTCGGTCAGTTTGTTTATGCTTGTTTTTCCTAGCGAATAAACTTTACTAGGCATTCTGAGAGTCTGGGAATCAGGCTCGTCAATTCGTACTATTCAAGCCAGCGCATTGGTCTGCTAAGACGATCCATTCTTTGGAAACAGGTTTATAGTGCCTTGGCCGCGGCAGAATTAGGACGGACCTTTGGAGGAAAGGGCTGATACCTGAATGCTGGGTAGGCCCACATACATCACCTTAGTCCCTAACGTCTCGTGCCTGCTGCGAACTTGGGTTGCATTCGGTCCGGGCCGGTTCAAGTTCTCCGCAGTTAGTAGGAACTGTTGGTCTATATGTATCCTGTGCTAGCCTAACTGAATGAGTTCTCCTTAAACAGTCAACTAAGCACATTTACGGTGCTGGTGAAGTTGCTGATCATATGATCAATAACTTATGAGACGCTTGCCTTTGTTGTTGGACTTCCGGTGGGGTGGATTTGATCTGTATGCAATAACAGCAACACAATCTAGGGCGTTATGGCATACTTCCTGAAAGTATTCCCAGGTAATCGTTTTCGGTCCAACATCATCGAATTTAACATCCATGGATGCCTCAACGGATGCTACCCAGCTTGGTATATCCTTACTTAGTTGCTCCAGCAACAAGACGCAGGCGCTGAAGGGCGTATTGGTGCATCCCAGTTCATTTGCGAGTTGTAGGTCTCTCGTGAACGCAGAGACAAACTCTTCCGCGATTCTAAAGTCTTCTCGTTTCATGAAATAAGTCGCAGATATGTCGTACGCGGAAGACATTCTCCGTACTTGCTGACAAGCTCGATTACTGCTTGGAACATGTCATCGGCGTTGGTTTTGTCATCTGGTGTTGAAATCAAGTCAAGGGCAATGCTCTCTTGGATTTGACTGAAAATCCATAAGCTGACTCTCTGATACTTTGTTCCACTTCTCGTAAAGCCGATGATCAGGTCTAGGCTTTGGGATATCCTGTCTAATCAAGCATTCAAGACCATAGGCTTTCCCCATAGCTTGAGGGTCTGAAAACCTTCTAGGGGCGTCGCAATACCCTCAAACTTCTCTGCGGGTTGGCAGGGAGCAAATCGGCTTGCGTTTTGATAGTAATATAGGGTCCCGGGGTGTGACTGCGCCCCCCTGAGGTCTTCCTCGCAGCAGACGGATTGGTCGGTCGTCCAACTGCTGAGGATCCAGTTTCCATGTCGTGCGGCGTAACAATCCTCTTCATATGCAAGCAGAAGGCACATTCAAATCAATAAATCTGGCAGTTAATATCAATCCACATATTGCTCCTTACGGTAAGAGATCGAGTAATACTCGGTGGTCATTGATTGTAGCCTTGACAGTAAACAGTTGAAGACACTTGTGAGTGGCTTTTAGGCAGGCGGTGGCAGAACAGCGCCCCTTTTCCGAGCCGACCTTTTCCCCGCACCTGATCTGGACCACCATTCCGTCATCATAGCTACCCCAGTCCGTCAAAATGAAGATTGTCTACATCGGAGTACGTGCTCTCATCCTTTATCTTATAAGTGCCTAACACAGCTGACTTGATACTTCTCTCAGATCTTACAAAATGCCCAGCAACCCGCTGTGGAGCTCTGCGCTGAGAGCGAGCTCAGCAGCTACTCCCGTTTCACTCGGGGTAGCATCAGCGAGTTCATGACCATGTTCAGCAAGACTGTTGCCGAACGCACAAAACAGGGCCAGAGACAGGATATTCAGGAGCAGGGTACGACTGATCCATCCGCGCCGGTCAACTCGTATTGATCAAGACAGACTTTACATTCCACGTCTACGCCCGAACCCAAGGCATCGCCGGTGTCATCATCAGTGATAACGAGTACCCCTCCCTCGCAGCGCATCAGATCCTCTCCAAAATCCTCGATGAATTTCTGTCCCAGAATCCCACCGCCGCGACCTCGCGAAACCCCGTTCCCTTCCCTCAGCTGCGAACATACATTACGACCTACCAGAACCCCCAGGAGGTGGACAGTATCATGAAGATTCAAAAGGAGTTGGATGAGACCAAGATCGTGCTACATAAGACTATCGAGAGTGTAAGTTGGCTTTTGGAAACTCGCGAGACGAGAGCTGACACCCGCTAGGTTCTGGAACGAGGGGAGAAGATCGACGACCTGGTCTCCAAGAGCGAGGGGCTGAGCGCTCAGAGCAAGATGTTCTACACGTCCGCGAAGAAGCAGAACTCGTGCTGTGTGATTATGTAGTTGTGCACAAACGGAAAGCGAAGGTTGTGAATATTTGGCACGTTGGTGTCCAAGGGTGGAAGTCCATACAGGCAGTCCCGTTGTTGCAGAATCGGCGTTTTGATCCGGGGACATGGGCTTGGATTTTCGCCTATTTCTATAATGCTCATTGCTCTGTTGGGGAGACTAGAGGTTGGATGCATACCAGCCTAGTCTGATAGATCTCGCGATACTTGATAAGTTAGGCTGCCACTCATTCGAGCGCTGGATCAATTGCTACTGCTGAGAAGCCATTTGTTTGATTAATGACCATCAGAATGCTGTATCTTTTGTCATGAGACCCACGGCTCGAATTCACGCAATCGCCGTTTCAGTGCCTCGCCCCTGGATCATATTTATATGCCTGCGCAGTTTAATCTCGGCCTTGATTATGGCGGCCTGAGGCACAAAATCACGTGTTGCTTCCAGGTATAGGCACTCATCCACGTAGTTATTTTTAGCGGCAAGGCTGCAAGCCACCTTTGCTTGTAGTGTAGGTCGCCTTTCATCCTTATTATTCTCGTCCCGGTTACGTCTCTGTGGAAGTTTGCGCCATATGAGGACAACGAGCTCAATCTGGTAATACCACGCGAGGTTCCTTGATCCCGAGTCCTAGGAGAAGGCCAGACCTTGAGCCTCGTCCGACATGAGAACAAATCACTGCTTATGCCATCACTGGTTCAACACAGCTGAGACCAGAAAATAATGAGAACAATAGATGAATACTCATAACTTGCTGCTACAAGGTGGCGGGGTACATTACCAAAAGAGGCAATAGGGCACAGGGTACACTCACTAGAGCAACTCCACCGTAATCAATCATGGGCTGGATAGATTGCGTGCCTGAATTCTACCTAAGATAAAGCCCGGATGTCGATCATCCAGTCTTCTAGAACCGCGCAATTTGGATGGTCCCTGGTGGTTTAAGGTACACTCAAAGATGAAACTATTGCTAATCCGATCCACTTTCCAGCATGGGTTTGCCAATAAAGTCCTTCATCCTTGTCGCCGATGGACTCGGCATTGCTTCTCCCTTTTCCTATCAGCAGAGATTCACCAAAATCACCGACGGTACCCGGCCTCCCGGCCCGGTGAGTGTCTGATTGGCCGCAACCGCCGAAATGATCCATATCCGGTAGTATGAATTGTGCGGTGACAGTTGGCATGGTTGGGTTTTGTCTCTTATATCGGTGGTTGTCTTCGTTCCTGACTCCTGGTTGAGAAGGTTATACCGTCATTCTTTTGCCTTGTCTCGTCTCATTAGCGTTGATCACTGTGAGTGTCGCGTGTCCGTCGACATGGGTCTACCACTGTTCATCTAACCACTGTAGCATTGCATACCCAGAAGCGTTTCCCATCTTTGCATATTATTTATCCCTTATTTAGAACTTGAAACCGCCGGACTCTATGACTGTGGTTTGAGCACCATGGACCAAGACTTTCCCATCCGCCACTCCTGGTCATTCGGTGGCCAACGCAATAGGCTTGCCGAATACCTGGCGGCGGATGTTCTAGTTGCTGCAGGTTCAGCAACATTAGTGACTCCAGCTGTTATGATCCTCGACCGGTTAGTCTTATGCATGGCTCCTGTCCCTCGTTGATACTAACAGCACCAGGCTGGTGGTGGAAAAGTCATCCTACAATCAACCTCTCTTGCCTGCCTTTCGCCGACATCTCTGGCTTTCTATCACACAACCTGCAACCTTCCTCACATCGCGACCAAGTCTGCTGGTGTGGTCTCTATATACCGCGACATTCGCAACGGCCAATGCCACGGAAACCATCCTCAACAAGGTTTACCCCGCCGTCGACCATGCCATCGCAGGGACGACCACGTTCCTCTCCACCTTTCTGGTGAACTCGTCCGTGGGCATTTGGAAAGACGTCAAGTTCGCTCAGCTATTCGGCCACAAGACGACCACTACTACTGAATCTGCAACCAAGACTACAAACCCCCAAACTGGGGCAGTATCAACAGCCGCCTCACAGCCTAAAATCCGCACCGTAACCCGCTCCTTTCCCTTGGCAACCTACTCGGCCTTTCTCATCCGTGACGCCCTCACCATCTTCGGCTCCTTCAACCTCCCGCCCTTGGTCTCCGCCTCGATCCCGGACTCGGTCGTCTCCAGCGAGAATCTCAAAATCCTCATAGCGCAGCTCGCAGTCCCCGCGTCGATTCAATTGATCAGCACCCCGATCCACCTACTTGGGCTGGACCTGTACAACCGGCCGATGCAATTACCCGCCAAGGAGCGGTTCACGCGCGTTAGTCGGGACTGGATCGGGGCGTCGTTGACGCGCATGTGTCGGATCATTCCGGCTTTTGGGATTGGAGGCTTTGCCAATACCGAAGGCAGAGCCTTTCTACACGGACAGCTAGACCGATTACCGGCTGAATCATGAATTATGCCTTGCATTCGTTTACTTGAAGATAAACACTCATAAAGAATATCATGGTCATGTCACATGATATATGGGGCGGGCAACCCTAACCCTAGCTGACTGCGGACCTGTATCACGGCGGGGCTCCACCGCCGCATATCACCGGCCCGGCCGAATCCCGTGAGGGACGTGATCACGCCTCCATCTCATCCGGGAGTTCTCTGAGATTGATTTTCGGGGAACAGTCTCGAGCGAAACCGGCATGCCATGACCGGGTGTTAAACCCGCTGGAAGAAGGATCAACTCGAACCACGCGAATGAGCCAATGACCATTTATTCACCAGGCTTGTATGCATATACCGGGTTCCTTCCACAGACTCCCGAGTATATATGTCATCTGTTGCTCTTCGATGCTTCCAAGGCAAATCGCGGGACCCCACATTGAATAGGCTGAGTCTATAGCGGGGTCTAGTACGACGATCTTTGACTGTCATATACCCAGGGTTCAGGCTAGCTACTTGAGCAACAGTCCGACAATAATGATATAGTAGCCTTGCATTTGTAGGTCAATAAGGAACTCCAGCTGAGGTCAACTAGAGAAGGATATAGATATTAGCTCATTATTCAAAGATGAATCTTAATAAATGGTTTCATCCGTCACCAGCCATCAGATATGACAACGCTGCTCTCAGAAGCTGGCTTAACAGATTACCCGATAATTTTTGCAAGTGTAGAAGATTATGACATGACAATGTGTGGTTTACTATGGTCATTGCAGTTCGTAGAGCAATAGTCTCTCTTCAGATGCGTGGACGATGGAAGCTGCCTGTGGATTAAGACCAAGCAATATCAAGTAGAACCTCACCCCCGGAGATACTTCTGGCATTAGTACAGGGTATTATGGCCAGCTGCTGTTTTCGGAGTACATATATTAATTATGGATTCAATGCCACGTACGATATGTAAATAGTTGACATACAGTGTGATTGGAGCGCTTTGAATCCTCTTTGCTAAGTTCCACAGACAACATCAGTTCCTTACTGAGGCTCGCTTGCTGTGTCTGTTCTGAAGCACTCGGAAAACATTCAGCGAGATCTGGATCCATCCTTCCCCAGCTGGAAACTTGACAAGCCAAGTAAATCTCGGAAGAATGGCCCTGTACCCTGTTACAGCGCCGGGGCAACCTCTGCTTCTCTCGACTGTCCGTTCAATCGTCAATCTGGGCCGCTCGCGGACAAACCCATGCGACCACACCGGACACGGTAGATCATGTAGATTCATCTCCTTCTGGACCCGACTTCGATGATAGTCACGAAACCCCTCACAAAAGAACATCAACAACCACAGCCCCCACGCTCGACTATGATAGGCCAGTTCCTCGTGGGTCTGCCGCATCAGATCAAAGAGTAGAGGCCGGTATACCACCCTAACTCCCTCCTCAAATCCCACACTCCAGGCCTCATCAAGCTCAGTGACAATCATCACAAGAACACCTTGGACATACATGTCCTGCACACGCTTCTCGGAACTGCCGGCAAGCCACAGGGAAACATGAGAGTTGAAGTACTCGTGCAGGTCGGGGATGGGCTCCTCGTCCCCTGGTTTAATCGGCTCGTAGGCCCAGCTCTCAGCCGCGAGCAATGCCACCCCCTGGACACAATGCCATTCGTGCCCTTTGCGGATGTCCGCAAGGATCTCCGCGGGATCGCGGGCAGTCTGTCTTTGACGCCGTGCGATTCCTTCTTCAAGCGCGGTAGGACTAACCAGCCGACACGCCTTTGAAAGCTCGCTTGCAGGTATCCCCAGGTCACCCTGGAGGAAGCACAGGGCTGTGCGAATGTATCCCCCTTCCTGTAGAGCCTGAGCTGCCTTTTCGACGTCGTTGACCAGGAGATGTAGTTCTCGGGGCCCCTCATTCCGAGCAGAGCCATGCGCAATAAGAACATCGCGGTGACTCCAGACCTTGTAGGGGATGCGAGCTCGATATAACATGAGGCATGGCTCCCAGTATTTTTCCTTGAATGCCGGATACTTTCTGACTTGTATGAGGGGCTCAGGCTGTTTTTCTGTGGTCTCGAGAGAGCGAACTCTTGTTATGAAGCTGGTAATGCGCTTGTATTCCATGTTGCAGATAGTTCCTCGTTTCGTGTCCATTTGCTTCGAGAAACGACGCAGCAAAAAGTTAGGTGAGACATTTTGGATCCCGCATTGATGATTCGGAATTGCGTAATGATATAGATGAGGTAGTTTGCATCCCCCAGGTATCAATGGTTAACATACGTGTTATAGTTTCAGCCAAGTTTATATCACAGTATGCTAATAATATGCTTTTCACTAGATTCTGCGTTCCAAGGCTCCCATACAGTGACTAGCTGCCGTGGTAGTGATTTTTAGTAATGGTTGGCCAATCATGCTTTATATGATTTGACAACTTAACCTATCTTACAGCATATCCATGAATATCCTAGAAACTACAGCTGTAAGTCACATTACAAGTCCATGGAGAGCTGGTTCTGTAAGAAGTAAGGACTTAGGGCTTTTGGTAGATGAGAGGTCAGGTGACTGACTTACGCCAAATCTTGTCATTGCAAGTCATGTGATCACCCACTGTCTCCATGACCAGAAGATGAATACATTGCTGTCAAATTATCCTAAACCCTCAATTGTCGATAAGAATGGCTACATACTAAGCTTAACACGAAAGAGGACTCTTGTTATGTGGCATGATCACAATCTCTGATCATGAACACACCCAGCATCTCCTTCACAAGCCTCGGCTTGGTGGTCCTCGACGAGATCCGCTTCCCCAACCAGGAGCCATTACTTGATATTTTGGGCGGCTCTGGTGCCTACGGTTGGTTCTATTTTGGCGTTTTCAACTGACTGCGATGTACAACATGTCGTTGAGCTGATCCGTGGTGCAGCCACGCTCGGTGCTCGATTATTCCTCCGCCCTCCGCTGAGCCGGACCTTGGGCTGGATGATCCATACTGGGAATGACTTTCCAAAGCTCATGGAGGACCGGCTAAGGAGCTGGGATGCAACATTGATTGTAGAACGAGAATCGGACAAGCCGTCAACGAGAGGGTTACTGGGGTATGAGGATACTACGTTTGGACGTGCGGAACCTCCTGATTCATTCATCATGGACAAGAATAAGAACTAATCGACCCAAGCGAAACACTTCACGTATACAACACCCCTCCTCCCAGTTCACGAGAGCAACCTGAAAAACACCCCCCTCCTAACTGCAAAAGCATACCACTACCTCGAAACCCCCCAAGACATGGAGACCCGTCTCTCAACCCTCCTGTCTCTCAGGAACGAAGCAACCAGCGCACTAGACCTAGACCTACCCCGCCCCTTCATAATCTGGGAACCAGCCCCCTACGCCTGCAAACCCGAGAACCTCCAGTCCTGCCTGGTCGCCGCACACGCCGTCGACGTCCTCTCCCCAAACCACCTCGAGCTCGCCGCACTCTATGGCGAATCCCCAGCAAAAGCTCACGACAAAGCCACGATTGAAGCCCTGGCGCGACGGATGCTAGACAGCGGCGTCGGCCCAGACGGGACCGGCACCGTCGTCGTCCGCGCAGGCGAGAACGGGAGCGTTGTTGTCGCGCGCGATATGCCTCCCACGTGGCTGCCGCCGTTTTATACGTCCGGACCAGTGGGGGAACAGCATTCCAAGGTGGTTGATCCGACTGGGGCAGGGAATGCGTTTCTGGGGGCGTATGCTGTTGGGTACCTCCGTACTGGGAATGCGGTTGAGGCGGCTTGCTATGGGACTGTGGGGGGCTCATTTGCGCTAGAGCAGGTAGGAATGCCGGAACTGATCTCCGGCGGAGATGGGGAGTTGTGGAATGGTGTGGACGTTTTTGAGAGGTTGCGTGAGTATAGGGAGGTTGTTGGTCTTGGGGACTAGGTTTGAGGCTCTGGCTTCTTTTTTCTTTTCGCGTACGAATACTGCATTGGATCTAAGGATCTAAGAGTGACAATTCGACTCGCCTGCGATTGACATTTCCCAACAAGATTGAGCCTTGACCATAGTAGAATGTATCCTATCCTTTGTTGGGTCAAGTCGGTTTGCAATTTCTACCTGTAGACGTTTCCTGGGTATCTACAGCCTCTACTGGGTCAGATGGTTTAACAGATGCTGGCCGCGAGCCGCACCACCACTGCGACCAGCGCGAGAGGCGGCACGTCCGCGACCAGCGGGACGGTTACGAGGAGCAGTGGCGGCATTGGAGGCACCGCGGGTGGATGCGACATGGCCGCGCCTAGCACGACCATGGGCACGGCGACCGGAGGGAGCACCACGGGCAGGAGCGGCATTGCCGCGAGGGGATGAACGCGTAGTAACCATGTTTCTATATGCAGAGTCAGGAATCGTCCAATTTCCGGCAAACGCTGCGAGGGAATCAATAAGCCGAAGGGGCGACAGCTGTTGACGCAGAAGAATACGGGGCAGCGGTCTCTGTGGCTGTGCTGGCATTGCCTGCCTGGATCGCAGTTCCAGCCCCAGTGGGTTGGCTAGCAGGCGTTGCTCGCTGCATAAAAAGTGGTTTGGCACTGCTTCGAATCGGTTTGCTTTATACGGGTTTGTCCCCAGTGGTGCCGAATTAGGTGTCAAACCAGCCGTTATGATGACTGGTCTGTCGGACGTCATTGCGTACGCGGTAATTTGGTAGAAGGTAGACGCCGGATATCTCGATCATGCGAAAAGTAGAGCGTCTGGTGGGAAAGATCGAGTTCTTCCACAGTAGTTGCGCCATGCCAAGTCAGGGTATGACGCTTTTGAGTGACGTCCTTAAGCAGATCCAAGAGAAACTTGTTCCGATTGCCGGCGTTATTGTGAATCGCCCTGATCTCGTCGGAATTCCAGGCCATCAAGTTCCCAATAACGATCAATACTTTTTACGCCCGGCTAAGAGGGAGATTCAGTCTGTCTCTGTCACCGATAAAGCCAGCGCTCGTGGGATTCCTGGATGGCTTCGTCATCCTAGAATGTTGAAGGAGGGCATCTCTCAGATGCCCGAATACTCTGAGTGACACGGACCGATGGAAAAAGGGTCGTGATATTCAGGCTTGATGCGATGATAAATAGTGGTGCCAATTTCTTTCGTCTTCAGAAAAGCGTTTTCAGAGGTGGACTTTCCTTCAAATATTCTGGCATTTGCGTTCGGCCTCGCCTGGCCTGCAGGGAGACCCCTGCGTTGTGCGTTGTGAGCGTGCAGTGGTGTGGTAATGCGTTAGGAGGGGAGGGTTTTCAAAGGGGGATATAGGCTTTTCAATCTGAGGTCTCAGATCAACCACGACATGCTACCATGTTATGGCAGTTCGTAGTCATTCGTGTCGTATGCTCGTTGATTGATGATCTTCCTAGGTGCTACGTACAGCGGAGATGGATAAACGACCACTGCTCACGTGGTCACACGACATATGGGGCCCCCTGAAAAGCCAGCGCCCTCGCTGTAAAGAATATGTTGGTAAAACAAGCAAAGTAACGAGGGGGTGGTAAAACAAGTGAAGCGGCAAAGCAAAAGTAAATCATCAGTCGAGTAATGCAGTCAGTTGAAGAAGACTGGATGTGTGCAAGACACGAAGTAGTCGACATATGATGCACCATATGATGGCCATGTAAGCGAGATTTCATGTTGATCCTGGGGGAGGAGGACTCGGCATCGGCATGTCGTGTGCAAGCTGCTTTCACACCATTTCGAGGCTGGTATCCGTCCTGTTGGTGGGATCAATGTACCTGAACCTATGGACTTGTCCTCATCTTCATCGTTGTTGACTCTGAGGACCGGAGCACGTCTTTTTTGGCGGGACAATACTTGTGCGCTTGCCGGCTTCCTGAGCCTTGGTCCTCTTGGTCAGAGTGTTTAGGGATGAGGCGCTTAATCCTCTTTCTGGATTGATGTCCTCAGTATCATCCGAGGCTGAAGAGCACCGTTTGGTGCCACTTACTGATCTGATCTCTCGTCTAGCAGAGAAGAAGCTTCTTCGTCAATGGGATCAGGAGTAACAAAGCTGACCTGAGTGAAGACACCGCTGGGCACTGTACTTTGCAAACAATTGTCTTGAATGACAGAGACGAGGCTATCATCCTAGACGTCAGGATGTTGAGATGGTCCCTGATAAGCAGGGCTACTCTGTCTTTAAACGCATCAATAATAGACAGCGGGTAGTGTCTAAATGACAGAGTATTAGTATCCAGCTGGCAATGTTGAATAAAGGTTAAACTTACTGGTTATTGAGGAGCACTATGCGTCCCCCGCGCGTGGCCTTGAGTTCGTTTCGCAAAACAAGAGTGATATGTGATGTTGAATGATTTGTCAACATGATAGTTGTAGACAAGCACCACCCTTTCCCCCCGAGACCGCAGATCTTGCTGGAGTCTTAAATTTTCAACCAGCCTGCAGACACGGTTCGGCCATTCTCCGTTTCACAGAACGCATCCACGTTCGTAGCAAATCGTCGAACGCGTATGGGCCATCGCGGGGCTTGGGCGCCTTGGCTGACCAAGCATTGTACCGTTCGAAGATCCATTCTTCCTCTATGGGAACAAGAGCAGAAATCACTGTGACCGGTGATCCTCTTGAGTGTCGAGATCGTGCTCGCGATTCATTTGAGTCTGTGGGTTATAATAGAGGTCTTCGTCGATGGTCAGCTCTGAAAATGACAATGTTTGCTCAGGGACTTCTGAATCAGGCAAAATGATGCCACCCATGCAGGTTGTCCCAACACCGTTGTCGGACCGGTGAAGGATGGATGAGGATCCAAGCTTACGGATGTATGGACGCCTGAATCCCAGAAGAAAATACACCTAAAGCCAAGAAGCACTGTCGAAGGCTTGAGTTTGATGCACCTTCATCAGTGGGTATTGAGATCTCGCTGTGTGAGTAGGGAACGAAGGCTCAATGGCCTTACTCCCGGGTGATCAAGGTGGTAGTCGTGATACTTCCAGAGATTCGTTCATCACCAGTGTACCCATGCAATGGGACGATGTAATACCAATCTGCTTGACGTCGAATGCATCATCTATATATGTGAGTGAACTGTCGTAGCTCGTCCGTCGGCCGCCGGTCCTCGAAAATGGTTGCATCAGCTGCTGCATTGCTGCCGTGGACAACAGGCCGATTGAAAGCCTGTATCTCGGCCCGATGAGCGTTTCGGTAATCACGACAGTGATCTCAAAGGAGGGCGAAGAACATCAGTTCCCGTGCGTCAATCCAGTATCGAGTATTCTGTGCACAAGTCTCCAACGAAGGACATTCACTTTTCGAGGGGTTAGAGCCCCCGTTTCTCCACGATCTTATCATTCGTATGATAAGGCAAACATAGCTTCGATATGTTGCTTGATGCCTTGAACCCAGTCAGGAAGGCAATTTGCAGCTCTGGCGGTGAAACGATGGGTACGGAGAAGTCCTCTGCAGGCGTGGTAAGAGTAGCTGCGATAAAAGATTAGACAAAAACTGTTCATCGATAGCAAAGGGTAGACTTACTGGATTCGCTATGTCACCGCAGTGGGCGGACTGTCCCATTGCTCTAGTGTACCTGTAGGAGACAGAGGCAGTCCAGTGATGATGTTTTCCTACACAGTGTTAGCTGCGAGCTATCGGAGAGATAGCGGAAGGAACTTACCAGTGGCATGGGAGCTCGCCGGACGTTCACCATAGACAGAGCCTCCTCCAGAGGGGTTGATCACGAATCTCCCACTCCTAAGTCAGCTCTCAATGGCATTGCCCCAAGACTTTCCCATCGAAGCAGAAAAAAGATTCTCTTCTTCTCCAGGTTTGAATGAAGTATCTAGCGAAGTGGGAGGAAGGAGCAGGAAGTAGCCTTATTCAGAGTAGAATGGTCGATATCCAGATCTGGTAGAATCGCCGAAAGGAAAGAAGAAAAAAGAAAAAGAAGCGAATGAATGGATAAGTCATCGATTGAATGAACAGCCATCGTGGCGAGGACATCGTCGTCCGCGGCACGGTAGTAGTAGTGGTTGTTGAGAGCGAGGCTAAGTGACAGATAACACAGGAGGCGCATCTGGCCTGCCTGCGTTGGTCTTTGGCATCTCAGCTAGCAGCGTCTAAAACCGTCTGACATGCTCTATTTGGAGGAAGATGTTTCTGCAACGGCCTGTCTCAAAAGGTAAGTCAGACTGGGTGGACCGTAAGACGCTTTTAAATCAGAGTACGACAAAGGGCCAAGTTTGCTTCTGATGAACTGTAAACAAACAGTAATTGTTTTTTTATGTTGTTTAGGGCAAAGAATAAGTTGAAGGGGACATGGCTGACCTATACTGGCCTTTGTCTATAGGAGCCTGCCTCTCGCGAAGGTCTTTCAACATTGTGCGGCCCACAAATTGTCAACTGAGCCGCAACCAGATGACTGTGCAGAGCAGAGACGAGCCAGAGGAGCATGACAAGTCTACAGCGTGCTGGCCTAGCCAGCAAAACTCATTGCTGCTTGCTTAACAAAATGGGTGATACTTATCTTTGTCAAGATTGCCTTCTACCACCATCATCCACTAGGTATGGCATCCGTGGATTAGTGTTGGCATGATTCTAATGACGAGCGGCTTGCTCTTGAACAGACCAACCGCAAGCGAGGGTAGGGCCAGTGGAATTTTCGAATCAGGAAGTGCACATGGAGGGACGCATAGCCGTGCCAACAGCAGTGGATTGTATACTCCTACTACCCTTGGGGGTTTTCAGAGTGCTGGTTACCAGACGACAGAAAGGAACTCGCAATGACGGGCTGACAACAAAATGGCCAGGCCCTTCAGAGGGCCGAGTGCTCTGCAGCCTCGATCTGCAACGTCCGGGAGATGGGAAATATCCACGACAATATCAACGAGTTTGTCCTGGTGTTGTGGGTGCTTGCATGCAATCTGAAGCAACAGATGCCAGAGTTGGCCCAGCTGGGCATCGAGGGAGACGTCGAGTGCTAAAGCGGCAGATGCTAGTTTGGCGGCGGCTTCTGGGGAGTGAATTTTGCCTGCGAAGCAATCGTGCAGGACTGTGAGGTGGGGTCTTCGTTCGAGGCTGTCCGCTTCCGCTTTGGCATGATCTTTCATAGTAATGACTTGGTTAAAGCGTAGTCTCTGTTACGCTGTTGTAGTAATTCTGAACACAAGGTGAGCACGATCAATCCTTGGGATCGATCAGTTGTAGTTGCCAATATCAAAGTGTTAAGGCTTGGGATTGAACCCATCAGAATCTCTTCCGAGGGCTGGAGCAGCCATGAGTTTTTGTTATTTTGCATCCCTGCACAGATATAATGTGAGATTCATAGGACAGTAGAAGACTGCATGATAGCTGGCATTTCGTACCTTTCCAGTTTGCAAGCCATATGCACGCTTAAACTGTCCAAAAGGCAATATCCCAGGTTGTGTATGGCGCCTTGGGTTTCTATGGCCGATCTTAACGAAGTGATGATGGATCCAATGAAGCAGCCTATTTGATTCAATCTCCCCGAGTATGTCAGAGGCCGTTGGCCATTTGACTGGTATTCACTCAGGCCTTATAAGAATGAGAATGAAGTGCACGTTGAAGAGGTATAGAAGATGGGATAAGAGAGAATTGCGGAGGCTCTGGAGAAAAGCAGGCGTAATATCTCACAGTGAATATACTCTTATGTCACTGCCCACATACCTGAATTCTGGTGCTGGGTTTAAGGGCTGAAAGTGAATGAGTTTCCACTCTTCTGTGACTAGGACCGCCCAACAAAATCGAGGGTTGGTCAAAGTAGAATGCATTCTGCAACTTTAAGTACATGTGAATCTCTTACCCCGTCTGTTTCCTTCTGAACAGACTTGGATGTCTGAGAAGCAGATCTAGTGTCGTGTCTGCATTAGGATAGAGTGAAGCTCCTTGCATGTATCTCGCCCGACCCCCTTTCATAGGTGTTGCAGTCCAGCAACAACATGATGCGGTTGTAGATTGGTATCCACAAGAGTCACCAGCGTAGAACTAGTATCTATTTGCTGCGAAGTTGCGAATCGATTATTGAATCGAAACAGGAGCAGTTCATCAATCCTCAGCCTTGGACCCGATCACGCCCATCCAGTCAGGGGATCCGTCCGTTTGGCCATTTGACCGCATCAACGGCAATAAGGATACAAAGATCGTAATGCAGCATGAGTTCTTCTACACTCGTTTGCTTGGTTCCAGCCTCGCCAATCGCAAGATGTACCCCAAGTCAGCACGGCGGATACAAGCGTCGGTTCAAACGTCATGGTAGCTGCATAACCAGTTTACCCAATTCGCTAACCGCGGCAACATCAGCTTTGTCACCACCCATGGCCCACGCATACATTCCTGACAGACCGCAACATCTCAGGCAATAACCCCTGCAGCATGGCGACCTCCCTACCTCAGAAACAGTGACTACGACGGCGCGGTGGCGTGCCGAACAGGCTGTACGGGGTCCCTCCACCCCCGCAAGGACCGTAAACCGTCCAAATCGGTGTTGCAGAGTAGTGGATACAGAGAAGCTGGCATGGTTAATATAGGCTATTTGTATATGCCTGTCGTGCAAGCCCGACGGACATGTGGCGATGCATGGGTCTGCAGACCTTGGGCATTTCGGGAGAAGCTCCTAGTGAATGCGGGGTATAGGCTATATGCGGATGCAAAGGATATGCTTGTCTGTATTTGCAGACGACAGTGGATAATTTCCTGCGGGTGATCTGGGGGACGCTGCTTTGGAACCAGAAGGAGTGCTGGGCTTGGGTAGGATGGTCTGGCCAGGATGCGAGTCAGAAGACTGGTTAGTTGCAGCCTTTCAACTTCAGGCTATCTTTCTGGTACTGATGATTGTGATGATGCCTGTAGGAGTGCAGATGGCGCCGTGGTGGATCCGGGTAGATGAATTACTAGTAGCTGGCATGGTGGTCTTCAGGAGGAGAGCCGGAACAAAAGGGGCAACGGCTTGATCTGTATAGGCAGAGGAATATTAGTCTCCGGCTGAATTCTTCAAGGAGGCATATGACTGGCCATCAATTGCCATTGATGTGATATAGGACTCTGTTACCGGTGGGGGATCGGCAAGCGGATATTAAAGCAAAACTTGGCTGAAACAAGCCCAGTCGCAAAGTGAAAACATTCTGCAGCATTCCCTCGGATATAGTGATTGGACCGAATGGTGAAACTGAATATAGCCTAAACGACTTAGCCTGGACCCTGTGGAGTATCTGTACTTCTGGCAGTACTTTCAACTATAAATACTGCTGTCAGGAGGAGACTCACTCTCAGCAACTCCTCAACATACAAGAATCGGATTCAACTCTAACAAATTCAAAATGGTCGTCCTCAGCAAGCTCATCAGCAGCATTCTCTTTGCCTCCCTAGTCTCGGCGGCCGTGATCGAACGCCAGGCAACCAGCATCAACCAGGCTTTTACATCCCATGGCAAGAAGTACTTTGGCACCGCCAGTGACCAACGTCTGCTCCAGAACTCGCAGAATGAGGCCATTGTGCGCAAAGACTTTGGCCAGTTGACGCCGGAGAATAGCATGAAGTGGGATGCTACTGAGCGTAGGTCTCTGTCACTCTGGTTGGCATAACTTATTGACATAACTGTCTGTTTAGCATCGCGAGGAAGTTTCAACTTCGCTGGTGCTGATTTCTTGGTATGTAATTTGCTCATCTCTGTCGAGTATATGCTAAAGGACAATAGGTCAACTATGCAAAACAGAATGGCATGAAGGTCCGCGGACACACCTTAGGTATTCATTCAACCTAACGGCATCTCAAGGATGCAGATAAGCTGACAGTGTAGTCTGGCACTCCCAACTCCCGTCCTGGGTGTCGGCTATCACCGACAAAAACACCCTGACCTCGGTGCTGAAGAACCACATCACCACTGTCATGACCCGGTACAAAGGCCAGATTTACCATTGGGTAAGCTGCCATCTATCCCACATGACGCCAGCCCAGCTAATATTGTAAAGGACGTCGTCAACGAGATCTTCAACGAGGACGGCTCCCTCCGCGACAGCGTTTTCTCCCGCGTGCTGGGCGAGGACTTTGTGCGGATTGCCTTCGAGACGGCGCGCTCTGTGGATCCCTCTGCGAAGCTGTACATCAACGATTACAAGTAAGCTTTTGTTTTGGCTGGAGATGTACTGTATCTGACCATCAAAGTCTCGACTCGGCTAGCTATGGCAAAACGCAGGGGATGGTGAGCCATGTCAAGAAGTGGTTGGCTGCGGGCATTCCTATCGATGGAATCGGTGAGCTTATGTCGCGAGCTGTGTGTGATGATTTACACTGACTCTTCCTGAAGGCTCTCAAACCCACCTTGGTGCGGGTGCTTCGTCTAGCGTCAAAGGATAAGTCTCCTTCCTTGGTTTGTCTACGTAACGCTGACCCCCCGTGTACAGCATTGACTGCCCTTGCCTCCTCCGGCGTCTCCGAGGTCGCGATTACTGAGCTGGATATCGCGGGTGCTAGCTCCCAGGATTACGTCAATGTATGTCTCTTGATCGCCAGTTGCAGGGTAATCGACACTAATAAAAACAGGTCGTCAATGCATGCCTGGGTGTCCCGAAGTGTGTGGGAATCACCGTCTGGGGGGTGTCGGACAAGGACTCGTGGCGCTCCAGCTCGTCTCCACTATTGTTCGACAGCAACTACCAGCCCAAGGCGGCGTATAATGCCATCATTGCTGCTCTATAATCTGGCATCGTGTGCCTCTGATCTGGCATTATGTGGGGAGGTTGCATGTACATATGGTGCGCTGCGTGACACAATTGGATCATCCCTTGCATAAACGGAAACGCTGTGAAGCGCCAACTCCAATGAAGTATCAGATCACTGTCAGCAATATGCAAGTAGAGTGGCTGTAACAAACACTCCGCCTGGATCGGAATGCTAGCGTCAGCTGTATTCGCTGGTTATAAATGTCGATTCCTGCTCACTTCAGATTCCAGCTGTAGCAGCAGACAATGGATCCATACGTTCTAATCGCCATTGCCGGCGTCCTCAGCCATGTCGTTTACTTTCGACGTGGCGAGCATCAGCTCTATAGCCATATCTACCTGGTCCTCTTTGTTATTTCCACCGCCGTCGTCACCGTACTCTTCCACTACAGCTATATCCTGGTGTATCTCGCCAGCCTTTATACCAGCATCCTAGTATACCGTCTCCTCCTCCATCCGCTGCGCTCTTTTCCCGGCCCTCTCGCCGCCCGCGTCTCCGGCCTCTGGTACATCAACCCAAAGCACAATGCATATCTTACCCTCCAGGCCTTACACAGCCAATATGGCCCAATCGTGCGCACCGGCCCCTCAGACCTCTCCATCATCTACCCGTCCGCCGCCCCCGCCATCTACGGCTCCCAATCCCCCTGCACAAAAGGGCCCTGGTACGACCTGTCCTACCCTTCCCGCCCCCTGCAACACTGCCGCAACGCCAAAGAGCACCACGCCCGCCGCCGGACCTGGACCCCCGCCTTCAGCGACAAGATGGTCCGCGGCTACGAGCAGCGCATCAAGACCTACCAGCAGCAGCTCATCGCCCAACTAACCACCCTCCAGACCGTCGACATCCGCAAGTGGATCTACCTGTACACCTTCGACGTCATGGGCGACCTCTCCTTCGGCCGCAGCTTCGACTGCCTCACCACCGGCCACGAGCACCCGGGAATCACCCTCCTGAACGCCGCCCTGAGCAACATCGGCCTCTTCATCCCGCCGTGGCTGCACCTCATCCTGCTGAAAATCCCCTGGCTGACGCGCGACTGGTGGGCTTTCCTGTCGTTTTGCAGCGAGAGGCTCCAAGCACGCATGCGCATGCACCTGCAGATACCCGACATCAGCGCCTCGCTGCTCGCCCCGCTGAAAGGGAGGGAGCCCACTCCAGAGGAGAAACTGATGCTAGACGGCGACGCGCGGCTGATCGTCGTGGGGGGCAGCGATACGACTGCCGTGTCGCTGTGTGGGGTTCTGTACGAGCTTGCGCGGCATCCGGAGCAGCTGCGCAAACTGCGCGAGGAGGTTGAGCCGTTTGTTGATGATGCTGGGGATGTACGTGGCGCTGATATTGCGCTTTTGGAGCATCTGAACGGCGTGATTAATGAGGCCTTGAGGATGTATCCGGCTGTGTCGTCGGGGTTGCAGCGGAAGACTCCCCCCGAGGGGATCCAGGTGGAGGGGGTGCATATCCCCGGGGAGATGACGGTGTATTGTCCGCAGTATGCCATGGGGAGATGTAAGACTACGACTGTGGAATGTGTCAGGACATGCTAATGGTATCGCACAGCTGAGCTATGCTATGCGCGGCCGGACGAGTTTATCCCCGAGCGATGGTACAAGTACCCCGATCTGATCAAGGATCGCTCGGCGTTTGCGCCGTTTAGCCTAGGTATATATCCGCCTGTGATCCTTATACTAAGTGTTGACGGCAATAGGTCCGTATAGTTGTGTCGGCCGACCACTGGCGTTGCTGAATATGCGTACTACAATCGCCAAACTGATCACGACGTTTGATATGGGATTTGCCCCGGGGGAGGATGGGAAGGCATTTAAGCAGCAGGCGCAGGACAACTTCGTGCTGTATATGGGGCCGCTGCATTTGACTTTTACCCGGAGGAAGTGAAGCTGGAAGCGTGATCAATCAGCTAGTTCAATGCTATTGTGCAGCACATAGGGAGACGATGCTGTGTTAGTATCCAACCGGAAAGAATACGAGTCTGCAATGGGATTTTTGCAACTACCCGGGATCACGCGAGTGTAGGAGAAGAGGCATTCTTGTAGATGAACAGACAGATGACCAGAAATGGCAATATTGAAGCCGTTATACTAGCTTGCACACGAGCTAATCCAGAAAAGGAAGCTCATTGCACGAAATGAGGGGCATCATGTCAGACTCTGTCAAACACGAGCATACAACCTCACTGCTCACACGACTGCGCGCCTAACCACGATGACTCGAACGACAAGTGACCCATTGGATGACAGGCTATCAACACTCTGGCATTCAGCCTGTGACGACTATGCTAAAGAAACGGGGATTGCGCTTAGCGATGGCGACTTCCCCAAGATCCACGGTCCCGAGGATCTGTCGCGTCAGCTAGACGCAGAGAAGGACCATTTCGAGGACTTTCGAATGAAAAGACGACCGCTCTTGCATGCTATGCAGATGATCCTGGCACCGTTCGAGAACTGGGGAGATCTGCTTGCGGGTGCAGCCTCCGCAGCTTTTCCTCCGGCGTCGTCCATCATGGGCGCCATGATGCTTCTCATTCGAGGTGCTCGCAGAGTCAGCGAATCGTTCGACATGCTTATGGACCTGTTTCACAAACTCGGTCATTTTGCTCTCCGTCTGGACTCGTACAAGGGGGTTTCTCTCAGTGAAGGGATGAAGACCATCATTGTCAAAGTCTTGGTCAATTTCCTTCGTGTCTGTGCGGCGTCGCAGAAATTGCTAAGTCGGGGGTCGCTCAGAGCAAGACTTACCAAATGGACAAAGAACGTCCTGGTTGAGGATACGTCGATTAGTTCGCTCCTGGACGAGCTGGAGGAGTTGACGAGCCAGGAACACAAGATGGTATCTGCGCATGGGCTCGACCTCACTCACCAGGCGCTCAGAAACACCGCGGAATTACTCGAGCGAGATGACAACAGGAACGAGCGCGAGAGACTGGATAGAGTGAAGAAAGCATTAGATCCCGTCTCCGCGTCCGGCCGCGTCTTCTCCTCAATCAAGGAGAATCGCATACCTGGATCGGGCAGCTGGATTGACGACAGGATCGGTCCTGGTGGCAGAGTCCCGAGCTTTTACTCTGGATTCACGGAGGTCCTGGTGTGGGCAAATCCTACCTGGCATCGAAGATCATCAGCGATCTCGCGACTGCAGACTCATCCGCTCCATCTGCGCCCATCGTCGCCTCTTTCTTCTTCAAGAACAACGATGTCGACCTACGCTCATTCAACAAAGCGCTGCGGACCCTGGCATGGCAAGTGGTCGTCCAGCGATCGAGATTTGCGGCGCATGCAGAGGATTTCTGCCTGAAAGAAGACCCAGCCAACAGCTATGTTGTGTAGAGGAAGCTCTTGCTTGACTTCTTCGTCAAGTCTCCACCGGACGCCGCAACGTGCTTTATCATTGACGGTATCGACGAGGCCGATCCAGAGGAGCAAGAAATCCTCTTTAGTCTGCTCGAGAGCACGTATGCGACAGAGGACCAGACAAGCCCAACCGCACCAATCCGAGTCGTACTTCTGGGCAGGGATTCAGTGCGCGGCATTCTCGAGGAACACTCCCTCGGATGGATTCCGGAGATCGAAATCACCAATAACCAGAATAAGGACGACCTTCACAGATACGTCTCTCAGAAGCTGCAGAAGACGAAGTTGTTTCGCGGCTATCCAGACTTCCTAGACGAAGTTGTCCAGGATATTTGTGGGCAAGCGGAAGGCCTCTGGGAATGGGCGAACCTTGTCATCAAATCTGTTCTGCGCTGCCGGTCCAAGGAACAGATTCGGAAAGTGGTCCGGACGATGCCGCGAGGAATCAGTGCAATGCTACATGCAGAATTGCAGCGTTTGGCTAGAGAGTTGTCGGGCTCGGATGCAATGTCGACTGAGTTTTCCGATGGGGAAGGATCATCCGGGGAAGCAACGACGCAGATTCAACAGCTCAACCTTTTACTCTCGTTTGTGACAATGGCTCAAAAGCCGCTGACGGTGGACCAACTCGACCTTATCTTGGAGGTCATCCTTGAAGAGGAGGTTCTGAGTCTTGAGGATGATCTTCGCACGGTATACTCATCCCTCTTTTCGCTCCGTCCCGCGCTGGTTGAAGAAGAAGATGATGATGAAGTAGAGGAAGACGCAGTTATTGTAACTCTGCGACATAGTTCTTTCTATGAATTTTTCAGCACATCTGTGGAGGCCGCACCCATTCAGGTCGACCCTGACCGAGCGGAGGCGTCCTTTGTATTTGTCTTACTCTATGCTCTCCAAAGAAGAAATGCACCCAAATCAGAGAGGGTGCTAGGACCGATCAGCGGGTATGCTCAGAAATTCCTACCGCTGCATCTCGAGCGTGCAAATCCAGAAAAGGCAGCAAGTCGGAGAGAAGAAATAGCCACTCTGCTTGCCGCTCTCCTCACCGAGGAGCCGATACTCAACCCTCAGCACTGGCTCATTGAACAATACCACGTAATCTATGTTGCCACATACAATCAATATCTGTGCTCTCGCGCAACAGAGATCGCTTGTTACTGGTGGAATACTCAGAAACGTGACACGGCGAACCAGAGGGCAGAGCTGGTCCTGAATTGGCTCTCCCCAGATACGAAACAGCTCCTGCAGGATTGTGCTCGATCTTCGACGGTGGCAAGCGATGCCTGTCCTTTACGGTTCTTTTCTCTCGTTTGGCAGAGTCCTTCTCCCGGCTTTGGCTGGCTCCGAAAGATATCGAAGAGGAAGATGGATTACCGGAAGGTCTCTCCACCTTCCTATTTGTATACGCTCAAATGGCAGGCACCGAATTCCCAACCGCCGAGGGGAAGCTGGCAGGGGTAGTACGCATAGCATTGAGGACTGTCGAGATCATGCAGGTTGCCGAGATGCAGCGTCTCGAGAAGACGCCCGTCTGGCATGCTCGAGTGGCTCAGGCGCTCCTCCTGCATAATAACTTCAAGACAGCCCTCGAACAATTCCAGATCTGTCTTGATGAACATCAGCGCAACCCTATCCTGAGCAAACAAGCGCTATCTGCGATTCACAGAGACATGGCTCGCGCGTGTACCGAGACCGGAAGGTACAGAGAGGCATTAGAACACTCTGATCTGGCCGAGTCGCTGCACGACGCCTCCTGGGATAGTGGCTGGCAGGATCCTATTGGCAGACTGCTGAACACTGCGCAAATGAAGCACTTTGCGAAAATGACCGATAAAGCTGTTGCCACCGCAGATGGGGCCTGGGAAACGTACCTGGGACAAAAGGAGGATTATCGAGACAGGTATACGCTGCATTCATTCTTCTCGGTCTTCCTGGAGCTGCACCAGACACACCGTGTTCAAGATGTGTTGGATTTTGCCGCTTCTCATCCTCAGGAGTTTCAGTTTACCGAAAGAGTAGGTTTGGTCGAGTTCCTCGCTTCAACAATGACTTGGATACGCCGTCTAATATATAGGGTCCTTCACCATGCGCGGACACGGGACGACGGGAAGCTTATTGATCTTGTTGCCTCGGCTGCGGCCAGACTCGAGGCCTCCGAGGGGAAAATAACAGATGACCTGGCGGCGGCGAAATACTTCATCGCGTCACTGATGGTCGAAAACCGCCGGTTCAGCGCAGGAATCCAAGCTTGGTACCAGCTTGCCGCCCTCGACAACCCTCGTGGGGATATGGAAAGGGCTCAGGTGCGGTCACTGAGTCGCTTAGCAGCCGTGTGTCTATGCCATCCGGAGATTCCATTGTGCGACGAGCCCCCTCTGAGATTGGATGAAAAGGCCGAGTACAGTGATATCTGTCTGGTCATCTCGAGTTGGCTGCGGTATCATGGTGATCTCGCAAACGCCCGGACAGCTCTCCGCGGACGTGTGAAAAAAGTATCGAGCTGTTGTCGGACGACGATCCTTCCAACGATGATGATGCCTTCCTGAGCCTCTTTCAGACGTTTCTGACGGCTGCGGACAGTGATGAAGATCTGAGCGGGGCCTTGTATTTGACCAAGGCCTGGTACAAGGACTATCTGCGGGAAGCGAAGAGAGACAATCCCATATCAGAAGGTGGCGTTGCCGAATCTTTGAACCAAGTGCACCTTGTCGATGATGAGCCCCAAGTACCGGATGATGAGGTCTCTGAACGCCGGATCTCGTACACGATCGACTATTTCGCCGAGTGTTCGAACTGCAAGTGTGAGATGAGATCGATCTGCCACTGGTACTTTTGTTTTTGTTGCCCGTTCATGATGCTGTGTCAATGGTGTTACCACGATATCAAGTCAGCCTTATCCCAGGATGGTGCGTCCCATCCCCAGGGTATCTGCGACCCTCGGCACGAGTTTTATTATACCGGCGGTCCGCTTCAGGCCTTTGAGCGTGTACCCGAAGGGATGATGGTCCTTGACGGTCTTGATGGAACGAGGCGAACGGCATGGATCGAAGAATGGAAGGATCAGCTGTCGGAGAAGTGGGAGACGGCGGACTTTGCCTTTGAGGGAGGACTGTCGGCCTGGTGTATGCGAATATTGCCGGAGCCACAGAGATCTCGGTGGGCTAGATTATTTAGGTGTGATTAGTATGGCCAAAGCTTATCCAGTGTCTATCCAATCATAGGTCATTCATTCCTCTATGATTGTAAGGAATATTCCTTTGTGTAAACCGTACTATGATCCTCCTCTCTTGTCTCTAATGTGATAGAGCTGCCTCTATCACATCACAGTCATGCCACTCACTCAATATTAGAGCGATAATCTCTCTTAGAGGAGAAGTAAAGATATAGTAATCTACCAGTAATTGTCCTATGTCAACAGCATAAGTCTAGCTGTACGCCTACCTAATGATGGACACATGAATATTGGCCAATCAGACAGTCTCTCCAGAATCTTCCATTGGCCGATCATTGGTAGGTTTGACCCACTCACACACAATCAGCCAATAGCAATGGAATACTCTGCTTCACAGTAAATCTTAGTGGACAGTGATCAGGCAGAGACAATAAGACCAGAGACATAAGACACCATAAATAGTATCCAACTCTTCCTAGCACTTCCGAAGACAAGGATGCGCTTTGGAAAGAAATAGAAAGAAATTTCCCCTCCCATCTTGCTTCATCATTATCATGTAGACTAGATTCCACAATACCAATAGTCCAATATTATATCGATGATCGATCTACTCAATCTATCTATAGCAAGTCATAGTTGGCACCCGCCTAATTACTACAAGGCTACTAGACCAAGGCAAGAAGGAATGGGCCTAACCACCCCCGCCATCATCGTGATCGTCATCGTCGCCTGTCTAGCCGCCGTCTCGTTAGGCGCCGCGCTCACCCGCCAACTGTACCCCGCCGAGTCCTACGAGCGCCGGTTCCAGCCCTCGCATGCCCAGGAGATGTATATGCGGTCGGTGCGGATGAGGAATCTGGGGATTTTTCGTCGCGAGAGTCTTTTTTCCTCTGCATCTGTGGGGATGGGCAAGGATTTGGAGAGTCGATGTAGGTTCTTTCCCTTTCCTGGATCGTCTGATGCTGATGATAGTAGATACTGTTGAGGAGACGAGTTCGAGGGGTTGAATCTATCTACCTATGATTTGGTTGGATGCTTTACTGGATAGATGATATTGATTGATACCTTTCCTATGGCTATGGCTATGGCGTTATGACGATGGATTGATGATATGATATGATAGGAATGAATGAATATGAGCCAGATACCTGTTTCTTTGAATATCTACATACGATCTATCGAGTCGAGTAAGGATGCAAACACTGGCCAACACACTCCAGCTCAGGGTTTTCTTCGCCGAGGCTCCTGTTATTAGCGAATGATAAGGGAGTCCAATTCGCCCCGCCAGTTCCGCCTTCTTGGCACCCAGAGAAATCCTCTTGGCAACGCCCCCTGATTGGCCCCCAGACGCACGTGTTTCGCGTCTGGGCGCTGACTGTGGGGAATCGCCTCGTGGGGGGTTTGTCAGATACGACGCAGGCCATTTATGACGGTGCCAAGCGGTTCGCCCATGCCTGTGCCAATGCCCGATTCTCGGCGCCAAGGGGCACCAGAGTGACGAGTTTTCGCTGTGGTGGGGTTCCTGCTCTCCCTGGGGGTTTATAAACTGGGCATTCCCCTGTCGGTCAGTTAAGTTTGTTTCCTCAGTTGAATCCCAAGGAATTGAGTCGAGTAAGATGGAGAAAGGCGATGTCCCGGGCTCCAAGCCCCTCTCCCACCCAGCTCACACTCTTCCCTATGAGGCCGTCCTCAAGGAACTCTCCACCAGACTCAATGAGGGTCTCACACCTGACGAGGCGGCCCGTCGGCTGCAGACGTACGGCCCTAATAAACTCGACGAAGGCGAGGGCGTGTCCGTGGTCAAGATCCTCGTCCGGCAGGTGGCCAACGCAATGATGCTAGTTAAGGGACCCACTTTGCTTTTGAGCGATCAACGAACTTGTCTGATCCAATTCTAGGTCCTGATATTGGCCATGGCGGTCAGCTTTGGCATCCAGTCGTGGATCGAAGGCGGCGTCATCTGTGCCGTCATCGTGCTTAATATTGTTGTCGGATTCTTCCAGGAGTATGCGGCTGAGAAGACCATGGAGTCATTGCATTCGCTTAGCTCGCCTACGGGTACGGTCTCCCGTGGTGGACAGACCTTTTCGGTCCCCAGTGCGGAGATTGTCCCGGGGGATATGGTCGAGTTGCGTACGGGTGATACTGTTCCCGCTGATATTCGGTATGCCTCCCCCACAACCTGTCCTGTTCCTTCGAATGGTGAGCTGACAAAAACAGTCTGGTTGAAGCAGTCAACTTCGAGACAGACGAAGCCCTTCTTACCGGTGAATCCCTCCCTGTCCAAAAAGACTGCGACGTCGTCTTCAAGGAAGACACCGGCCCCGGCGACCGGCTCAACCTGGCCTACAGCTCCAGCACCGTCACCCGCGGCCGGGCCCGCGGCGTGGTCATCGCAACCGGCATGGCCACAGAGATCGGCTCGATTGCTGCGGCCCTGCGCGCGGGAGACAGCCACCGCCGACCTGTCAAGAGGGGCCCCAATGGCGAGACTAAGAAACGGTGGTATGTGCAGGCGTGGACGCTGACGGGGACGGACGCGGTGGGCCGGTTCCTAGGCGTTAATGTCGGGACGCCGCTGCAGCGGAAGCTGTCCAAGCTGGCGATCCTGCTGTTTGGGGTCGCGGTGCTGTTTGCTATTATTGTGATGGCATCGAACAAATTCGCTAGTAGCAACGAGGTCATTCTGTATGCGGTCGGTACAGGGCTCAGTATGATCCCGGCGTGTTTGGTCGTTGTGTTGACCATTACCATGGCTGTTGGGACTAAACGCATGGTCGAGCGGAATGTTATCGTGCGCAAGCTTGATTCTCTTGAGGCTCTGGGCGCTGTGACAGATATCTGCTCTGATAAGACGGGCACCCTGACGCAGGGCAAGATGGTGGTCAAGAAGGCGTGGATCCCCGCCAAGGGGACGTACTCTGTTGGCACCAACAATGAGCCGTTCAACCCGACCGTCGGTGAGGTGACGTTCACCCCTGTGCCGCCGGTGCGCTTCGACGAGGAGAAAGAAGGCTCTGCGATCGGCGACCTGGAAGAATTAGCAACCAACGAACCCCGGCTCGAGGAATTCCTCAACGTCGCCGCCATGGCCAACCTGTCGCACGTGTACCGCTCGGAAGAAGGCGAGTGGCACGCGCGCGGCGAGCCCACCGAGATCGCCATCCAGGTCTTCGCCGCGCGGTTCAACTGGAACCGCGACCGGTGGACCAAGGGCGAGAGTCCGGTCTGGCATCAAAAGGCCGAGTTCCCCTTCGACTCGACCGTCAAGAAGATGTCCGTCATCTTTAGCAGGTTCGACGGCGACACCGAACGCAGCATGGTCTTCACCAAGGGCGCCGTCGAGCGCATCCTCGACGCCTGCACGACCGTCATCTGGGAAGATTGTTCTACCCCGATTGATCTCACTGACGACCACCGCACGATTATCCTACAGAACATGGAAGAGCTGGCGAAGCTCGGCCTGCGCGTGCTGGCGCTAGCACACAAACCCTACTCGCAGTCAACTCAGCTGCTCGAAGGCGCAGACCTGCAGCGTGATGAGATCGAGCGCGATCTGTGCTTCCTCGGCTTGATTGGGCTGTATGATCCGCCCCGCCCCGAAACCGCCGGCGCCATCCGCGCCTGTGCCCAGGCCGGCATCGCCGTGCACATGGTGACGGGCGATCACCCGGGGACTGCCAAGGCCATCGCGCAGCAGGTGGGAATCCTCCCGTCGGATCTGGGAAGTGTCGCCGCGGACGTGGCCGACGCGATGGTCATGACGGCGGGGCAGTTTGACAAGCTGACTGACAGCGAGGTGGACGCATTGCCGACCCTCCCGCTGGTCATTGCGCGATGCGCCCCGCAGACCAAGGTGCGGATGATTGATGCGCTGCATCGCCGGGGCAAGTTCGCCGCGATGACAGGCGACGGGGTGAATGACTCTCCCTCGCTGAAGCACGCGGACGTCGGCATCGCGATGGGCCAGGCTGGCTCAGACGTCGCCAAGGACGCATCGGACATCATCCTGACAGACGACAACTTCGCCTCGATCCTCAACGCCGTCGAAGAAGGCCGGCGCATCTTCGACAACATCCAGAAATTCGTGCTTCATTTGCTGTCTGAGAACATCGCACAGGCATGCACGCTCCTCATCGGACTGGCATTCAAGGACCTGGACGGGCAGTCCGTCTTCCCGCTCGCCCCCGTCGAGATCCTCTGGATCATCATGATCACCTCCGGCATGCCGGACATGGGTCTGGGCATGGAAGTCGCCGCGCCAGACATCATGGACCGCCCCCCGCAGACAAAACAGGGCATCTTCACCTGGGAAGTCATCGTCGACATTTTGGTGTACGGCGTATGGACCGCCGCGCTCTGCCTTGCCTCCTTCTCAGTCGTAGTCTGGGGCTTCGGCGACGGCCATCTCGCCCGCGGCTGTAACCGCGAGTACTCAGCCGAGTGCGACCTCGTCTTCCGCGCGCGCGCAACAACGTTCGTCTGTCTCACATGGTTCGCGCTCTTCCTGGCGTGGGAGATGGTCGACATGCGGCGGTCGTTCTTCCGCATGCAGCCCGGCTCGAAGAAGTATCTTACGCAGTGGATGTATGATATCTGGCGGAACCAGTTCCTGTTCTGGTCGATCGTTGCGGGGTTCGTGACGACGTTCCCCATTTTGTATATTCCTGTTTTGAACCATGTTGTGTTTAAGCATACGGGGATCTCGTGGGAATGGGGGATTGTGTTCGTGGAGGCGGTGCTGTTCTTCCTGGGGGTGGAACTGTGGAAGTTTGCCAAGAGGGTGTATTTCCGCCGGCAGCGGGGGAAGATGGATAAGAGTCTTGCTTAACAGGGCGGGGTTCATCTTAGGTAGGTAGGTAGTAGTATAGACAGGACTAGGTAGATAGATTGGTAGACAGAGGTAGAAAAGTTCCATTGATTAGCAGCCACGTCACCATCCTCATCCTTTAGCTTGTATCTACTGGCCATCTAAATCCCTCATATATCACTAACCTCCAACCGAACTAACCTCCCCCTCTCCACCTCATACACATACCCCGTCACATCCCCTTGCACAAGTCTACTCCCCCGCAAGAACCTCACATCCTCCCGCACACTCTCCTCCAGATCCCCGAACGGCAGGAACTTGATATCCGACGCATCCTCACCAAGCTCTTCCCGTATCTTCGCTCTGATATCCCCGTCGCTGAAGGTGAGCATCCCGCAGTCCGTCTATCCCTATTAGCACCAGTAGTCAAGACAGGGAAGGAGAGGGAATACATGGTGAATGACAACCACATCCTCCGTCCCAAGCAACCGCTGTGAAATTATCAGACTGCGGAGTGCTTCGCTGGCTCGTCCGCCTGCGTTGCGGATGATGTGTGCGTCGCCTTCGGTGAGGCCGAGGGCGGAGAAGACGTCTACTTTGTTAGTACTACTAGTAAGTAGACGAGAAGGGTGGAAGTAGAGGGTACCGATGCGGGCGTCCATGCAGGTGACGACGGCCAGTTTACTAGGTTTGTTAGTTTGATAGCAGTTGGAGAGCTTTAGAGTATGGTACGTACCGCTTTGGAGGGATAGGGAGGTGGCCTTTTGTGAAAGAGGCGGCGTACTGCGCGTTGGCGGCTTCGATGTCTGCTATTTTGGTCATGTTGATAATGCTGTATAGAATAGTCTTCGATATGATGTTAGTGTTGACGTCTTGTATATGTTTTTAAGCCCGGATGATACGCAATTTACCCCGCAAATGGTGACAGATTGCGTCTGATATACATTAATGTAGACAGGTCGGATATAGACAACAATAACAGATGATATTCAAGCCTCCTTGTCATCTTGATATGCGTCCTTCCTCCACCCATGCTCCAATCCAAACACCTCCCCCGTAATAATCCCTTTGATGGTAAACAGCGTATTGATAATCACAATGATCACCAGCATCAGCAGCAACGCTGTTGACCACACATAAAAAGCAGGCGAATCCATAATCTTCCCCAGCTGCACCGCACAGTTCGTATAAACCCCCTGCGTTTGTCAATATCCCTTCCGCTGCAGAAAAGGAGGCAACCTACCCAAGGAAAAACCAACGACCAAGCCCCAAGACTGAACGTCGTACTCTTAAACCCTCCCGGCTGCGCCGCCAATGTATGCAAGATGCTAATAATCGCAAAACACCACCAAAACGTCGCAAACCCCCACGACAGAACCCCCGCGAACTGACTTACCGCGGCAATCGGGCCAGCCGCCTGCGCGCGCAGCAGCGTCCCCCGCGCATACGCAGGGAAACTCTTCTGCACCGCACCTCCCAGAATCTGCAGCGCGAAGCCGCCCTGCCCGAAGGGCCCGCAGAGGATCATATCCTGCCATACTTTCTGCGGAGGGGGCTGCTGATCGGAGAAGTGCTGGAAGAGGATGACGGCGTCGAAGCCGAGGGAGAGGGATATGCCCGCGCCGACGAGGAGGTATGCGACGATGATGACGGGGACTTGGAGGCGGGGGCTGAGCGCGGCGGAGATGCAGATTGTGCCGCCGCCTGCGGCGCAGGTGAGGGCGGCGATGACCGGGAGTAAGATGGCAGGGGGGACGCGCTCGAAGCCGCTGGGTTGGAGTTTGAGTTGGACGTAGGGGATGGTGATGATGGCGAGGGTGGAGAGGAATGCGGCGATCCACCAGAGGACGTAGACACCTATTGCGACGCTGTGGGTGCTGCCGTACTGCAGGGCGACCATCTGGATGATGGTGGTGTAGGTGATGACGATGCTAGCGAGACAGGAGGTCTCGATGAGGTTATGGCGGAGTTCGTAGCCGACTTCTCTGGGGTATCGGATGAGGCGCAGGATGTACAGGAAGAGCGTAACGGCGAGAAGCACGATGGTATAAATCCAGACAATCTTGGCTAGGATACGCAATGCGCCGAACTGGTAGTGCAGTTGGTGCAGGATGACGGAGATGATGCCGGTTCCTTGGGGCATGAGGAACCATTGTGGAGAGAAGTTGAACAGCGCACGGGCTGCAGGGTAGGTTGGAGGATCTGGCATGATATCGATCAATTTGTTGATCAGACATGTCGAGTATGTTGAAGAGGAGTAAAAGGGTTTCATCTATAGAGGAAGATAGACGGAGAATGTCCGGATGACATCACTAATATCATTCCCCACATCAACAAAGCTTATTTCCAGGATTATCCAAGGATAATAGATGTATTATCGATATATCTCTAATTATATCTAGATGTTGATTGATGTAATCACTAATCAACAATATCGCGGACTGTTCAGACAGATAGGTTATTACCTTGTATAGAGTCATCTGAATAGCACATCTTACCTGAACATCATCTCCCCCTTCTCGTCCCGGATGTCAACCCCAAATTCCTAGATAGTCAATTAATATGCTGCTAGGCACATAGTGTCTCAAGCAGTATTATATATAAATACCTCTTCTGCGTTTATCCATAGGTCAACCAGGTCAAGGAAATCATTTCTATGACAAGTCTCCAGGCAAATCATGTACAAGTTCTGTACAACATGCAAGATACATGGCTCTTTACCCTTTCATTTGACTTGGCAAGGTAGGAAGAGCCCATTTTTGCATCCATTCGCTCTCCATAACCTCAGTCGCAGTTGGCCCCTCCTCAGGCCGAAATGCAAGCATAGCCCTCAACATGGCCAACAAGGCAACTTTCTCCTCCTCCTCCACCTCTTGCACCCTAGCCTTCTGCCTTGGCTCCTGCACTGAGTCGCTAAATCGTTGCTCCCAGGTCCTTGGATTGCCGCTGTCGTGTTCCATCGTCGTTGAACCATCTCGTCTAGGAATCCCATTCCACCTACTATTCTAGAGGCAGTTTGCCAAGCATATCAACCTATTCTCTGATTACCCAGTCGGCTGACGGATCGAATCCCCCAAACAGCAGCCGCTGGCTTACAATTTCCCAGATAGTACACGCAAGCGTCCATCTATCATCAGGAAACGAAAGCGGCTCTTGAGATTCGAAGTGAACTTCTGGAGAAACTAAAAGGGCAGGAGCATGAGAATGATGCCCCATTGTGGTAGTCGGCAGGAAGAACTCTCCATAGTCGGTGACGATTACTTGTGCTTCGGATAGAGAAACACGATCGCTTGCTTTTCCTAGCTAGACGGATACAACAGCATGGCTTGAGACTCCGTCTGGGAGTGGACGCTGATCGAGACGCTCCACAGGCTCGGTATGAGGTTGTCCACATTGTTTGTACCACTGCTCTGGCGAGAGAGTGTCATGCTCTGGGGAAGACGAAGTAAGATGTTACCAGCATGAAGATCTGCATGTTTAGCATGTGGGAGAGATGGGTAAGCAAGGGCTACTTACCACCATGGACAATCCCCTGCGAGTGCAGAAACGCCACCGCTTGGGCCAGTTGAGCCGCGATGGCTCTGGCGACAGGCAGCTGGAAGAGTCGAACAGTCGAAGCATCTTTGGCTTCAGCTAGACTCATCATTCCCGGCGACGAAACACAGATGGATCCCCTTGGGTCCGGAAATGGAGAATTCGTCTAGTATGCGAGGGATGTATGCGTCCCCGGCGTGCGGGTTCGTTTTCGATCCTGGAACGCCTAGTTGACGGAGGATGTTGCTTTCTTGGGAGTCAGCTGGATTACCTGCTGCGATTGTGAGCTTTATGGCAACGTATTTCTTAGCTTCCTCGTCCCTTGCTAACCAGACGGTCGAGTATGTACCGAAGCCAAGCTTATGGACAATGCGGTATCGATCGTTCAGCCATGCTCCGATGGGTATTGGATGGTACCCTCCTTGACGGTATCGCTCAAGTTTTTCAACATCGTCGATGGGTATATACTCACCGGTACCACCTGTAGCTGTGGAAGAATTTGGAACGTTCTAGTGTCCAGTATGCGGTGTTGCTATAGTGGAAGGTAGACTCCGCAAGATACAATGCGGACAAGCCATCAGATACACCAGTTAACGCCTTTAACGTTGGGCAAATAGCAAAAACTTGCAGGGGTATGAACCGTATCTTATTATACAAGAGATTATATGCAGAAAGAATTATATAGTCAATGCAATATTGACTTCCGTTTCTCGACGGTCGTGGCAGGGCTTATTCCAGTTCCCATCTCTCATTACTTCCATTTGGCAAGTGTCCGGGGAGCTCCTGCGGGGCACGCGGTGTCTGGTCAACCACCTTTGGGGTGAAGGCCTCCGCAGTCTCAGGTGTCGGTATCGTCTGTCTTCTTCTTCTTCTTTTGATGATTGCGAAGAATACACCAGCGGCGACCAAGGCTATACCAGCCACTCCCCCCACCACAATGCCTGCGATCGCTCCGGAGGATAGTCCGGTGCTTGCACCCTCCATTCTCTGAGACTGTCCAATGTTGCTATTAGACGCGGCCGATTGCGTGGGATCCGAGGTCCCGGTGGATTGGGTGGCATCGACGAGATTGGACACTCCTGGCGGGCAAAAGGACCTGTACACGCGATTGTCCGGATTGACAGCAACAAGATCCTCCTCGGTTGTGGGCTTGGCTGCCCACAGGGTAAACTGGCCGGCGTCTTGATTGACCATGACGTAGGCACTACTGAGGAATTGGCGGCCTAGCTGGGGCAAATCGTCGGCGTTTACTTGTTGCATGGAGTTGAGTACAAGCTCGGGAGCGGACGCGTTGGCCAAGATCGCTCCAGTAGTCTTGTCGATTGTGAGGTCAGGGACGACGAGCTGATCGTTGGCAATGCGTACTTTCAACCCTGAGCTAAGGCTGATGGACAGGTCGCCAGAGTATCTGTATTATTCCTGTAAGCATATGTTCCTCATCCGCACTCGAATTCATGGCCAGGCGAACTCACGGGTTTGTACCTGAAGGATACAGCATCCCATAATAATTGATGCCAAATGAGCGGCCATATGATAACATTCTGTCCCCCGTGATACCCGAGAATCGTTTGAAATATGGCTCGTAAGGGATGGTCATCAGAACAGGGTAATCCGGAACGATGCATGCGGACATGGCAGCCGACTGGCTCCCATCATAAAGACTCGTAGTCGTACCATTATTCCAGTTCAATGAAATGTCTGTGATGGTTACCAACATGCCAGTGCTGCACGCAGGGTTAGAATAGACCAAGCCTTGGGTGAAGTTGGCCCCAGATGCCTTGGCGCGGTCGTAGCCACCAAACACAAAATTGCCGTCCATCTGCGCGTCTGCTGTCACTCCTTGACGGCCCCAAAACATGGCCCATGATCTTGAGGCGATTTTGCCGGTGCTGACGAGAGCATTCAACAAGGTGGAGTTGCGGCCGAGTCCTATAGCCGCCTGCGGATGGTATCCTTCCTCTCCCCAGCCTGACTTCGGCATTCCAACGGGAAATTTGGTCACATTGATGCTCGGTGTGAGGGTTATGGTGTCACTGAATATTTCTAGAGAGGGATATGGCGAACTGTCTGTCGGATAAGAGTCCGTAGAGGTCGCTCCCACAGAAGTCGACTTTGATCTATCGAACAACCCTCCGCGGAAGGTCATGCAGCCCGCTTCGGCCCAGTCCGTGCCACAGCTCCAGCCTGTGGGATAGACAAATGTGTTGTTCAGTGGCCTGGAACCATGTTAGACATAGGCGTTGTAATTTCACGAGTGCCATTCTGTTATGGAGAGAATTACCACTGTGGAAGGAAGGCAAACGGCTGACCAGGTGTCCCTACGGAGACGTCGAGCCCGCGGGCAACTTGATTGTTGGTGAGAGATACATTGCCGACCCGCACGCTGAATGGGGACGGGACACAATCAGCACCAGCTGAGGAGACCATGAGAAGCAGGAAGAGAAGAAACGAGAGCAAACAGGAGCTCGAGGGAGCAGCAGAAAACAATATTCGATCATCCGGCATCTCGATTATCCTCAGATTGGTTTTGAATAGTTACACACCACCCAAGGAGGCACGGGGCATAAGGAAGGAAGTTTTGAACACTGCCACGAGGCTGTCTTACTAGTGTCTAGATCCAACGTCGCCGAACTTCTGTTCGAGGAAGATGGCCAGGCGGATTATGCGCCAGGTAAAGCGCCTAGAGGACCAATATTGCCTGGTTATATTGCGTTATCACAACTTTTAGCCAATCCACTCAGCCCGTGTTTGATTACGGAGTAAACCGTACTTTGTGTCTATTAACAATATCGCCCTGCCCAACGACTTTCCTTTTTCCTGATACCACCAGGACGCAAGTTGACTGCGCCGCTCTACGCATAGTTATGATTGGCCCAAGCTGCCAGGGGTCTCGATGGCTGGCGCCATAGTGCTTGTACTTTTTTGGGATGGCACTGGGAGCGGGCCGCAATGATAATATTAATAAATGGAAAAGTCGTTGACTCGTTAGTTAACTAATAGGACCAACTGAGTCAATGAAAATGTCGGAAGTGGGGCCTTACTTTGCCGGTTAGTTCTCGAGTAGCCCTGCCTAAGATGACATGTTAGTTACATGGCCAGAATGATAATTGTGCCTACACAGTAGATAGGTGCTGGAGTGGAGTGAGTTCTCATGATATTCTCTTGTATTAATCTAAGTCCGTGCTATGACTATGTGGAGCCACTTGTAGAGGGGGAAAAAAAAAACATGGATTTCAGCAATATAGGTCAGAGAGCCCTGTCCGGACCTATGTGTGGAATAATATTAGTAAGCGTATTAACCCGGCTTGTCTGGGATACTTTATAATCATGGGCGCGTGCCCCCAGACTGATGAAAACAACCTCTTCCACCTCCTTTTCGATTTCTTCCCTGCGACCTCGGGCCATGATCCGATCCCACTCCTCACACCTGGTTTGTTTGAAGCAGGCTCGTGCCTGTCTCAATGGTTCAAATCTGCACCCACCAGGCCATGCCACACACTGGCGCTGAGCAAAGCCCCACAATGTCGCCCAGCGGGTAATCGCTCATCATGATTCGTCTTGGAGGACTAGGATATGTTTCTGATACCAACTAACTAGCAGCCTGAGCAGTCGCCACGAAAGTTGAAACAAGCCCAATCATGAACCTCTCTGGGTCCAAAGCTGCGTTGGCATCAGGAATTAGGGGCCTTGCTGAGCAGCTGATCGCCTATCTATCTCCATATCAAGACTAGCTAGGCCGCAGCGAGATTGACGGACCTCTGCATGCTTACTTTTCTGTGATAGACAGGCTCCACACTCCGCAGTCCAGAGTCTCTCTCTCTCTCTCGCCATATCTTCTTGGCGCACTAGGCAGAATGGTCATTCGAATGGAGTCTGCCGCCACTTTCAGGTTCCTCTCATGTTGACCTCCTCTCAGTGTTTACCTGTTCTTTTGGCTGATGTTTCCGTTTGAGCTTATTGCTACCAGAGTCTCATGTCCTGGTTAAGCCTCAGTTCCCAACGGCGGGTTGTACGGCTCTCTGCCACTGTAATTGGCGTGCTTTTTGTTCTTTTCCTCTTACATGTAACACTCACAAGGACGCGGTTTCAATATTCTCCGCTGCCATCTTCCACATCTGGCCCTCGTCGAAATGATTCCGATACGAAGGGCCATCTCCCAAACGCAGAACAGGCACCTACTCTGCCCGCTGAGTATTCGGCGGTGGCCGAGGAGCCATCCTACTGCGCAGATCAATTCGGTATCACATATCTGGAGAAGCTGCGCGACTCGAGAACCGAGTACTGCACTCCAAACTCGCCTTCAGGCTTGACCTGCTTCCACAGTCAATCAGCGTCGGGCTCGCGCATCGACACGTTCTGCTTCGGGCGCGGAGCTGTATACGATCCTGCTCAACGACTTTTTGTTATGGACTGTCAACTGCGGGATTTAGGTGGCGAGAACGTACCCACCTTCGGAAAATTTCACAATTATTGGTACGAGACAGGCCCTGGGATCGTGTTCCAAAAGGCAGTCTCCCTCCAGGGCAAGCTCGACCATACCGTCCCTCCCGTAGTTTCAAACCACACGATCCTGATTCAGCGAGAAGGGGCGGGGAATGTCTGGCATTCTCTCATGGAGATCTTTTCCATGACCATGACCTTCGATGTTCTGCGCATGACTGCGGGCCCCAACCCGCACAGGCCGCTTTTCAGTATTGGTGACATCGAAAACACACAGGTCGTCATCCTGGATGAGATCGAAGATGGGCCCTACTTTGACCTGTGGAAGATTTTCGCTCAGCGGCCACCACTCCGAATCAGCGATCTGCGTCCGACCAACGAGTTCGAGAACCTGATTGTGCCCCTGGCGGGCGGATCGAACCCCCTCTGGCAGGGTGATTGGGAGATCCATTCATGCGAAGACTCTGCACTGGTCCATACCTTTTCCAGACGGGTCCTCTCTCACTTCCATGTGGAATTTCGCCGACCCCGGCAGGGCCCGCAGATCGTGGTGACTTTTATCGACCGGACGGGAAGCCGAAAGCTGATCAATCAGGAGGACTACTTCAAAACAGTCAAAAAGCAATTTCCCCATATCACCGTTCAGATGATTGACTTTGCCAGCATTCCATTCCGGGAGCAGCTGAGGATTGCCCAGGAATCTGACATATTGGTGGGCGTGCACGGCGCCGGTCTCACGCACGGTATCTTCCTCCCATCCGGCTCTGTGATGGTCGAGATTCTCCCGCCGGGTTTGAATCACAAGGGCTTTCGCAACCTTGCTTCGCTACTTGGGCATTTGTATTTCAGCGCTCACGCAACGAAGCCGGCTAAAACTGTGAAGCGCGACGACTGGCATAACGATGACGTTTATCTCGAGCATGAAAAGTTCATGGAGTTAATGAATGTTGCCATCAAGGCTTTGTATAACAGAGGAGAGCGGAACTACGACGTGAACTGATCCAAGGGGTCATGTTGCACGGGATGTGCTGCCAATATAAGCTGGCCAATGCGTTAAGAACTCGTATATAGTGATGCGATTGATTGCACTTGGACAAATAAGGCAAATTATCTTCGAGATTTGGAGTGCTATTTCTCGTCTTTCCGGGTATAATCACTTTCCAACCATGCTCGAACTCTTGAGGCTTCTTATCAATTGACGTGTGAGATGATATCCTCTCATACTTGTACAATGACGATACAGCGGTTAGATTCCAAGCTGGCAGGCCCAAACTGCGGCGCAGCCCGCAGCTTTAGTATCAAATCATGCATGCCGCTGTTTCAGAATGTGATTTTCCCAAAATACCTCCCTCACGCATTCATAAGCGCCGACTTTCCCTATCACTTTAATCCCCTCCTCAAAATGCCATTCTCATCCTCCTTTTACCTCCTAAAAACCAAACAACATGGCATGTTACTACCGCAACGGCACCCACGCCGTAGACGACACCCCCTGCCCAAACGCCAACACCTGCTGCCCCTCCGGCGCAACATGCACGGATAACCTCCTCTGCCGCGACAAGAACAACCACGCCAACGGCTCGCTGACTAACTTCCCCGATGGCCATTCGTATAACTACACGGGTCTCTACTATACCCCCTCCTGCCAGGATAAGAGCTACAAGGGGTGTTCCATAGCTTGTACGACGTGTACGTTTCCCCCCTAAGCCTACTGACAAGGTGGCTGTGCTGATGATGTTAGATGATTCATACCGCGGGCAGTATATCTGGGCGTGTAATGCCGCGCTGACGAGGTACTGTTGTCATGAGGATGAGGCGAGTTTGGGTCAGGGGGATTGCTGCGAGGGTGGGACGTTTGAGTTGGCGGCGCCTGTGTCTGGGTCTCCGTCTGTTTCTGCTTCTGCTTCTGCTTCTGCGACTTCGAGTTCGAGTTCGATGTTGGCTAGTGCGCCGTCGGCGTCTGTTACGTCCTCAGCCGCGACGGCAACAGCAGCAGCTACAACGAGCCTGTCAACAGGCGCAAAAGCTGGCATTGGGGTTGGCGCTGCAGGAGCAGGGATCATCATCATCGTGCTGGTTGCACTGCTACTCAGAGCACGCAGACTTGCCGCCAACACACCAGGGCAAAGTCAAAGTGAAAAGAATACATTTTGGACAAGTGGAGCCAGAGCCAGAGCCAGACGAGCGGAACTCGAGTCGTGCGCTTACGCACCACCGAGCGAACTGTCTGCGAAGCCGGCACCCAGCCGCTTCGAACTGGGTTCTTAATATGTACATGACTTGATTATGACTGCATCAGTTATGACCGCAACCGTACAGTCGATGAAACATATACGCGAATATCTACAAGAAAAGAACTGGAAGACGCAGACTACAGACGGAAGAAAGTCGACAGTGTAGGTGAGATCGACTGCTTCTTCACGCTTGGTGGCTTGGACTCGGTGGCCGGTTTGGACTCGGTGCTCGGTTTGGGGGTTCCTGGTCGAGAGTGTTGTCGGTAGAACCGGAAGGGCTGTGAGTCTATGGGTGAGACGCCCAGAGCACGCTCCGAGGTGTTGCTACTGGAGGCATAGTGCCGGCGTTCCTTGATGGGCCAGGTGGAGAGACAGGCGCGGGGGAGGAGCCCTTGCTTTTCGGTGTCGGTCAGTGTGCATAATGCCTGGGGAGTCAGTCGATATACCCAGAGGAACTGGTGGACTAGACTTACCCATCCGTCGTCAAAGATTTGCTCCAAGCGCACCATCTGTCCCTCGCCAACCTGCAGCTGGCCGTCGCTGCGGGACGTAAAGTCCATTTCGACACGGTACACCTGCTTTGTCCACAGTTTCACCGATGACACCTCCGGCTGCATCTGGGAGGGCGCTCGCCCAGAATATGCGGGGCTTCCCTCCCGCGAGGTGCGTGGTGGGGGTGACTGCCGCTGGGATGGAGCCGAGGTGTACTGCGACGGCGAGGGGCTTGGCTCCCGGACCGCCTCCTGGTGTCGCTTGCCCTCCCCCGAGATACGTCCCGCCAGTGCGTCGACGCTGATCTCCGCAGGGTTACTCATGGCGACAGTGCCAGAGGAAACACTCCGCACTTTGACCAGGTCCAGACTATCGCTGATGTCACATGGAGGCTGAAACTGATCCGCTTGCGGGTAGCTGTCGTAGGCGCGCGAGTACGGAGTGCGACTGCTCATGGGGCTCCATGTCGAGGACGCGTTGTCTTTCTGCGGCAGAGGCTGCGCTTTGAACGGTGCTGTTACTGTTTTGACCGTCGACGAACCGTTGGCGTATAGACCGGCGACAATCTTTTGCAGACGCGTCGGCGGCGGTGGGGGGGCGTGTTCGAACTCCTGTGCGAAGACATAGCCGTGGGAATAGCGGCTGCGCCTGTCGGGGGGCTGTTTTCTGCCTCGTAATGGTCTAACCTTGTCCGCAGCCAGGGTGAACAAATTGCTTCTTATCTGGTTGCTTTGTGTCTGGTCGTTGGAGTAAATGCTGCTGCTTCTGTCATTGATGGATGGCGATTTCTCCCTGGAAGCCTTGAAGATATCCGTTACATTGACCAGCGTGGAGGTACTGCTTGTATACAGATTTGAAGCGAATCTGTACGCTGGATTTGGCTTCTCTGTCGGCGGCGGCGACTCTTCCCCTCGGATGGGCCTCAGGAGAGCCCGCTTCTTGCGATACAGCCACCAGACGATTATCCCAATCAAGATGATGGCGAGGCTCACAGCTGAGATGACAATCCCCGCCTGCGCGCCAGGGGTCATCGTTTCCCAGCGAGGGGCGGCGGGAGCTGAGGTGGAGGTGGCATGGGATGCGCTCTTGGTAAAACTAGCCCGAGTGGAGGTCGGCATCGAGACGGTATGAAGGGTGGTACGGATGGTAGAGTTGTAAGAGGTGGTCGAAGATGTCGTTGATGAAGAGGCGTTTGTCGAGGTAGTCATTGTGGCGATAAGTTGAAGTGGATGGTCGAAATGTCCTTGACGCAGATCCAGGGGCACTTCTGACGGCAGGGCCGCGGGTTTTACAGCAGCGGCCTTGGGGTCAGGCAGTGTGTCTGTTATTGTTCCACGAAGCATTCCAGACTCGCTCGAGCCGTGTCCGTCAAGCATTGCGTCTGCTGTCGCGATTGGCTTCGTCTCTGTGTTACCGACTTCATTGGGAGGATCTGCAACGACTGACAGTCGAGCATTACCAGGATGATACATCCCATTATCATACGATCGCCCTGGGACTTCTTGTGATAAAGCTTTTAAGCCCTGATCTCCTACAGGGATACTCGCAGTGACAGATGTCATGTCGATGGTGGTGACGCAAGAATGTTAGGGATGAAGAGTCCGGACAACTTAGATGCCAGCTCAGTCGCACAAGCATTATTATAAAATTGAATGATTTGTTTGTTTATTTTGATGCTGAAATCCTGCCCTTTCAAGACATCCTATTAATAGTGTGATGCTGTGATGCTTTTGCGGATGACCTCGACCATGCGCCAAGAATGTTGTGGAAAGCTGGAATGACGCCCCTGGATCGGGGGGTCAGCTTTTCATAAAGTCAAACCCCCATAGTCTGTTACTGGAAGGTTACGCCGAGGATCGAGTCGGACAGTGGTGTAGAGGGACATCTTGCGTCAAACGGTCGATCGGTGGAATGTGAGTCGTCGATGTAGTGGTGGTAGAGTCTGCGGATGAAAGCAATCAACATGGCTACTGACTCGTAGTCCGCAGAAGCATGGAAAGCAATTTATCGGTCAACCGGGGAAGAAGTCCGTTCAATCGACCTTGTCCTCGGGGAGGAACTACTTTGATTATCCTCGCTCTGCATGGATAACATCATATCAGAATCTGTGAAGCATACCAGAAACTTGCCCTCTGGGCTGTTCCATGGAGAAGAGAATGTCTTCCGCTGTATCACGCTAGTTCATTCTGAGTTTGGAAGAACCTGCAATCAAGTTTCCTGTGACCCCGCAAAAGAAGAGGGCTATGTGTTGTGAAGATGTTTTGCGGTCTGATGGAGGGTTGCTGTTGTTGTTGTTGCGGTTGGCATATTACTTAACGTCCGGCGCGGCACGGCCAACCCACGCCACCGGACCCATGGGGTATTGTACGTGCTAAGCCATCATTATGTATTGTGCATGCAGATGTGCTGTATTAGAAACCAATCTAGCTAAAGCAGTGTTACGTGCCCAGTCGGCTGAGGTTTTCGAGCATGTGAGATGGACTCGCTGAGTGTGGCGCACGAGCTGGGAATCAGCTTCTGGTGGTCAATCTGGCGGGGTTGCCCGGGGAGCAGAAGGATAGTAGGCAAAAACCAATGGTAATGTCGATGGATTGTTTGATCTGTCATGGAATGCGTTGTTTCAGTCTGGCATTCCAGTGGCATCATAGCCGGGCATGAGTATTCGCCCTTGATTGAATCGACCCAAGCAGTAGAAAGCAATGGCAGCCATGTGCAACTTATCGTAGTCTAGAATAATGTTAGTTGTCATGGATTCAGTGTTTATCACAGAGTGTTTGCAGGCGTACACTGTAAATTGAATCTCCCAATGTGCCACTGATTTAGCTCAGGACTGCCTCGTTCTGGAACACATGTCTGAAGCCAGTGGGATCATATAACCGACCCTGAAACTTAGTGGAAGGGTCGGTTAGGAGTCGATGAATGAGGTCTAGAGGTGACGACTCTGGTGATTGATCTCTTCATGTTGGAATCATGATCTTCGTCTTCATTGATGGCTGGGCTGTTGATATAGATGGAGTATTGTATCAACAGGAGCATTTATCTGGCTCGCAGCACTTGTAGTCAGTTTAAAGCAGCTGATCTAACATGAAGGGTGCTGGAGCAATCTAATATAATAGACTGAATGGTTGAATTATATGACTGTTGTTAGTAGGTAATCTTGTGGTTCCAATGATCTCGTCCTACCCAGTGTTCTAGTCTAGAGAGGAAATCCAGCCGAAATATATAACCGACCCCATACTGTTCTGAAGCACAACTCCAAGAACAACACTAATACCATTCCTATATACTAGAACCAGAAATGTCTTGGACCTATTACTGTAAGTCGAATCTCTTGACATCAATTATCCTCCTGCAATCAGCCGGTGAGAAGTGATATAATCATGGCCTGAGACGTTGCGATCGGTACTGAGTACAATATTGACGAAGCTAATTAGCATCACTCTACCCCTGCATAACTACAAACTACTGTGAGGCTCATTGTATATCAGTAGAGAGGTATATCTGCTGCTGAAAGCTGTCTGAATTGGTGACCTCGGCTGAAGCTTCCGGGGCAATCCAAAACAGGTAATAAGCTGCTAGCTGCCTCAGGCACAAACAAACCGTCCGATTCATCCCGATCAGGGGTCAGCAATCACTCTCTTGACTGAGGAATCTTTTGATATACGAGTATTACAGTGCAATCCTGCAATTATACTCCGTATGTTCATGACCTCTCGAATATCAACCTACTTATGTACTCTTGTACTCATTAGGGAGGTGCTCTCCTGAAAAGCGTCGAGTGAACATCGGAGGAAATCGGCAGTGGTAGCTTCAGAGCAAAAGGAATGCCTGTACGCAGCATGGGTGCATGCTTCAAGCACTGGCAGGGAATAATTACAGAGGTGGATTACGTAACAGTGCATATGCAATCACCAGGTCATGATGATCAGCTGCCGGGAAATGAGGCTGAGTGGTGAAGCTACCTGCAGGACGCTACTGCTAATTTCCTCTTTTTCAACATCAACAGTATCAATTGACCTCCGTAGATGTCGAATATTCAGAAGCTGTGTAGATATATGTGAAGGCAAGAGATCGATATCAAACTATCCCAAGGTAGCAAACAAAACGTAGACTACGTATCCTCTGCGGTGTGTACTGTCGGTGACCTCAGGATGATCTATCCGCAGAAATTTCAGGCTAAAACACGGAGGATTCTAGCCTGCTTCGGAGAAAGGCAAAACAGGGCGAACCCTCTGATGTATCCAGGGATATATAACCGGTGCAGCTTCCCTCGGATGAGTCGCATTTGACCTCTCAATTTGACCACTCCAGAGGTCTCTTTCAAGAACAGCTGAGCTGAGGACAAGTGCCTTCCCACAGCTCAGAGAGAACGTGACGGATCGATGAGGCCAAACCAGTCGGTGAGACATTTGGTTTGGCAGTTTCCCTCGGAACAAGAGAACTATTTTTCCCTCCAGCCGAAACCAGTGGCTGGTCTCTTCCTGTTCTGGTCGTTTCTGGCGCACAAACTCCGGTTCTGGTGGAGCCGCAGCCCGAATCGGCCCGGTTTTATTGACTCCGACACGGCGGCCTGCTTCTTTGCTGTTTATGATTGGCGGAGAGCTTTGGGTCTGGTGGGTCGAACCAAATTATCGGACCCATAATTTGATCCACCGCACGAGAAAAAAATTCGTCATCCATCCTGCTCTTGCCAGCTCCAGCTCTCTCCCTTTTGTCTGCTGCCATTCTTCTGTCAATTGCTTGGATTTATTGTCAATGACTCAATTGACACTAAATAGTGTAGTAGATAGTAAGTCAGAGTAAATATGTATCAATAATAGTAGAGTGGAGGATCGATGGTTAGTCTGTGGACTCTACGGAGCTGCGCGGCCTGCAAGGACCCTGAATAATTGGCTGTACCAGGACAAATGCCACCTTGGCCATAACCCGGACGAACCCGATAAGTGCATCCGGAGTGGGAAGGCCAGGTAGGTTGTCTGGTCAATGAGATACCTTGGAGATACGGATAGAGGACGACTGCTAGGGCTTGCTCCCAACGCACTAACACCGACTGGTGAAAATTCGGCATGGAAGTATTTATGTCCTTGATGGGTCTCTGGGTCATCCTGCCCTCCCGCCTTTTTCTCCCCCCAAAAGCTCTCCCAGCTCTCCTTTTTCCTTTCTCTCCTCTTTTTTTTCCTTTCCTTCCACACACTCTAACCTACCTTCTTTGAGACCATCTCCAATCTCAAAAAACACCACCACAAAAATCACAATGGCCTCCTCTCGTGTCTTTGCCTCTCGCCTGGCCTCCCAGATGGCCGCAACCACCAAGGTTGCCCGTCCTGCTGCTCGTCTCCAGCTGGCTCCCAAGCGGACCTTCACCACCCAGCGCAAGACCGCTCTCCCCATGACCCCCTTCCAGACCGTCAAGCGTCAGCAGCCCAGCCTCATCCAGGCCAACGCTCGCCAGGTCTTCGCCAACGTCCAGTCCCGCCGCCAGTACTCCTCTGAAATCGCCGATGCCATGGTCCAGGTCTCCCAGAACATGGGTATGGGCTCTGCCGCCATCGGTCTCGGTGGTGCCGGTATCGGTATCGGTCTCGTCTTCGGTGCCCTCCTCCTCGGTGTCTCCCGCAACCCTGCTCTGCGTGGTCAGCTCTTCTCCTACGCCATTCTGGGTTTCGCTTTCGTCGAAGCCATCGGTCTGTTCGACCTGATGGTTGCCATGATGTGCAAGTACGTCTAAACGACTTGACCTCTGGGTCCAGGATGTGCACGTTGGGACTAGTTTTTTGAACGGACGGGACGAAACGAAACGAATCAAAAATCTTTCAATACAACGCTGCATATCTGATGAAACAAGACCAACTTCTTGCTTTCAACTTCTCCGTCCGGCGTTGTGTGCGTTGGCTCGGGGGGTGTGTGTTTTAGAGGTAATTTGTGGTGGTCTTTTTGATATATCATGTACTACTTTTCCGCCAGCAATCATCCCAATCAAATAAACTGTACATATAGAGTTTAAAATGGCCACTCACCTGGAGCTCTCTACCTTGCACGTATTCTTTCATGCACAGTAGAATTGATCATGGGGAAGCTTGACAGTTGGCCAATGTCAGTAGTGGACAATCTCTACGGAGTCAAATGCCAGGGTGGATTTGAGATTCCCGCTTTCTCGCTTTTCCGATCTTGTCCTTAGCAACTACTGTTCAATTACGGACAATTCAGCGACTATAATCATTAATGCAATCAATTGCGTTGCGTCGCCGTCTTCAGTTGACTGAGATCTGTGCGGTTGGACTCGGCAATCGGATCACAAACGACCTCTCAACCACCACTTGTTTGCTAACGGACCAAAAAGGAGTCGTTGGAAATGGATACATACATACAGACGCGTATGCAAAAATAATGATAGCCCAGCTCAGTTAACACACCGCCAAGTACAAGTCCTCAAACAACACTGAACCGACAGGGAACCGCAACTGCAATTGCAATTATTGCAGCGTACCAGTTGCCGAGTCACCGCCTGCAACCGAAGTACCTTACCTTACGGGCTTACGGACAACGGGATACGGTAGGACTCAGGCCTATTTCCGATTCGATGCGAGATCGGGAGGTCGTGGCTGTTCTGCAGCAATGCCGGGATTTTGCTTCCAGTCATATGCGAGAGGGATTCATCATCCTGCTGAAGAATGGATGCATATCCTTATGCAGAGAAGCTAGTTATGAACCCCGAAAGGGGTAGACCGGGATATCTACACGCACGCGTTGTTATGGTGATGGTATGTATCACGTGTTCTGATAGAGGACAGTGTTGTAATTAAGAAGAGAAATCATCATTATTATAGGATAGAGGGAGTAGTCTGTTGTATAGTGCTGAATAGAGTCAATGGAGTTGGTGGGACAAGGTCAGCACAGTATGCTGTTGATATATATAGCCTTGACGGGGATGAACCGAAGATTGATGCTGAACTACAGAGTAGCAACTGCACTCTTGTCAGGAATTAAAGCTTGTAGTAGATAGTGATATATATTCTTCCATCACCTCTTGCTTGGAATGACGACTGGCCACCGAAACTGACGTCGAGGTCAGCAACTACAAGCTCTAGGCACTTTATACCACTGACCTCTTCAAGCAAGATGCTTAACCATCACTTCATACACCGTAGTTCCTCTATACTTGTCTCAATCATTGCCGTAACATGATGCTAATGGTGATTAATACCCCACACTCCGCACTCCACAGTCAGGACTCACGGGCACTCCCGGGATGAGATGCCTATCAACAGACCATCCTCAACAATACCATTGAAGACAAAAGACAATTGAAGAATCATGTCCATACATGACCTCTACATATCCCAACCCTCACCTACTGTACCACAAAGCCCTGCCGAAACCACAAGCAGCTGACTAACCGTACCCGGGAAATTATTCTTCCATCAGGTACGAGTCGAGTCATCAGGCACTGACTTCGTAGCTAACAGCGTAAACAGACGATGACCTTCACCACCCTCCTACCAACCTTCACGCTCCCTAATGCGCAAGCAGAGTTGAAACCGACGCCGACTCCCATCTACACCCCCGAGTCCGTCCCGCGCATCAAAAACGCAAAACGGCTGAGCACCACCCGCCGGAAACAGCTTGTCCGGGCTGCGGCGCGAGAACATGATGATCCGCCGCCGCCGCCGGGGCTGGGGGAGTGCTGTGGGAGTTCGTGTGATCCATGCGTGAATGATCTGTGGCGGGAGGAGGTGGCGTGCTGGAGGGAGAGGTGGGGAATTGCTGTCGTATACAGGAGGGGGGAGGCTGTTGGAGAGAATACAAAGACGGGGGAGGAAGGAAATCAAAATCGAGGGTGTGGACAGCGGATGCCGGGGAGTTTTGATTGGTAGCATAGTGGTTTACTGTACGGTTTGTAGAAGAATTGAGCATAGATTGATAAAGCTAGCTATAATGCGATTGCTATTTGACAACCTCTACCTGACTGCCCTGAGGAACCCTGGCTTCATATTCCAGTGTCAATCGGATATCCTTGCCCGGCTGCAACTTCAAAATCCACTTGACCTCGCCGTTCTTGGCTAGTGATACGCTCCCGCTGCCCTTACCCTCCATCGCCATCTTCGCCTGATCGCCTTCCTTTTCCAGTCCCTTTGGCTCCAGGATCTGCACACGCAGCTTATCGTCCTCGCTTAGCGGGACCTGCTCGGACACGATGAGATCAACGGCAATGCTCTTGGTATTCTTCACCCAGCACGTCCGTCGAAAGACGGCCGTATGCTCCTTGCTGAAGAACCCGCCTCCGACGCGGCGGACGGACGGCTTCGCGTACGTTACTAGGATAGACGGATCAACGCCCAAGGAGATATTGAAGGCGTCGTTCGGCGCGCAGTTTGGCAAGGCGGTCGTTCCCAGGAAGGTGCCGTCGACTGTCATACCGGCCCGGCCGCGGAGGATGGTTACAGACGATGTATTCTGGATGCGGGCGCGCAGAAACGCCGCCGCGCGGATCTTGGGCACGATGATGTGGGTAAGAGTCATGGACTTTAGGTCTAGCTCGGCTAGGACGTGTCGTCGATGCACGCTCGACGGCACGAGCGTCCGGCGCCCTGGGAGGTCATACGTTGTAGTCAAGCCGTAGTCTTGTTTGACGGAGTCTTGGTGTTCCAGACTCGCTGCCGCGATGGTTTGGGTATCCTCGTCCTCGTCTTCGTCCTCTTCATCGTCTTCGTTGTCGGGGTTCAAGTTGGAGCTCCCAGATGGGGCTGCCGGGCCTTGTGCCTGCATGGCCATCCCGAACCCAGACGCAGGTAGGCTATCCAACCTCTCTCCCCGCTCGATCACCGGCATGATCTGAGCCTGTTGCTGACTTTGTGCTTGCTGTTGCTGGCTTTGTGCTTGCTGTTGCTGTGCGTTTGAGCCGAACAAGCCGGATTGAGCGGCCGCGTGCGGCGGAGCTCCGAACGCTGAAGCGTGTCCAAACGTTGGTTTTGCGGGTGCAGCTCCGAACAGTGAGACGGGTGCAGCCTGTTGTGCCTGCATCTGTACTCGCGGTATATTGTTAAGCCGCTGTTGATTTGCCTTTTGCATTTCTGCATACTGTTGTCTGAGGAACTTTGCGTGAGCCTGAAGAGGTTGACCCGGTTCGTCGAGGCTGCGCAAGATGTTGTTCCACGAAGGCTGGTCTGCGTTGTTGGGATCCAACTTGATATGCCAGCCTTGCAGTTGCGGAATGCGCTCCTCGAGCCCCGAAAAGGAAGCCTGGGAGGTGGACAAAGTCACCTGGGTGTCCCGCCATGTCTCCGAGCAGGAGTTGTGGAACTCGGCGCGGTAGGTCAGACGAGCCGACGAAGAAGGAGTGCTGATCCTGAGATCGTAGCGAGACACCCAGCGAGGCCCGGGAATCACATATGTCAGACGCAGTGTCACGTCGACAGCATCGGCGTCGCTTCCAGCCTTTCCGACGATCGAGCTGCGTCGGCTCGATCCCGGAGTCATGATCGAGTGACTGTCGAGATGGACCACGACCTGGCTGACGGTATGGGTCCAGAACAGCTTTCGCTCGGATCGCAACTGCTGTTGTTTCTTCTTTTTCTCTTCGCGCTCCCGCAGGCGCTTTTTGCGTTCTTTACGAACATCCTTCAGAGCGGCCTCCTTGGCTTTGTTGTACGCGGTTTCCAGTCGTGCTCGCTTTCGATTGAGTCGCTCTAGGCTTTTCTCCGCCTCTTTTATTTCCACTATAGACTGGTGGTGACGGTCGCATTCGACCGAGTGCTGCTGGACGTAAAGCTGGAGAAAATCATTCAACTTCGCCGCGTCCGCATTCTCCATGCTCAATTTCTTCCCGTAGCCATCCATGAAGTTCGAAACGGCGAGCGACATGGCTTGATTGCCGCGCGCTTTGGCGAGAGCGGCCTCCACCTCTGCGATTTCTTTCCGTACCGTCTGTAGTTCCGAATCATCGATGCCGAAATCTTCATCCGAGTCGGTTTCTAGCGCGTCGCTCAGCTCACTGTCCGACTCTTCGGGGTAGACGTCCTCGAATTTCTCCCGTCGAGGAACTTTGTCGGTCTGGATGTCGGTGATGGTTGCTGAACCGGAGCCGTCGACACGGATGGAATCGGGGTCAACCCGAGGATCGAGTCCAATGATGGTAATTTCATTCTGACCGGGCTGTACAAATTAGCATACATCTTAGCAATTCCAGACGCAGCACTTACTTGGATAGTAGTCTGGATTTCGCGAACCACCGTCGCTCTGAGCGGAGTCAGAGTGACCGATTTGGTTGGAAGGTCAGATACCAGAATGTCAGCCGTTGACACAGACAGAGACATTTTCACGATAACTGATTCCTAGATGCGCATTTCAAATCGCTTGAGGGACTTTGTGGAATTTAAATACGAGTTAGGCCACCTAGCGGGGGAGCCTCGTCCGTCAGCCCCCTCACAGCCACGTTGAATGCTCCCTTGTCTCCTCTGCCTATCCAATGAGCTATAGACATAGACAGAGTTTGACGGAGCAAATCGATCCATTAGTGCTGCCTAGTGTTGGATCAGAGGAAATTTTCGGTTTTCGAAGAAGCCTAAGCTTAAGCTGCTATGATGATCAGACGCATCGCTGGCACGCTTCATAGCGAAGACTCTGTGAGCTGACCTCTCAGAATACTTCATGGTCGCATAAGTCTCGACACCCCTCAAAACAAGAAGAACCGCGATCAACAGCCGAACAATCGCCTCCATATAGAATTCTTTGAATGTATTACTCTAAAACTGAATGTTGTCTTCAGTTTCCAGAGATCATGTTGAGCTGATTACCTCTTTGGGATCACTCTTCCTGGTCTAACCTCATTGAGGTTAGTCTCTGTTGACGTGTTGCCCTTTTGGGAATGATACCCCTATCGTGACTTTTATCCTCTTCTCATAAAATCAATCATCTCTATAGAACTACATATTACGTGGCAGACAAGGAGATCAAAGACGCAATATCGTGATTGACTCATATGTCTCGTCGGCCTGCATCTCCCGAGGCTTCAGGACGCGACTTCGGGCTCTGAAAAGATTTTCGCAGTACCGTTAGGAGTAGTCATGGAGCAACTAAGCTGACGAAAACATGACAGTCGGTCTAGAGTCATACCGGAGATGGGGATCAGGTACGCGTCCGAGACCAGGAGCATCTCTAGCCGAGATTAACAGGGCCTGACTCAGTTCTCTTAGGCAAAGAGACCCATGCTGATGGCTTACAGCCCTGTGGATAATTCCTGTCTGCGGGAGTCCTTTCTCATTATCTCACTCATACCAGAAGTTGAGTGGAGGATATCACTTTTGAACTGGGTGCATCGACCCGAGTCTTGCTGCAGGAACGGAGCACTGGTCATATTTGGGCTCTCATATCTAGGCTCTATAAGATGCACAAGAGAAATTGAGCGTTATTGCTGCCATGTAAGCCGATGTGCATACATGAGTTATCTACAAAACCGACTTCTTACTCCACTGATGTGCCTCGCCCTTCTCCTTCCGCTTCTTCTCCTCATACAACCTCTTGGACAATTGCCGATACAAGAACACGTTCCCCCCATGGTACCGAATCCCATGATCCGAGTCCGTAAACCACTGCACCTGCAGCTTCTCCGGCGTCACGCCCGCCCCAACAAGCGTGTCCACCAGCGCCGCCGCATTCTGGAAATGCACATTATCGTCACCCGTCCCATGCTGGATCAGCACCCCGCCACGCACATTCTTGTACCCAGCTACCTTCCGGATCGCACTGGCATTGTACCCTGCCGCATTGCTCTCCAGCGTCTTCATATACCGCTCCGTGTACATGGAGTCGTAGAACCGCCAGTCCGAGACCGGAGCGGTCTGCACGCCGAGCGAGAACGCCCCGCTATCGGTCTCGATGACTTTGCCCGTCAGATAGCCACCGTAACTCCACCCCCAGATGGCGATGTGGTCTGCGTCGACATAGGGGAGCTTGGCGGCCTGCTGCGCGGCGAAGACCTGGTCCGCGGCTTCGAGCTCGCCGAGCCGGCTGGTGACTTGACACCGGAACGCGCGGCCCTTGTACCCTGTGCCGCGGTTGTCGACCGTCCAGGTGATGTACTCGAGTTCGGGGTCCGAGGCGATGTAGGCCTTGAAGTCGAGGGCTTGCCAGGCTTTGGAAACTTCCTGCGCGCCGGGACCGCCGTAGGGGGTGAAGAGAACGGGGTACTTCTTCTTGGAGGAGAATTTGACGGGGAGGCGCTGCATGACGTTGAGGGTTTCGCCGCTGGGAAGGGCCAGCTCGAAGTAGGTGATGTTCGGCAGGGTGTATTCCTTTAAGCCGTCGAGCACGGCCGCGTTGCTGGTGATGGTGCGCAGGGGCGCGGTGGAGTTGATGGCGTAGAGGTCTTGGTAGGGCACGTCGGGCCCGCGGTAGGAGAGGATGTAGTATCCACCCTGCGAGGAGAAGGAGGCGGACCAGACGGCGGGGACGGTGTCGTCGACTAAGGGGGTGATTTCCATCGTCTTCCAGGAGACGGAGTAGAGGTGGCGCTCGGTGCTGTGGTGTTTGGTCGAGAGGAAGTAGACCAGCTGGCGCGGCTTGTCGATGCTAAGGATGGCGGTCACTTCCCACTCACCCTTGGTCAGGGCGATGGGCTCGCCCCCGGCGACAGGGAACAGCCAGAGATGCGCCCAGCCGGACTGGTCGGAGATGTCGATGTAGTACTCCTCCTTGGACTCGCCGATGGGCCCGATATACGCCATGGAGAGCAGATTATCCAGCCACCCGTCCGTACCGTCGCGTTCATTGATTGTCTTGGTCCTGAGGGAGGCCACATCCACAGCAACGACCTTTTGCCGGTCCTGCACGCGGTTGAACGCCTTGACAGCTACGACGTCATGCTTCTCCGTCAACCACGCCACCTCGCCGATGATCAGCTCCTTTGCATCAAACGCGTCGATCGGGACAGGCGTCCGCTCGCCGGTGCGGAGCTCCAGCAGGTTCAGCTCGACGGTAGGATTCGTCTGCGACACCTTGGGATACCGCAGCTCCAGCTCGCGTGGGTACGGTGGCGCGATCTCTTCATTGTCCATGTAGTACGGCACGGTGAAGGTCGGGACTCCCGTCTCGTTGAACCGCAGGAAGGCGAGGTACGCGCCGTCTGGCGAGAACCAGAGCGCAAACCGGTCGCCGAGGATCTCCTCCTCGTAGATCCAGTCCGGGACGCCATTGAAGAGATCCGGCCCGCCGTCATTAGTGATCTGGCTAGTCGAGGCATTGGTCCAGACGAAGACGTCGTTGCCGCGGACAAAGGCGATGGCGTCGCCGGTGGGACTCCACTGAGCGTACTGGATGTCGCCGGACTGATCTGGGGCGAGCGGCCTCAGATTCATCGACTGCACGTCCTGGATAAAGTAGTCGGCAAAGTACGAGTGGCGGTATTGCTTGGTGTAGTTGGTAGCCCAGAGCACCGAGGAGAGATTGGGATGGATCCAGTAGCTGTAGGCATCTTCTGGCACTTTGTCCGCAGGGACGAGCGTCTGGGTGTTGTTGGTGACGATGCTCTGGATTTTCAGACTGCCGTCCTGGTCTTGATAGACATAATCCCCATCCTCGGAGGTAGAAATCCACTCGACTGAGATGGCCGAGGGGGAAATGGCTCGCTTGACGACCGTCTCGTTGAAGGTCAGTCGTTTCTTGCCGCTTCCAGTAGGGGCATATGGTTGACGAGGGACGTCAATGGCGGCAGCGCAGCCGACCAAAAGGAGAATTGACCACTATTGCATTGTCAATTGTCTGCATTCTCTGGATTGTATGATAAAGTACATACCTTCATGTTGATTGCGGCTGGCAACACAGCGAGCTACTTGCATGGCTACCCCGACCTTAAATATGGGGGAATAACCCCGCATACCAGAGCGAAGATGGTTGTATCATTTTAACCCCGACGGAGAATACGCAGGAGATAGTTCTTGAACTCGATAATCTACCATTCAAGACGCCTGTTTTCACCTGCCAAGCAAACAATTATAGACCGAGGCTGGCTATCAGCGGAGTAGGCCCTTAGCGCTGTAACCCAAGACTGCGCAGACGAGCGACAAGGAATTGACAAGCAAAACATCGTTGTTGATTGGTCTGCAATGTTATTATCGTTATTTGGTCCTTTGGTATGTCTTACTCGGCAATTTCCTAAATCCTGCGGAGCAATTGGGTATATCTCACATTCTATCTATACCAAATTGGTCACCATCAATCTGCCGTGTCTATATGGTTTGACTTAATCTATGATCACATACATTTGATTAACTGAAGGGTCTATTTGTTATCTCTCTCATAAATCTGACGTACTACAGAGTAAGGCACATATACTGCTGAAGGATAGATTATTGGACTTCCGGTTTGGAATGAGGATTGTCTGGACATTGCATGATTCAAAGATCTGCTTCAAGTTTTGTACTATAGTTGATATTGTGTAAATCAACTGCAAGTTGTTTTTATTGGAGGTTATAGAATTGTTGTTGATAGTCAGCGTTGTCGAATTCTACAGTGTCCAGCTCAAAGACAGATACAGTCTACAGGTTCACTCCATTTATCGAAAATAAAGTCATTGTTCTTGCCACTAGACTATATCCACCGCGAAGAAGGCGAAAAGACCACTTTGGCTTCACCATTATCACTGCATCACGACCTAATTACACATCGAACCACCGTCCTCGATTATATTCAACCCTCTCCATCTATCAACACCATCAGCATTAGCCGTGACGACCCACTACCATAGACTACATACCTTTCGTACAAGACCTTCATCTAGAAACCCTGGGGGGCAACCTGGTTTGCATTGCCCAGCACACCGGCATTCACCGCATCGGCGACGTGCTCGACGTTCACGCCGTCCTCGAGCACATCGTTGGCGACGCCGTTGGCAACGTTGTTGCCCTTGATGGGGACGTCGACGTTGACGGGGATTTTGGTATTTTCAAGGTTGACGCCGGCGAGACCATTGTTATTGGATTGGCGACCTGGTTCGTTAGTTGGGTGGTTTACTCTGTAGAGGTTGGGAGACGTACGCGCGACAGAAGGGACAGCCACGGTCATGCCAGCAACGGCCAGGAGGGAGAGGATAGTAGAGAACTGCATTTTGGAGTTGGTTGGAGTTTGAGAGTTGAGCTTGAAAGATGAGAAGGCTTGTTGAGGTGTGAGAGAGTGTTGGTGTTGATGGGAGAAGGCTCGATTGTTCAGGCCTTTTATATCTTGGTTGGCAAATGAGCGGGCTGTTGATCTTCTGCTTAGACGAGATAAAGCTGTATGATCTGTTCCTCATGCACGTATACAGTAAGGCGCTTTCAACGGACTATACATGATCAACAGATCTATACAGATCATGCATGGCCCGATAGTGGCGCAGAAGCAAGGGGCCTCGCGTTGTGATATCACATCTGGGTACTGCCTTCATTTCAGCCCAACCTTCGTCAAAGCTTACTTCGAGCTATCAGCACTCTGATACTAGTCCCCTGCACATGATGAATTATTGCTCATGCTTTCCCTGAAACTGCAAGGACAACCAACTCTATGTACATCTCCTCGCATCGTCGATCGTCATCGCTTTACCTCCCAAGCATACTCGTGCATCCAACTATGAGACAATCCCAAACCTGCTTCACATCTATCGAGTAATAGACTTCCTCAAAAAATCCGCCAAGATCATGATCTCGTCCCCGCTCTTCAACCGCTCTCGATACCGCGGCTCCGTCTTCCAGTGCACGTACCCCCGCCGCATATACCAATCCACATTGCACATCACCGGCGGATTGTCCGCCCACGTCTCCCACAGCGCAAGTTTCTCAGGCCAATCCTCGTAGAAATACCGCCTGCTCATCGAATTGACCGTCACAAAGCGGCACCCCGGACTCCCCCACGGCTCCTGGCTCGCCATCCCCTCAACCAGGTCCATGACTTTTCCCCCGAGACCGTTACGCCGGTACTCCGGCATAATGAAAAAATTCTGGATCGTCAAGATGGACTTATCGGCGCAGGCGAGTTCGGGGTCTGGAGGATCCGCATAGGCGTCCAGGGATATGTGGCCTGCGCGGATCGTGCGTTTCTCATCTGCGTGGTCGTCTGCATTGTCCCTTGGAGGAGATTGGGCGGGAAGTGTGATCCAAAAGAACGATTTCAGGTTCTGGTCTTGCTTCTCGCGCCAGGCGAGGATCTTGCTGTCTTCCGCGTCCCAGCCGCATTGGACGCGCTGGGCCTGCAGCTCGGCGTACTCGGCTGGATTGTGCAGGTTGATGGGGACTAGGGTGCAGGCCATCGTGGTCCTTGCTCCTTGGCTTGATTTGATTTGCCTTGTGAGTAGGATTATCACTGTGCGTCAGAGATGTTTTCTACGCGACGATCTGGCTTGCTGATGTCTGCTTGCTGGAGACGCGTATGAGTCATCCGCGTATAGCCGATTTTAGTGTCAGTTCATGGTGTTATTCCATTGCAAATACGAGCGGGTTCTTGGCACGTTGGACGCCTGAAGACTTTTCTTCCTTCGTATCTAGAGAGACTTCAAAGTGCCCTGGCGTTCCTAAGTTGTAGCCGAAAGCTTGATCCGCAGACCGAGCCAACTGGACACGTCCCTGCTTCTCCTACGATTCAGAGCGGAAAGTCTTCAGAGTCTGAGTGATAATATCCCGAGTAATGACTGCAAATAATTTTGAATCAAGAGATATTATCTTTTCCACTTTTGTCTTCTCTTCTCTGCGGTGGCCTCCCGCAGAGGATAATGGATCTGTTCTAAACTCGCCGGAATTGTACTTCTGTTAAGGATACCTGCTGGTGTTAGCCACCAGGCTCTTTCAATGATTTTTTTTTTTTCTACTGCCATAGGTTTGTCTGCCCTGACAACAGTGCATGTACGGAGTAGCCTTCCTTCTCCACAAAGGAATACGTCACTGGAAGAGTCTAGAGCCGTGTGGGTAATACATTCAGAAAATGAAGTGAATTTAGAGCCTCAGAGCAGTGAATGAGGCTTATATTCACCATCTGGGGAATAAATACTGTGGTCTCTCCTTCTCTCCTTCTGGTACCTGTGGATAGCTGGACATTCTTGATCTTCCTCAACACTATCTTGCCTGTATACTTTTTCTATCATGATGTCTTCTGCTTGACAATGATGATATAACTTCTCCAATATAGGATCATGCCGAATAGGTCAAGAGCCAGTCTCGTCTGCTCTGCTTTGAGTCTCGCATCTTCAATTTCTTGAACTGGACGTGCGACGTAAAAATCTCCCTACTGATATTGGTGCATCAATGAATCCCCGAGATTCTATGGGAAAAGGGGAAGATCAGCAACGGACAGCCTGCAACGACACAGAAGGTGATAGTCTGGCACCGCAATAATGTAAGCTTCCATTTTCCTATTGATTTTTAGCCTGTCTGTCTAAACCTCTAGTATCTAAACGTCCTCTTCTCTTCTCTTCGTCCTTCTCCTCTCATTCTTCTCTTTCTATATCTCCTTGACCAATTTGCGCTCCAGCCTCTTTTACCCCTACGATCATCAAATATCCCTTTCTTCAAAGCCAAGCAGTCGGCCCAACCATATAAGTCGTCTTGAGGACACTGGGATAGTTGCGCTCTGACTACCGACGAGTGATCCCGTTCGGAGGGAGAAGATCGAGTAAACGTCGCCTTGACCACGTTCCTCTCGACATTAGCAATGAACTGCAGGAAGCCAAACTCGACTGGAGCCATCTGAAGAAAATGTTCGACTCCCCCACTCGGCCATGCAAAGATTAGGTCGATCAATGATGGATCGCTGCGAGCCAGACATAGTGGCGGTATTTGCTCCACTGTATCATACAGCCTGTTCCTCCTACTCCGATCTTCCAATCTTCCAAAGCGCTCAAGTCTACCGTCTCATTCTACCTACTAAATAGGGATATTATTACTCAGGTAAGACCCCCGCTCCTTATGATCTGTTTTTGATATTTGTTATTTTATTTCCTACTTACTATCTTGTATTCCCATCAAACTTCCTATCCTTTCTACTATTTTTTTAACCTGGACTATCGTGCTAACGAAGATGATAATAGGAAACATGTCTACCTGCCACCATTACGGCGCTGCTTTCACCACAGATGCTCCATTAAGAAGCCTCGCCCTACGATACAACTACGGATCCTCTCGTGACCCTCCCCATACTGGGTAAAGGTCCTATACATCAGCTAATGACCTACCAATACAAACGGGATGTCAGCAGATGCTTGAGCAGCTAAGCCGCGAATGTCCTAAGAGGGAAGCAGCAGTGCTAGTGATGCGATTGCGGTACACCACTCTGCCTTATACACGTGGAGACGCTAGTCATCTCTTTTCACTAGCACCTGAAGTACAAGGAAGATGGCAGCAGCAACCGGGCCCAACATGGAGGTTTCCGTCGGAGATGATCACTGAATAGAATATTCACTTCGAAAGTTAGAACGTCTCAGGACTCACCCTGGCTGAGTTCTTATATAAAGCCATTCTTCTCTCTACTCGTTCTCTCGACTCGTTCTCCCTACTCATTCTCTCGACTCGTGGCTGGCTCGCCCGCCAAGTAAGTTGAATTGTTTCGTCGAAATCAGAGACAATGTGCTGACATTGGGATGTAGCACCGCGGCCCAGAAGACCAGTAGTCAGCAGTCAGAGACCAGCTAAGCTTGGCATCTTCTGGAGCAGAAACTGAGGAGCCCTACCCATCCCTCAGAGGCCCGTGGCGATACTGACGTCCCCATGTGGGATGAGACGATACTGCCAACCCTCAAGCGCTGGAAGCGTCAGTTATCCAGCAATAATAGCACGCGATACCAAGATGGACCCCGGTTCCTTTGCAGTTGCCGAGGAGAGAAACCGGGTATCAAGCTCCGACTTGCACCACTGGTGCAAGCAGGTTGCTACTCTTACCTCGAGCTCCGTTTTGCCATGCGTTTCTAGGTCCCGTCGCGGAAAGACAGCGTGCTCACAACAGGCCGTGTCTTTCTGACTGCCTTCCGTGTCGCATACATTCGAGCTCAGCCAGTTGTTGCCCAAAGTCAAGGAAATGCTCCTGGGGGCGCCATTGTCCCACACCTGTTGCTCTATGCACAGCACAACCACCTGCAGGAAGCCACAATACACGCCAGGAAAAATTTCCTGGAAAGAACTGCAAAAGCTTGAATAGAGACCTGCCCTTCGCCGGGGTGGGGGGTGGGGGGTGGGGGTAGGTAATAGGAGTAGTGTATACTAGAGCATAAACCATGCTATTATTTCACACTTGGGCAACTTATTTAGCCTTCTAAGGATACCTGACTTTTCGAAAAGCTCGAAAACATAAGAGCTTATCAAGTTAACATTTGGGATATAAGCCATTCATAAGTTAAATAACATATATCCTTTGCATTCACATAACAGCATAGGGAAAACCAAACCAAAATAGGGAAAAGACCTATCCTAGGGGCATTCATATAGAATATCACTTTGCATATCAACTGTGTTAACAATAATCATTCCTCCCACCAGAACCCGTCTCATGGCACTTTATACAGTACGCAGAGGCATGGACACTCCAACCACTGCCAGAATACGGCGGACTATTTGTACAGAAGGAACATTTGGTTGTTTACAATGATTACATCTCACCACACCCCCTCTTAGTACACCCCCTCTTAGTACATTCACACACACTGCACTATCCCTAGTGGCCTAGTATAGTAAAATCGAAACTTCTTATAGAGGTATGCGGATATTTAACTAAAGCTTTAATTCTTAACTAAATACTAGGTGACTCAGTCAGGTAAACCTAGTAGAAATCTAGGTATATTATGGATGATTAAATAGAATTAAATTTGATATCTCTACTCCGCTTATCAGTATGAAATGATCAGGCATGGCTTCCCTCTCTTACTGGAGAGCTTTCCCTAACGTTTTCCTTCCGCATCCTAATAGTCCCCAATCGTTCAAGATAGAGACTGCGCCGGTTCAGTCCGTATGGTAAGAAACACTCTTTATTCTTCAGGGCAGGGGAACAGGGGGAACAGCTAAGTACTGCCCCGCTAAAAGTGGCAAGAGATCTTCACCTCGAGCAAGGTACGTTAGCACTGTGAAAAGTCAAGATGGAAAACCTAAGACAGGAAGGCAGGACTCCGTGACTTGTCTTAATAATCTAAAGCTTCCTTTCTTGCTGGGAAGAACATGGCAAAGTTGCTTTAGCATATTCATTTTTGGTACAAACTTATAGATCAAATATCTTCAGACAGTTCCTGAGGCTTGCGCATTAGGTGGTCAAGCTTCACCAGGACTAGCATCTGTCATCTATATTCCTATATAAAGATATCTAGTTCATCTCATAACAAGGCTTAACAAAGAGCCAAAGAATAGTCAGGGCAGGATCTTTTATGGAGTCTTCATACTCAGCTTTAGTGAATTAAAGCAGCTAGTTAAGTATGCAGCGCAAATACTACGGCATACTTCCCTAAGGCTAGGGAGACTGGGGAGACTAGGGGGGAATAATAGCACAGAGATACATGTTTATATCCTCTGCTCATTCTTATTAAAGGCTAAGGAACTAGATCACTGCAGCCAAGCAATGAACAATGCACTCCAAACCGTGGCCAACATTAGCATATGCGGAATCAAGAATTAGGGAGTGACTCTGTACCTCTCTAGCAAAATAACACTCCACCTATCCAACTTAATAAGCTTCCTTGTGATTTCTATAGCTACTGCTTCCATGCATCTCTATGGACTGGCTGTAATGGCTTTACTTTATCATAGAAAGCATTCTGAAGGGACCTGTGATTCAGCTATGCGGCTATTAAAGTATAATAGTAGATGTGCTAATGTGTGATGGCAATCAGTAAATATCCAAGGGAGACGCAAATATCCAGAGCATACTTGTGTAGCACCAAAATTAGGTCCTTACGCACGGTAATAACGTTGCGCACAGGAAATTATTAGCTTCCCTAGACAACCTTCTTCATTCCACCACCAGCTGGTAGTAAGCAACATCGATGTCTGCTTGAGTGCCAGATATATCGCCCAACAATGACCCTGGGGTTTGTTCAGACCTAAGGTTGCTGGCATAACGGATCGCAAGAACGTCTGTAATTATAAGGGCCAGACATGCTAAATAGATCAGCAGTTCCACCAGTGCCCTTCTAACTCCGCGATTGTGGACCCTGCAATAGTAGTCAAGTCCTCCCTAAAAATCCCCCACATCAAGTGAAGCAATGTCGAATTCCTCTGATAGAACCATTACTGGCCACTGGCACTGAACGGCCATGTCTTATTCAGATGTCAGGAACAAGGATAGAATCAGACATGCCTATATCCTTGATACACGTCCAGCCTTTGTGTCACCATCAAAGCGAGTCTGACGTGGCGGTTAAGATTGGTCACCCTTCAAAGAAATGCCATGCAAATGAAAGGGGATAGGAGGCATACTTTAGCTAAGCTAAAAAGCTCTTGACGTGTGTCGCCTAGCAAGGCGAATATAGCACCTCACAAGCTTTTGTTACGAGAGGAACTGTAAACTTCTAGCATAATACACAGTGAAATCCATGGTATATCTGGACAGGCATACTTAACTTGCGGCAAAACCACTGCTTGATATACCACTAGATCCGAGCCCGATAGGTCGCTTTGTATATCCTAGAAATCTCATGCTCCGGCCATCCATTCGGAGTTGGTTCCTATCTTTGGTATAAATCAGTATATTTTGATGGAACAGCCAAGCCTGACAGTATTTTGTTTTGGGCTCTTACAACCGAACGGCCGTTTGGTAAGGCGGCCTCGATGAGTAACACGTAAACGGGCGAACTATTTTACTGAGTTGCTCCCCAAGGAACTTACATTTCTTGGATTGATGCAGTTTATATGACCCTTCTATTACTAGACTGTCAGCTGTCAAGTCACTAGAATTCCTCTAGCCCTACACTAAATGTGCCCAAACAGGAAGTGCACGCCCAGAATGTCTTCTCCTCCAGTCACTTGAGGACAACGGAAGTTAACCGCATTGCCACATCTTATATGTGCACACGGACATAGAGATGCAATATTGCCCTGTGCTGTCAGCCAAGATTACCTCTCTGGCTTGGTATACCACACGTATCGGGTAAACGTTTTCAGACGCCGTTGGCTTTGTCATATAGGCTTGACTATCAATGATCAAATTCGATGGTGATATGATTAACTTGCGGGTCTGCGACATGGCTACTAAATGTTAATATAACTTCACATGTGCAAAAGAGTATATGTTGTATTATTCATTACTAGTGTTTTACTCTAAGACCGACCTATTAGTGCTGAACAAAATGTGCAGCTTTCCTATATCGCCTGTTCCGGCAATTGGACACAAATCGGTGCGATCTTACAACATTCCACCATACCTATATGACAGCGCGTTGTACATTCTTTATAGCATGTCTTTCTGTGGGCCTAAAGGGTGTAAATAGCTTAGATGGATTGTTGAATGTAGGGGGTGGGAATGCTGGTCTTGCTATGAGCCATTCTTCATTGGTAAAGTCGCACCCGTGACCTGCAAATATTATAAATAGGAACAGCCTTGCTGTTGTTCAGATTATGGGCTATTATAAACTATTCACTAAGAACATCACTTTGGGCTTTAGTCTTCTAAACTTGCAAACACTTGAGATGCGTCTGACTTCTATTGTGCTCTTTTCCATTGTCTCCTTGGGTTTTGCCAGGGATCCCTCTGATTCTACCAACTCCCCAAACCGTTCGAAGACCAAAGGAACACAACTTGATTCATATTGCCCTGGGCATGACGCTGATGAGGAATTCCAACGCGAAATATTTAACCGATTCATCCAAACGCTATACGAGGACAAGAATGTGCCGGAGGCTTTCGACACATACGTCGACCCCGATCTGATTGAGCATGATCCTTTTGAACAAAGACGTGATGAGGTCGTGGCAAGGCTGTCTCAAATCATCCCCGCCAGTACTTTTACGGTTGTGCACTCAACTTTTGATGGGGACATTGGGTTCGTCCACCTCAGAGTAGGAGACGAAGACGCGCAGCCAGTTGCTCTTGCGGACATATATCGTATGGATGGGACCTGCATTGTCGAGCATTGGGACGTTCTCCAGAATCTCCCGGAAAATTCCACGAACCCGAATGCCATGTTCTGATTCTTGGAATCCTTTTTTTCTAGACTGTGCGATAGTTTCTGGCTTTACATGGGTCCGGACTTCTAAGATTTGCACTCGGTCCTGTACTGTCAACAGCTATAGAAGGGTAATATTAATCGAGAATAATAAAGCCTTTTATATTTCTAAATTATGAAGTATTACAGCTTTAAGGGCAAACCGGTAAAGCCTACAAAGAAGGGGGGTAATTATTAAGGGCTATAGCAGACTATGAAGCCACTATATACAACTAACACTGATAGTGCGGGACTATACAGAGTAAGTGTCGGGGACGGCGGAAAGGCCATGGTTATGCATGGTCTTTGGATCAAAAAGCATGGCCTTTCCGCGCTGCGCGTTGGTGCTTTTAATATTCCAGGCATGCTATACCCAGTTTGTTGTGGAGCTAATTCGATGAGTTGTAGTTATTAGGTGCTTTTGTATACTTAGTATATATACTAGATGAGTAGATAAAGGCTAGGATATAGCCTTTCGGCTCTGCAGGACCAAAAGAAATTACGGGGTTAAATATGCCTTTATATCTGGGAAGCAAACATTATAAACCTGGTTACCTGACATGAAACCCCGGTACGGCAAGCCTACCCTTCCAGACTTGGGGCTGTAGTAGGAAGAGCTGCAGCCGTATCAATGCTGCCGCTAGACCCAGCAATAGGGGAGGGTTCTTTAGGATCATTCAAAGTGTCATCAAGCTCGCAGTAAGGTCGAGTGCACGTGGCTTCAGGATAACAAGTGCAATCGTTTCCGCAAAAGGCACTTCCATGAACGTGGTACCCTGAACAATACGCTCCATGATGTTCACAAAAGTAAGTGTTTGCGCGAGTCGAGCAATTGAGATGATAGATTATTGCTCTTTTCTGGAGTTTCTCGAGTACTTCGATTTCGGGATTCGAGGTAATGGGCAGGGCTAAGCCCACGGCTGTGAACACACATGTCCATGACATGAGAGTGTACTATCGCCAGTTAGAAGAAAAAAAGATGGAGAGATGTGATCAAAGAAAGCTAGACGAACCTGGAGCTTCATGTTGCCTAGTATTCTAATGGGTAATGGAAGAGCAAGGATCTGTCAGTGCTGGACGCTGTTAAGTAACTAATATACCAGGTCTCTCATCTCAGGTTTGGGTATGCCCCTTTATAGCTTCTATACCAGGCCATTCACACCTCGGGTAGGTCGGCTCCAGAAAGCCATAACTCATCTTTGTCGAGTTATTCTTCTGTGATTTAGCGTGGTAGAGCACATTTCACATGCGACATTGCCTCCAACTCATTCCTGCATTGTAGAGGCCTGGGACAGGTCGTGATAGTTAAGAGAGCAGGGAATAGATGAGACTAGCGCTTTACTTGATAGTATACTACCTTCTAATATATTATAGGCATGCTTCTTTAGATGCAACTTCATGTACGCGAGGTTACATAGGCAAATGCAAGTTGACTGCGGCAACATTATCGCGCTGAGACATTTAGGCAGCACTCTAATGGCTTCTTAAAGTGCCCCCTAAAGCTTTATTTAATCCCTGCATTACCTGCGACTGGTGTAAAAGTAGAGTCATATGACGCAGACCTGCTTGCCTACATACTTAAGTTAATGGTATAGGTGCTTATGCTTATATAACCTGCCAGAAGACTAAAGAGAGTAAGGTAGGTAGTCTCCAATGCATCTTCTTCTACAAATGTAATCCTAATAGATTCAAGAGTTGGAACATCCCGTCTCTAGCCGCCAGGTCTTCACCATCTTCACCAAAAAGACTCTACCTTAATAGTCATTCTCTCAATATGAGACACCTCACGCAATGGCATCCGGAACACAAAGTCCCCATTGTGGACGGCAGATTCCAGGACCCAAACACCGGCGAGATTCAGCAGAATACCCGTACAGATACGTATCTCGGTCCTCCCTCTGTACATGTGATGTGGTTCAACGTCCACGACAGCTCTTCATTCAGGGGTCTCGGGGCTACATTCAACGCGTCGATTAACGAAGTCTTCATTACGATTGCGGACCATGTGAGAGACGGGGTTTATAGCATTATCAGCCTCAATGCGAGCTTGTACGCTGTGACTGTCGTCTGCGAGACGGACAAGGCGAGGGAGGAGGTTGGGGGTGTGATACAGGGTATGCAGCGGCGTTTGAATAGGGATGTGGTAATTCCGGAGGGGGAATTGGATGCTGTGAGGACTTGGAAGGAGGAGATGGGGTATGATAAGAATGATGTGGTTGGGGATGGGAGTTGGGGGGCTTCTGGGTCTTCTTGAGTATGCGTGGTTGCATTGCTTCGTCTGTAACACTGGTCATAGGTTCATTGTGTCGTCGCTGTCTGATATTTGTTGTCGCCGGTACGTCGAATATCAAGATGAGATGATGAGCGTGATGATCAAGAGAGGGTGCAGAGATGAGAAGCTGGAAGCAACGGCCATAATATCAGAAAGTTAGGGTCCTTAAGGGCTAAAAATGAGGGTCCGAACAAAGCGCAAAAAAGTGAAGAGTGCATCATCCGTGAATCGAACACGGGCCTCGTCGATGGCAACGACGAATTCTACCACTAGACCAATGATGCTAGTTATCATCAGACGTTTCCTTTTGAGCTCTATTCATCATAAATGTTTGGTTTCTCATAATAAGGTTGATACTTGAAGTGCTCACTGAGGGCTTCTATGCGAAGGTGACGACTATCCGGTCAGTCGTCTTCTTCAATGGTCATCGAGCGAGCGTTAAGCTTCACTAAATATGAGGGATGTCCATTTCTTAGCTACCAACCTCCTCATCCACCTCAGAAAGGATATAATGTGGTTCGTATAAATAGGGACTGTTGAAGTGTGGGTAATTTCGGATGTAGCATTCCGGAAATAAAGTTTTCTTATTTGGTTTCCTGCAGGGTATATACGATATTAGGCTGTTTTTCCATCTTTGTCAGTTCATAGATAGATTGGCTGCATCAAACTGACAAGAGGAGATAGCTACGCGCTCATATTTGCCCAAGAACAGACAACGAAGTACCCTCACGATAAACCTCAATCAAATTCTTCACCCACTCGGCTCTCGTCAGTTCACCCTCCCCCCCCTCGGCCATTTGCTTCGGCAGCCGATGCTCCAAAACAACAACTCTCCAAAACTGATGTGCCTGGCATATCCGGATCCGCATATTCTGCTCCTCGTACTTTGTCATACAGGCCGAGCAGAGGTCTATGGCCGGACACTGCTTGCAGATGAAGCGTATGTCGGACTTTGGGATCGCCTTTTCACATACATCGCAGTAGGCATCGACTTCAGCGTATATTGCGCCGGCGGCCTGCTTGTCGTCGAGGTACTGGAAGCATTTGGCGAGAGTGTAGACGTTTGATCGGTCGCCTTCCATGATGCGCGTGGCAAGGCCGACGACACTGGATTTCAGGATGGAGATCTGCTCCTCTGCCGACGTGAGGGATGTCATCGAACTATGTCGGCTGAGTTCACGAAGTAGGTCGCCGGAGTGATCAATCGATGCCCAGTCAATCGCGCTGCGGCCGTATACATCTAAGCAATGATATTCTGCGCCTCTCCGCGCGAGACAAGCCACAGCTTCGGATTTGTCGCTGAGGATTGCATAATGAAGGGCCGGGATTCCGCGATGCTTCCCGTGGTCTGTGTGGAGGCCGATGTTGACATCTACTTTCCGGTGGACAAGATTCTCGATGATACGGGCTTCTCCTATGATAGCAGCAACTTCCAGCACCGTACGGCCGGCTGCGTCCCGTACCATGTAATCTAGGCCCTTGGCGGTATATGCTGCGAGGAGTCGATCGCAGACGACGTAGTTCGCTGCAGCGGCGGCTGAGTGTAACGGCGTCTGCCCCAATTCATCCCTTGCGGCGATATCCGCACCAGCGTTTATCAACATGGTGTATATCTCTGAATCTGTGTGGGAAGAACAGTGGTGTAGCGGTGTCCTCCCGTCTCTGTCACGTGCATTCACATTGGCACCTCTTTTTAGCAGCTCGCGGGTACCCTCACAACTTGTGCGAGCTGCAATAAGAAGTGCGGTGTCGCCATTATTGTCTCTCGCCTCGATCGGTGTTCCCGCCTCCAAAAGTGGTGGAATTGACTTATACCTGTCGTTAGCCGCGGCATAGTGCAGCGCAGTCTTACCGTCAGACGTAATAGCCAGGGGTTCGGCTCCATAGTCCAGGAGGCACGTAATCAGTCTAGGCATGGCGCTGTGTGTGGCGGCGTCATGCAGAAGTGAGGTGCCATCTTGCCTCAGGCGGGCCACATCGGCTCCAGATTCAAGGAGAAACTTGAGGGCCTCGGTGCGATTGTGGGTGATTGCACCACAGGCTGCTGACTTTCCTTGATGGTCGACGCGGTTTGGATCAGCTCCTAAACGAATGAGCTCCCTCATGGAATATAGGCAGTTATTGATCGTTGCTAAAAACAAGGGTGTTCTTCCTAAGATGTCGGGGGCCTCAATATCCAGTCCAGCGTCGATTAGAGGCTGGATGACTCTAAAATTGTCTTCAGTAGCAGCTACATGCAACGGCCCTGACGAACCTGCTCGTTTGTCAATCGCAACGTGGGCTCCTGCATCAACCAGGGCTTTCACCAGTTGGGCATTTCCGAACTTAGCGGCCAGGAACAACGGTGTTCGCGAGTGCGGGTCGAGTGCGTTTATATCGGCGCCCGCTTGGATGAGTCGCTCAATCATCTCCTGAGGCCTCCTGAGGCTGATGCCTATGTGCAACGGTGAGACCCCGTTTTCATCGAGAACACTGGTATTGGCTCCAGCATTGAGCAGAAGCTCGAGAAGGGGAAGAGAGCCATAACGCATACACTGATGCAACGGAGTTTCACGAAGTAAGGTGGCAGCGTTGACATCAGCGCCGCTATTCAGAAGAAGCTCCACGGCGCCCAACTGGTCGTTTGCGCAGGATAGATGGAGCGGCGTAGCACGCTGGTCATCTCTCGCACTCACATCGGCGCCGTACGAAAGTAGCAGCCGAACAAGGCCTGCTTTGCCCATTTGCGCAGCAATATGCAAGGGCACGTCTCCCATCCTCATCCGGGCGAGGGGATCCCAACCAAACTCGACCAGCAGCCGGATAATTTCAGAATTGGCTCGGTAGAGAACGCTATATATCGTATCCGCAGATAAGTTCTGCAGAGGTGAGGAGGTCGTCTTCGCAGCAGCTTCCAACAGGAGGCGGGCTGCACGCACGCGGTCCTTCACTAGCGCAATGTTCAACGCCCTCATCCATGCACCATCTTCATCGGGATAATGTCCAGGAGCAGCATTCAATAAGATACGTAATGGCGCTAGTCGCCAACGAGTCACAGCTATTGACAGGGGTGACTTGAGCTTGGTTATCGGCGTGGAGGCGCTAACGCTAGGCTCAACGAGGATTTTTAGGACCTTAGGCCTATAGCGCGTTATTGCTGCCAGAAAGGCGTTATTCTTGCCGGCGAATATTGAAGGGTCTGCTCCATTATCGAGCAACTTTCTAACAGCTGAGATCGGGCAATACTGGATCGCGCGGATTAGTGGTGATGTTGTTTCGCCCACGTGTTTGGCTCCGAGCGCATAAAGTCGGGGGGACAGCAGGGTGTTGAACAGCTTTGCCGTCTGAACAAGTGAATTGAGGTCTTTCAGCCAGAGATGGTCTCCTATGTCCAGAATAATCTCGGGAGGAAAGCTGACAAGCTGGGTCGCTGTGTCTTCCATTGCGTGGATGGAGGTGAGAGGAGAGTTGGGACTTTGGGGAAAGTCAATCCGAGTGGGCGACTCAGCTCAAACTCGGGCCTCAGGCAGCAAGGGCCTGCCTATTCTCAACCTTCAGCCGAATGTTCATTCTACCAGGCGCCACCTGTGCCTAATCACAGCGGTCATTTTATAAAGATATTACATCGGAGGATGCAGAAGAAATAGGTTGCATTAATAGAGCTTTTGATACATCAACCAGACATATGCACATATTAACAACCTAGTGTCATGTCTGGCCTTATTCTGACTTAGGTCTCTTGGAGCTGCCAAGCAGGCGGCAAAGGTTTCAAGTATTAAACAGGTTATCATCACCTTTTTCCTATCTGCTAACCGCTCATATGTAAAGGGGATTGCCAGCCAAGGTACGGGTTATCTAATCAATCAATTGATGCCCCGCCGCCTGACAGGCACTTAACCTCTATTTATCCGGACCTCCCCTCCCGCAGGTTTTCAAGAAACAAGTTGAGGTCAGACTAGTCAATTTTCGCCATAGAGCGAAAAACTTCTACTAATGCCCAGACGACATTGTCAGTCTAGGTCTCATCATGGGTGTCTACAATGTAAACGCCGGAGTGTCAAGGTACAGTAGGCTGTGGCCGTTCCTCATTACGTGAGCGTTCGAGTTTTAACACGGAACGCTACTCAAACCCAGTGCGATGAGCATCGACCGAAGTGCAGAAATTGTGAGCGCCGACGGAGTACGTGTGATTACGCTTCGTCTGGCCGCTGGCAGTGGAGGGTCGATATCCGAGGAAGCCGTGGCGAGCCATCCATTCCAGAATACAGAAGTCTTAACAACAATGCCCCGGATCAACCCCGAGCTCAGAATCAGCAGCGAGAACATCAAACACAGGAGGCGAATATCCAACATTCCAGGTTGCTCATACATTGGACGACTGCAGTGTATCAATCGGTATCTCGGAGCAGGGATGTGGAGTGGCTTTGGCAAGTTGTGATTCCAAACTTATCCTTAACGCACCCATGTCTCCTGCATGGGATATTTGCACTCTCCTCTCTTCATCTTAGCCTCTCCGCAGCAGATTTTACAGATCGTGAAGATCTGCTGCAGAGTGCGTTGAATTATCACAGCCAATCAATACAGCTCTTCGCTCCGACCCTGGAGGACTTGACCCGTTCGGATTGTAACGCAGCATTTTCTCTATCACTCATCTTGATCCTGTTCTCGTTCGCTGCCCCCTTATTGGTTGTCAGAGATTCTGACTTGGACTCTATATATGAGTTGTACCAGGTCTGCGTATTCGTCAAAAAGATGATGAATTTCTCGGTGGGTATCTATGGGACTGTCAAGAGTGGAATTCTGGGTCCGCTGGTCCACATAGATGACCCCGTCTCTGAGTTGTCTGGCTCTCCTCTTACGGCCATTGCCTGTCTGAGTGACCTAAATTTTAGGGCTTACGACAGGAATCCCAGTCATGAATTTCAGGTGTACCAAGAAGCAATCGATCGTCTAGTAGACCCTTTTGGGAAATTAGGCGATCCCGGAAGTCATCGGCTATCAGGGGTCTTTATGTGGGTCTTCCACGTTCCTGATCGGTTCTTTGAGCTGGTCCGAAAGAGGGATGCTGTTGCCCTCATCATTCTCGCTCACTTTTGTGTTGTATTGCACGACTTACGCAATCATTGGTGGATGTCTTCTTGGGGATACAAAGTGGTCGTGGCCATCTACCGGACCTTGGAGGTAGATCTCAGGGATTCGCTTTCATGGGCTTTATTACAGATCGGGTACACGGGCGATATTTGATGGAATGCACTTGCATCAGAATCACAATGTTTCAAGTTCACCCACAACTAAAGAGGTAGAACCCGTCGTTTATCTATATTCCTCAGACGCTGTTGCGCTTAGCCTCACGTTCATTTTCATCCCATCGATGGGTTTTGCTGTCACCTGTAACGTCTTTCACGGAAGAAGTCAGCCAACAGAATGCGAATGCAGGTCGAGGTGGAAGTGATGTAATTACATTGTAGAGCTTGGATTTGGTCTCATACTGGCCATGAGAATTGAGAGCTGGCTGCCCATTTTCATCTATCGCGATCTCCCCGAGTCCCACTTTGGAAAAGTCATACCGCCTGACCACTGACGCCAGGATCAGACGAGCCTCTATCATGGCCAGTTCTTGCCCAATGCAATTGCGTGGACCTCGTTCAAAAGGGCGCCAGGCGCTCGCTGGTCCGGCAAATCTTGCCTCACGGTAACAATCATGATCTCTGTATTGACTCAAGTGCATATTCAATTCATTATCTTGCAACCAGCGCTCTGGGACAAACTCGTCCTTGGACTCGCCGTACACTGTCTCGTCTCGTTGGATGATTGTCGCACAATTATATAGGACCAATCCGTCCACGCAGTAAACCCTCCCAGTCGGCAGCCTCAATGTGAGCCGCGATCCTCGTTCAGCGTATCGCGCGCTCCCAGACGGGGGGTAGAGGCGGAGTGTTTCTTTAATGACAGCGGAGGTGTACCGCAATTTAGAAAGCAGGGCTGTACCATCCTCCGAAAGCAGGATATTGCTCACAGATCTGGGGGAGGTATCTGGTCCAAAGATAGAATCGAGCTCACGCCGGACCGCATCCATTGCCCTGGGAGTTCGGCTGAGTTCATATAAGGCCCACTGTAGCAGAATACTGGTCGTATCATGGCCCGCGAAAAGGAAAGATTTGAGTTGGTCACAGGTCCGATCCATAATAGCTGGTGTCAGTTCATTTGCATCCTGCAGCATGAGTGTCAGGATACTGCGAGACCCCAGACGTGTCGATTCTTTAGTCTGGGGGGTTCTTTTCACCTCTTCAAACGTCTCGGAAATAAATCCTGTCAGAAGGGCATTCAATTTGCTGACTAGCTTCCGTCGGCGTAGTCTAACTAGCGGCGCGGTCCAGATGCCCCTCTGACTACTGTATGTAGAGCCGATTTCTTTGAATATTTTGACTATTTCACTTTGGCGATCCTCTCCTAGTTGGGCACATAAGTTGACACCCATAGTCACCGCACCTGATAACAAGAAACGCGGCGAAGTTAGATATCCTCCTCACGCTAATCCAGGTACATGTCATACCGATGATGTCAAAAGTCAAATTGGTACACAGCTCATTCAGCATGAAATGCTCGCCGGATGCAGCGTATTGGTCGAGGATATCGACGAAGAGTAACGTCTTTTCCACCATACATGGGAGCAACGTCATTAGATTTCCTGCTGAGAAGCCGGGATTAAGTCTAGCACGCAGGTCCCTCCACTCACACCCCTGTTGGTTTATGGATTATTAACTGAGGCGTCACATAAAGGTATTGCACAGAACACCTTACCTCAGCAGTAATGATTGATTTCGGCCCGATCAAGTCAACAAATGCCTTCGTCGTGGGCGATTTCGGGACGCTATATGGAAACATTCTGGACTGCCTTGAGATTTGCTCTGCGACTTCATGGCTACAGACCACACACATGGGCTGTCCCAATGGCCAGAGATCTAGAAGGAACAATGGAGGTTTGCCCAAATGCTCGTAGATCTCTGAGAACACAATATCTACCTCAGGAGTCAGTGTCTAGTCGGTAAAGAATCATGCACGGCGGAGTTGGAAACTATATGCGAGTACCAATGTGTCTCTGGGCTTCACCACTGGTGATAAATTGATTTAGTGCTCCCAAATGTCCCAGGATCGCTGATCGCTTTAGCTGCGGCAGATCGGAATATTGACGGCGACGAAAGTGGATCTTTTGGCACACATACGTAAAGGTTGCTACGAATAGCAGAGTAGATAAGATGATATGTTGGGACATGGCATAAAATGTCAGTAAGCATAGAGAGTCCAATAACGGATTAGAAGAGCGTGTGAGACCATAACAAAATAGCCAAAAGAGTCATATATATATAGCCGTGATTCTGATCCCATGGGTTACGGTCGTTGTGTAAATGTTACAGACCTCGTAAGTTTCGTAACAATTACTTGTTTCGGGTAGTCAAACAAGTATCAGTACATCACCCCGTTCCCAAAGTAGTTGACTGGTAGAGAACAGCAGAGACGGATCCCACGGTGTGACAAGTGAGTGCTCTGGGGGTGAGGATCTAAATTCAGAATCTTTTCGTCCACTAGAGTTATGAATTATTCATACTCCAGATTCACCTTATTAACAGCGTTGTGCTGCATATTTGGTGAAATATATTTTAGGGCTTACCTCTTAGGGGCCCTTTAAGGCCACTCTAATTATTCTCCTTAGTAAATGGTTAGAATTGTAGCGGGCAAGGTCCGCTGTATGCTTGAGCCTGTCGGCACTCGCGAGCTGCCTCAGGCACTAACTACTTTTGGCTCTGGCCGATATACATGACTCTACAAAGACATGTCCAACTTGGACACTAGCTATCGGCCATGTGGTAGTTAGTTATCATACTAATTGATATAGTAAGCAGCCCTATTATATAATCTTACCTCCTGTTCTCACACTCCTTTTTATGTTTGGCAGCTTTGGCTGCTGCAGCCCTAGTTAGATTCCTTAGTGATTTCTTACTGTCCAAACCTAGGTCATGGGTTTTTAAGGCTCCTAGCCCATGGCATTAGAGATCGCTCGCTCCATGATAGTTAAAAAAAAGAGAGAGAGAGGCACAGACAAACCAGTGAGAACCAGCCAAACCAACAGAACCAGATGTACAGACTGAACAAAGCAGCCAATCAGTTAAGAATAACTACCCCTTGAGTAATGTACTAGCAGACTTTAACTTGGGGGGCAGTGGCATGCGTATAAAAGCACCTAATGGGGACCATGAGAGCCGTCTAGTAGTGAGTAGGCGATGCCATATATTAATCAACAACACCCGCTGGGGGAGAGTCATGATATCCAAAAAGAAAAAAGGTACTGCAAAATGAAACTTACTGCGATACGTTGTTGGTATAATCGGCCCCAACATAGCATTAGACCAGTGAATGAATTTAATATTGCCAGTTAACGAGAAGGAAACGTGACTGAGGCCAAACTTAAGAGCATAATATCCTGCACGACACCTTTGGCGACCTGCTGCCGCCACCGTTTGGGGGGTTGTTAAGGTTTCTACGAGCAAGCAAAATGGGCGAATCTGAGGCTGGAACCAAAGGGCAAAGCCCACAAATCCAATTGTCTGTTGGCGAAGGTTGACTAGTACTCTATATCAACTTCTGCCACGAGCCCTATGCCATTCATGCCGAGGTGTCAACTGCATTTTCCTCAGCCTCAAGTAGCAACAAATATGCGACATAATAGCGCAATAAGACCGCCGCACCGCGAAGGGCATTCTCTTTGGAAGATTCGTCAAGGAATGGAGCTATGCCATCTACAGCCCAGAATAGGTAGAGGACAGTCGACGCGTACGTTTCCGGACGCTCACATCGCTGCAAGGCCTCGCCCAGGTCATCTATCAAGCGCAGCAGCGACTCAAACATGACCCTGTTGGCTTTTATGTCATCCGTCTGGGCCTCGATTGTCTGTAATCTCAGGTTCCCTACCGCGCCGATTTGTTCGGTCAACTCCCTCAATAGTCCGGGTTCAGGAATATCCTTGACAGTCAAAGGGTGCTCCATAAGGACTGGCAACCAGGTGGCGAGGCGGATTGCAATCTCCTCTTTTCTCATCTCGCCAATGCACTTGCGGGCTAGTTTGCGCGTCTCCTCGCGGCCGTCCTCGTATAGAATCAGCTGTAACAAACCGTGTTTATCGTACATCATTGCCGACAGGAGCTTTTCGGCGAGATGCTCGGCGCTATGTCCCAGGGCGTCGGAGACGTAGACGCCGCGGCGGAATTTGATTGACGAAGCCGATGGGGCCGCGACTGCGACGTCACGCCAGGCTTGTAATTGCTCTTTTGAGAGGCGCATACCAGAGGTATCGATTATTTGAGTTTTAGCAGAGGTATTAGTTATTTCCGCAATCTTGGCTTCGACGCGCTCGGCCTCAGCTGAAAGCAAGGCGAGGAATGTGTCATTCGAGCCTGAGCCCTGATGATGCATCATGAAGTCGGTAAGGGTCCCAGGTAGGTCGTCCGTAGATAGTCCAGTAACAAGTGCACCAGGATTATCGCTAGCGAGGTGAAAGGCAGCGCTCACGCAACTTCGAGGTTCGCCATGTGGAGTTCGATAGCGATGATGCACCAGTCCGCCAGCCGCAAAGAGTAATGTCACAGGCTCTTCAGGGTACTCTATCTCCACCACCGTGGGGCCTTGGCCTGTGGCCTTTTTCTGGAAGGCAAAGAGCCGGTCTATAGCCTCGTGGCTGCCGAAAAGGTTCTCCCTTTCCGTTGAAAAAGGCGTGCCGGATCCGTCGATAAATATATCACGGTTACCGCGGTGAGTACCGGGAAGGTAGGCGAAGTTCTGACCTGACGGACCCTTTGCTTCGCCTTTTTTCCAGATTACAAGGACTTTGTATTCATCTTTAAAAGGAGTATTGTCGATATGGAGCATGTTGTCTTGAGCATTGGCAGACAGAGGGACCGTATCCTTGCCGCGCATGTCTATGATGCGAACCGCACCGCCCATACAATACGCAATCAAAGCCACGAGGAGCGGATGTACAAATGCGTCATTGTACTCGAGATTCTTGATAAAGCCTGGATTGCCGGCTAGGTTAGCGTACGAGTGGAGGAAAGATGCGCTTCCTGTTCGTTGTTGGATCCCCTCGTAGTCCTGGATCAGCTTCTCGAATCTGCAGACATCAATGAGGCCGCCGAACAAAGTGCATCCGTCGGCCTCAAGAAGGTTTGCAAGCTTGATGAATTGGGTCTCGGTGTCGTTGTTCTTCCACACCTGGCGAAGTTGGCTTAGCAATTTAGATCGAAATGCTTCTTTCGCGTCGTGACTAGGCCCTCTGCGGTATTTGACTGTGTCAAAGTGAAGCCCCGGAATAGCAGCGTCTCCCTTGGCGCTTAGATGCAGAAGGTCATTTCTTTGTTCAGGGATAGGTCCCAAGAACTCGAAGGTTTGCTCCGGTGTGGGTTCTGGTCCGACCTTGACCTGAAGTGGTTGCGGGGCGACTAGAAAAGCCATGTCTTAAGTCTTTACGTTGGTTTGTGTTTGCCTTGGGTTATAGTATGAATGAATATGAGAAACGAGGTGTAATATCTGCAAGTGTTCTGCGCGGATGGCCCTCGCTTTATACCACATGCCTGATTCTACGGTGTCAATGTATTAAGTCGCACCCAAGTGTGCAAGCCTGGAGCACATTCGAGTAAACGTTACCTGACTACGGTCAGGGCTTGTGCGTCATTTTTGCTATTGGCACACATCACCGGACTGCGCTTTCGAATATTCATCGACTGGATGGAGAGGAACCAGAGAGACAGACGATGACGGCAACTAGGCGCTACAGTATTCATGACCAGGCAACCTGGAGCCATTCGGTGGCACTAGGGCTGTGCAATTCAACCTTAGATGAGGCGGATGGAGGGGTATGCGGCGTCGAGAATATACAGGCACTTTGCTTGTGAAGGATGCCCGCGGAATCAGAAACCAAAAGGCGCACTGTCAGAGAGAGACCTAGATAGCTTCGTAGCATGGTGCACATTCACTCCCCCAGGGAAGGGGTAGGATTATCCACGCGAAAGGACACGATACCGCTACGGGCTATGTTCCAGTGGTTACGCTCCGGGGCAACAGGCACTGCAAGCTAGGCGTCGGATCGAGCAGCATCTCCAGTAAAATGAAAGAGGCAGTGCGTCAAGCTGAAAGCTAATGCGCAGTGCTCGGTGGGCGCTAGAGTGAAAGAAAAGCTTCCAAGACCATAAATGCAGAGACTCGGCGCAAACATGTCATGCCCGAAGGGCTAGAGTCTGCCAAGGTGCAGGATGCGGGGTTCTCAGCCTCGCGTCTATCGAGATGCATATACAGAGCCTCGAGAAGAGAAGCTATGAGGTTATTCTGTCACGTGGAACTCAACAAACTGTTTGATCAGCAGGACTGTTGACCGTATCAACGCCACACAGCAGTAATTCCATTGGTTCTGCCCTGGCTGTCGGTGAAAAGTCATCCTGCATGTACAGACAAGGCTACCGGACAGACATAGCAAGACCAGTTACAGATGCAAGAAGATGCAGCCAGGTTACCGAAGATGCAAGACGCGGTCTGGAATTGAATCTTCCAAGCATCATAAGTGTGATCTCGAGCGTTGTACAGTCTCTTATTGGACCTTGGCATCAGCAGCTGCTTCCCGGTGAACCCTCAACGCGAGTGGGATTAGGACACACAGTTCCAGCCTATCTGCAGGTGTGCAGACTCACGACTCCGAGTAGACCGTCCAGGATTGACATGACAATTGGTTAGGCTCTAGTAGTTCAGGCCGGAGGCATATTAGACGGATCTAGCACGCTTGGGGATCATTGAGTGGAGCCAGCATACACCGGGTGGATAGGCATTCTATGAAGCCTACAAGGCAGAATTATCAACCAGGGGCTGTGCCGGAAATAAGCGCGGGGGCCGCTGCATTGAGACAGAAAGAAACGTCATTGGAAATACAAGAATTGCGAGGCTACAGAGCCTTAATGCTTGGTTAGAGCCACATCACCGAAAGCAGGACTACGAGCAGAGGCAACCTTGGCGACTGGATGAAGGAACGACTTTAGCGAAATAAACATTATCAGAATGAAAGATAGTGTTGATAAAAAGCGCCTTGCCGAATCAGACGTTCTGGGACAAAAAGCCTTGATAGTAGAAGAGCCTCATGACAAAAGCAGCCTTACCAGATGCCGCAACAATGTAGGTTTAAGAATGTATCTTGCTCAAGGATATCCCTTAATCTAGGATAACATCTATCCTATAGAGAACACGCACCCGTGCTTACTTGATTCTAGTAGCGCGGACTTCCTTCTCTTTTTCCTCGTAACCTTAAAGGAGATCTATCTACCGAAGGCCAGAAGCAATGACGATTTGGACAACGGGTAAGCAATATGCGACATTGTTGATAATGGCTTGCTTACCTTAACCAGCTGGACCAAGCCTAGACCAGCAATCCTTCGCTGGCAGCTCTGACTGGAAACTGGCGCCTCTACTGCGGGGCACGACCGAATTCAAGCCCCTGGATAATGTGAGGAATATCATGGTTACCGGTGGCGCGGGATTCATGTAGGGCAGCCGCAAAACGCTGTGGGAGAGAGAACTGACGATAGGGTTAGCGGTTCCTGGGTTGCTCGACATCTCGTGCTTACGTATCCCGAGTCTTACTATATTGTCGTCTTCGACAAGCTCGATTACTGCTCCTCTATCAACAACATACGCATGCTAGAGGCGATGCCAAACTTTAAGTTTGTTCATGGCGATGTGACTTCTGCTGACGACGTAATGCGCTGTCTCCATGCCCATAAAATCGATGTGGTCATCCACTTCGCAGCACAGTCGCATGTCGACCTTAGCTTCCGGAACTCGTATTCGTTTATCAGAGACAATATATATGGGACGAATGTGCTGCTCGAGTCGGTCAGACAGTCCGGAATACGCCGTTTCATCCATGTCTCCACGGATGAAGTGTATGGAGAAGTTCCTGACGACGGGGAGGATCTACCAGAAGACAGCATATTAGCACCTACGAATCCATACTCCGCAAGCAAAGCAGCTGCCGAGATGATGATACTAGCCTACTCCAAGAGCTTCCGACTGCCTGCAATTGTGGTGCGGTTGAATAACGTGTACGGACCTCACCAATTCCCCGAGAGTATGTAACATCTCGAAATTTTGAGCGATGTGGTCTGAGATACTGAGGATAAATAGAGGTTATCCCAAAGTTTATAAGTCTTCTGCAAAGAGGCCAAAAGCTCACGGTCTATGGAGATGGAACAAACTCGCGAAGGTACCTTTGGGCAGGAGATGCCGCCGATGCTTTCGATACTATATTGCACAAAGGGAGCGTGGGCCAAATCTATAACGTTGGCTCGAAGTCCGAGATCACAAATCTGGAATTATGCGAGAAAGTGCTTAGCATGTTTGGAATCACCAATACGAAGAACTGGATTGACTTTACGGAGGACCGACCTTTCAACGACCATCGTTATGCAACCAGCGGGTCTAAATTACAAGGCCTCGGATGGAAGCAGCAGACATCATTTGAGGATGGGTTGCTAAAGACGATTCAGTGGTATCGTGATTTCCCTGATTGGTGGGGGGATATTAATCAAGTCTTGACAGCATTCCATGGAACAGCAAAGACATCAGTCGGTCACGCAAAGCACACGGGGGCTTTGGCAGGGCATGCTGGGCAGCAACCAGATATGGCACGAGAACATACGCCGAATGGAATAGAGATGATTGCACAATAGACATGTAAGGGTAGATTGCCAAAGCTGAGAAGTACTCCCACATCGGGGTTTCAACTCGTGCCCAGATATTTGCCATTACGAAGACAATGATGGGTCAAGGTAGCCAAATCAAATATATCAAGAAATAAGATAGATAAGAAAAACAGAATTCATCATGACTGCAGGAGGCCCTCTAAGATACGACTCCACATTCATGGACCTGGTGGAAATTCCAGGGATCGTCCTCCGCCATACCAGGTTGTCCCTTCTCTTATATCTAGACCTCTGTCTTCTCCTATAATCCAATTACCAGCCTCTGGCGCGGTGCCTCCACGCGGCCAATATTCCATCGCAATCATTTCGTTTATCTTTTCAATGGCGCTCACCCAGGCAGCTATTGCCGTATGATCTGGTTTACTACCAGAAGAATGATCTTCAGTTGTGACGAACCTCGCCACTGTGATGTGGCAGCTCGTGGGGGGATGTTGAGCATTTACATCAAGAACCTGTCCACGGCAGAGGTTGAAGATATCCCGTCGAAGGTGAAGATACGTATAGCTCTCATCCATGGCTCGGTCGTCGGTAATCTCGCCGGCAGCAGGGACATACGAGAGAGCCACACCCGAGTCGCTGAATGATAGTCTTGGCTTCACAAGTCGAGCACGGTGGGCTTCGTGGAACCCCGCAACCTTGCGCAAGGATGGCATTAGCCTAGGCACAGTGGCAGCGAGTTCTCCTGGTGTGAGGTAGTATGCGACAACGAGAACGGTCATGTGTAGACAGTCTTGCGGCGTCAGCCAAATATCTAAACGGACCGTTAGTTAGAGCTTTGTCTTGAAGGAAAGCATAGGAAGTTGTAAGCGGATAACTAGCGGTTTTGCTTTCTGAGGTATCACTAGAAAGTCTCACTAGGACTCATCTCCTTGAGCAGGCTCTGGCATCTCAATACCAACTCTTTTACTGCAACGCTCGGCCTTGCCCAGATACATAGAACATTCCTGGGATCTTCGTAACCTGGCTTGTTAAGAAGGTCGACGAGAATCTGGTCCGGTTGCATGCCTTTGAAGCTATCATCGAGCAACTTGGACGTAGCCTTAGAGTTTAGCTCATTCCACTGCGCTTCGTAGAAGGCTTGTATACGACTTCGGTCATACTCGAGACTTCTCAGGAGTTCGTCATAGGGATTAGAGATGTTGGAAAGATCCATTATTGTTGATTGGAAGGAAGCAATCCTTGGTCTTGGAGCAATCGAAGGAATAAAGAGTGTGCAAGCTGACTCTAGAGAGGCTACAAGGCGGCTTTTGCTCTGTCGGCGGAGTTAAGGACTGCAGTTTGCAAGCCTTGACCCTGACAACTATTCTCTTGGGGACGTACCGTATAGTTTCTGCTGCAGCGCTAATAAGCGTCCAAACAGAACAGGGAGAATAAGAGGCACATCAGCCTTATGCTAATGTTAAGCTCACCACCCAGGGCTCTCAAGGTAACACTGACCGCACAGACGTCTGAGGTGGGGTCAGGCTTCAGTGAGGCGAACTCATCTGTACCTACCGGAAGCAATATGCCTTGTACAGGGGTGTAAGCGTGCATGTGCCTCTGATTGGGGTCCAGCGGGTCTAGTCCGCTTGGTCTGCCTGGGTCGCGCCCACTGATAGCGCTGGGTTGTGTGTTTGGAGGCCAGGTGAATGGTGCCTTGCGGTGTGCCTTTTATCTGTAGTCTTGGTATTCTTCATGTCCCTGGATGGAATTATCCGCCAATCATAGTTGTCCACGTTTGGGCCTCGACTCAGCTTGGCCATGTCGATGTACTCTGTACACCCACGCATAATCATGAGGCTCTGCAAACGCCACCAAGACGCATTCATAAAAGTGATTCCCCTAGTTGAACCCTCCATAATGCCTCTTTGGAGGTTGCCCGAACTTTTGATACTCTGTCCGCTTATTTCAATCATTGTTTGAACCCACTCTTCGAAATAAAGCTCTTGATTAAAGCACGTTTTCAAGATCAGGAACTATGGGAGATGAGGGCAGCGGTGACTTTTCAAAACTCGAAGCTGGCTTCGCCAATCTTAACATAGAGCGTCGGCGTATATCACTGGAGGTACTCGATCCGAACAGGCATGCGATCAAATCAGACCTCACTGCGAATGATCTCGAATTCAACTACAGCGTGGAATGCGATAGTTTACCGCCCAATGGCTATTGTTCCATCCAGAGTATTCTCCCCGCATTGCAGTATAGTTCCTATTTAGCCAACAAGAGCAACTTTGCGGACGAGACCAAGATTGAGTGTTTCGATCAAACAGATGACAGTATAGCCTTTCTCACATTGAACAGTGCAGGCTTGGACAAAATTTTGGATACAGTCAAACAGGATGAACTAGATGTGGGCGTGTGTAGTACCGCGAACCCTAATTCGGCCGCAAACTCACAGACACCCCATACGCCTCCTGCATCCCCACAACCAACTCCATTCGTGACACCACATCCTTCGAGTACAGGAACAACTTCTTTAAGCAGTGGCCAAACTTCAATAACTTCGGAAGCACCGTCGAGTGCAGAACCTAATCCTAGGGAGCGGGCTCTGGTCTTCTTTGTTCCCTTGATACCCAAGAAACAAGGTACTTTTGGCTCGCAGGTATCGATGCAATGCGCAAGCGTCCAAAGACTGTTCAAGACACTCGGCGTGAATCCAGAATTTATGCTCAATATGCTTGGGCGGCCTGACTACTGGTCCCCTCGAACACGCTGGAAGTGCAACATAAAAAATGAACTTATATTCTGTGGTATGGTATGGCAGTGAATCCAACCGTCCTCGGTTGGATACTAATCAGAAACAGACCACTTCTGCCAACATCCCCGATGGAATATCCAACTTCAAGGCGCCCCACTTTCAGTATACATGATACGACAAGTGAAAACAAAACTCACTGCATATATTATCTCCCACAAAGAGGGGGATAGCAGTGTTCACGCATTACAACAAATCTTGAGGGCCGGAGTTGACAAGTTCGGGATGAAGAGTAATTCGCAAAGGTATCTCACGAACCCTTTTGATATTGCTGTCTTATTGTCTTCATTGTCATTCGAAGCATCCAAATTTCATGTAGCGCGGTTTCGACGGTACATGTGGCAGCAGGTATGCTTCAATTACCCAATTCCTACGACTTTTCTAACTGCCGCCAGGTCAACAAGGTCGACGACCACCTTGCAGGACTAGAAACTAGCGACCGAGGTCGCTTGACCGAACTCACAAAGTCGCTCCAGATTATATCTCAGCAAGCGGACTCCCATTTACTCAATGCAGACGTCGCTATCATCACCGCGACGGGGATCCGTGACACGCAAGCTAAATTGCACGATTATCTCTCAACCCCGACATTGTTTCGGCAGCCCGCTGAGGACGCAATCACGTATGTGATTGACTCCATGGAGAAACAGAAAATGTTGTTCTTGAACTACAAGAGTAGGAAAGACAGCACCATGAGCTTGGTTTACAACCTTGTCACCCAAAGTGACGCAGCCAACAACATTCAATTGGCCCAAAGCATGAAACGCGACAGTACCAGCATGAGTTCAATTGCGGCCCTGACGATGCTCTTCCTTCCCGGCACCTTCACTTCCGTAAGTCAATCGGCACATTGGCAGAGTGCCACGCTAACATAATACTCTAGAGCATCCTCAGCGCTGGCATCTTCTCCGCTAGAGCAAACTCCAATGGAATTTCTACCTCGAGCTTGTGGTGGCTTTGGATCGCACTCACCTTCCCGCTAACACTTATTGTGATGGCTGCTTGGTGGACATACAAGTGCAGGTCTGAGCGTGGGAGGTACGAGGCCTCCAGGCCCGATGCACAACTAGTGGGCGAGGGACTTTGGTCAACGCCGTTTGCTTTTGGTAAGCTGTCTCGTTTCAGTAAGAAGAAAAAGGTTGTCTTACCTGTGTAAGTGTACTACACGAGGTATTCGAGATGCCTATCCGGCTAAGATGACCAGGGGAGGCTAATCTTGATTGCATGAATCTCTGTTTTCATCAACTCTGTAGCCATAATTACAGCTACCAGGTTCAATTTTATATAGCTCTTGTTACAAGCCAGGCGAAAAGAAGGATTCGATTCGGTGCTCAGGAAGGGGAGAAACAAACATGGCAATCTTCCTCCATCTTGCATCAAGCCTTCCATCATTAACTTCCTCAGTCGCATCTTGTCAGACCGTCACATTGCCCTCCTCTTCCTGAGGACATGGCCTACCAGGTCTGTCACATATGGGTCATTAAACTCGCTGGCAGCAACATATAAGCTGGGGTCGGCTTGCTTTCAGAGTTAGATACAATGAGTGGGAACGGTTTTGGATGCCTTCGAGTGTCACTGGCCGATACGGCAGCCTATCGGAGATACTTGCCTACTAGTCCAGTGCTTAATGATGATCGGTATGTTCGGACGTAATGTCCCTTCACGTTCAGGTACTATCTAGCCAAGTACAGTACTGAGTACATAGTACAGAAGCCTGGGTGGGCACAATCCCCACAGTTAGCCATATAGGTAATGCCCGCAATAGTAGCAATTGGGACTAACCACGGTTGGCATGTCGATGTTGTCAGTCGAGGAGAAAGTATACCCGCGAACAAGATGAGATAGATCGAATGATATTTATGTCCGATGCCAGGCTGGCTGTGTTTGTAGAGCATGAAATCTCAATCACCCTCTTGCACCAACCACGCAGGTCAAAGACACAGACAAGCACATGACTTCTCTCGACTGGAGGGGAAGACCGCTATCATCACTGGTATCTTTTTTATCCTAAGACCTTTACTAGTCAACTCCGGAACTTTCCCTTTCTAGTGTTTGGGAAGGGGGAAAAAGCCAAGCAAAATAAACAAAGAAAGACCCAAAAGTCCAACCTTTTCTTTCCTACTTCCTTCCCCTATCCTATTTTCTGTTGCGTCTTTAACTCCCTCTTTCTCCCTCTTCACATTAGTGATTTTAAGAACAATGCCCCCTTGCGCCCTTGTCACTAGCTATAGCACTAGTGGTATTAGCTTAGCCCTGGTGGAGGAACTCCACGCCTAAGGGCTGAGAGTCTATGCAACCACCCGCTCCCCAGCCAAGATGAACCATCTTGCTGAGCTTCCTAATGTAATTCTTGTTACCCTAGACATTGTCAACCCAGCCAGCATTACTGCTGCCGTCAATACTGCTTAACAGGATTTATCTTCGCATGGTGGCTCCCTGAACATCCTCATCAACAACACCGGCCAATCTCTCATTTACCCTGCTCTGGGCACCTCAATCAACGAGGCCAAGCATCTTTTAATATCAATTTCTGGGGGGTCTTTGCTATTACTCAGGCTTTCATACTGTTGTTGCTGGCTGCTAAAAATGGTAGTATACTTATAAATGTCTACTCTATCTTAGGCTTCTTATACACCCCCTGGATAGTAAGGCTCTCTACCCAGGCTGTTATAATAAAATAAACAAGGAATTACCTGCTGATATATTTGCACTAGGTGTCTATAATGCCTTAAAGGCCACTCTAGTGTCTTAGAGTAAGACTCTCTAGTTGGAAGTACAGCCCTTTAATATCCAGGTTATCTCTCTAGTCACTGGCGCTGTTGCCATAAATATCATGTTGCATTTGAATATAAATCTTGCTGAAAACTTACTTTACTAAAAGGTGCTCCAGAGATTCAAACACACAGTGTTGGAAATGATATATTAAATAAGAGCGCGCCGGCAGACTTTGCTCATGAGGTTGTTAAGGATATCTTGGGTAGAGCCACAGGACCTATGTGGCGCAGAGCTATGGCCTCCATAGTGAAGTTCATGTCTAAATACATGCCAACAGGTATTTTAGTGAGTGGCATTATGCTCTTCCATTCCTTGTTCCTCTTCAACATGAATTAAATGCTAATATTTATCGCCTAGGACTAAGTAATGAAGGGGGGAACTGGGCTGGACAAGCTGCCTTGAAAGAATATCACATTGACGGGATATATATAGAAAAGACCAGGCGTGCCATGATACGTTGTTACTTTTACATCTCGTTCGTGCTTATCCTACCCAGACAATTGACTGTAGACCTGTGGTCATAATCTCCCAGTAGAAATCTCCAGCTCAGTGAATACCCACTACCCACATGCTTTATATCGTAACCTACGGAGTATGTTAATAGTCAATACTGTACTCTTCTGTTATTAGCACTTCTAGATAGAGGAGTGTTCTTGCTAGTTGCTGCGTGGTCATGGATATTAGAAGCCTAGGTGTCGCCCTAGCGAAAGAGCTCGCCCGATATCAAGAGCTTCTTTTCTATAGCAATCCAATAAATACCAGTATTTTCTATAGTACTTGAGAAGGTCGCACTCTGAATAATCCCATATAGGCGCCAATAACCCTCATTAATATCATTAAATACCTATAATTTTAAGTCTTTGTCAGTCGCTTAGCCTTCTCTTCTATATATGACTAGTATAAAGAGGGTTTCCAGACTGGGTCTTGTTGGTGTCCTCTGACAACGATATGCACGAAGGATTGGAGAGCTTGAGCATCCAAGTCCGGTTCAATATCAAAGCGTGAGCCGAGCTTCTCATGGACCCCTTGTATAGCCTGCACGAATACAGGCCCCAAGGCGGTCTTCTTTGTCAAAATCAGCACTATCGTTTACCATCCATCCGCTTGCTTTTGGTCTCAGTAGCGTACAGCGGTAGGGAGAAATGCTTGCTTGCTTCAAAGCAGTGCTCGCATGGGCACGTCGATGGGCTCTCAAGAATATCATCAGTACCAACTACCCTACTTCTTCGGCATCGTTAAGCCGGGGCCAATCGTTAATTATAACCGTAGTTGAGCATCTGACTGATGGCTCTGTGCGTTCTCAGCAGCCCAGAGAACCACGACTTCTCTGACTGTCATATCGCTGCCCTCTGAGCCATGATGTAGTAGTGCTGAGAGGCAGACACTGGCGCGGTTGCCTTAGGTGGCTGTCTCCTATTCAGCTCGGCGTGTCAGTCGCATTGTACGGAGTAGTAGCTGTCCAATCCTGAGGGATCTCGCAACAGGTGGGAAGGTATTAAGGTTTGATCGATACGAACAGTCTGGCCCTGTTGGCTGGATCTCCAACTCAAAGCGAGAGTTTTGGCCTCAGCTGCAGAGTGATCCGCTGGACTGAGCAATGAACAAAAGAAATATACCCCTAGTATTCGAGGAAATATAAACCGACCAGCGCAATTAGACTCTCGGGTATTCTAGTATATCGACTTACTTGTGACGGCGTGATAATGCGCGTCAGCTGTGCTAAATCTGATTAGAGGGTTCAACTTTTTGAGAAGTCTGCAGCTGCGCACTTAGATATAGGTCTCTGGCTGAACTTTAACATGTCCTGACAAGGCCGGCTATTGCAATTCTCAGCCAGCCATCTGTGGATGAGTCGTCTTTTCATTCCTTCTTCGTACCCAGAGGTGGCTCATTATGAGGACTCTCGGATACCACAAAAAGGTATGAGGGTCACTTTCCTAATATAAAAAGGCCCTCGAACTTCCCCTCCAGAACCTCTCCTTGCTCAAATTCTAGGGAGGCAATTCGCTCCGAGGATAATCCAAACCTCACCTCTGGACTGTTATATTTCTCGCTTTAATCAAGCCTGGATAATATTGGACACTTTCTGCTCTGAACTATGACGGCCATTGATCTAGCCAACTGGATGAAGTACCTGGATCCAGCGTACGCGTGATCGACTCGTACATATCCTGCAGTCACGATGCGTCTGCCTATAAATACGATGGAGGCGACAATGGAATGCATGAGTTTGTTGGCAGTATCTGCCAGATTGCGGATTACCGCGGCCAGCTCCTTGCAGGTTCCCGGTGGTTTGATATGCGCGTCACCCGCGAGGGGAATACTTTGGTGATGAAGCACGGTATCATCACGTTCCAACCTTTTGAGACTGTCCTTTATCAAATCAAAAGTTTTGCCGACTCTCATAAATCCGAATTTCTTTTCCTCGATCTCGATCTCACGCATGGAGGTGGTCTCGCAGGCGACGTTTTGGCCATGTTGATCAAAGTCCTAGGAGACGGCAAAGAAGATGCATTTGCAACCGCTCACGTCGGCCCTGATGGCAAAATGTACAACACTGACCTTACCTGGGCTAAGCTGCGGCAGGACGGGAAACAATACATCATCATCTGGGGTGAAGACGAGAAGGTCAACGGTGTGACAAAACATTATGACAGTGGCAAACCCTGGGCTCCGCAAGCGTCAATATCCGTGATAATTGGGCGGATGACTACGAGAACAAATCACCCAAGGAGATTGTGAATTGGTTAGACGAAGCTCTAGGCCTGTGGAAGAAGGAGAGACTTTGGATAACCCAACTCATCGACACACCAAAGCAGTCCTACATGCCTGGTCATCACCCTAGTGACTGCGATAGCAGAGCAGCGCCGGTCTTCAATGAATGGCTCACCAAGTTCAAACCTGGTGATAAGTTAGGTATCGTCAAGCGCGACTTTGTCAATGAAGGCTGGAATGAACCTGGTATCTCCCACGTCATTCGCTTGAATAAATTTGCTCAGAGCCCTGAGCTCCCTCTTGGTCAGACAATCAACTATTTAAGCACTATTCGACTCAGGACACTGGACGGGCGTTACGTCGCCGTGGACACCAATCCCCCCGGTAACACAAATCTCAGCCTACTGACCCTGGTGAACGCGCCAGCGGATAATACTCGTTTTCTGATCCGGCACTATCATAAGGACTCATCTTGGGAATGGGCGTTCAGTGGCAATCTAGACGCCGACTCCTGTGGCGCCAATGGAAATGTCCGGCTTGTTCATGTCGACAGCAGGATTGGTGACGATACTGTGGTGTCCTGCGCGAAGAACTCCGGAGGCTTTATGTACTGGGGTGTGGGCTGGGGCCCGGCAGACGACTGGGAGACGTTCCTTCCATACGATCCTGCCAACCCCCGAAGCAGCTCTAGGATTCGTGACGGTAGTATTATTGTCCTTCGCACACTCTGGCATATGTACTGGAAGGCAGGCGAAGATGAGAATCTCCATACTAGGCTTTATGCGAGCACCGAAGCGATCGAAGATGCCACACGGTTTGTCGTAGAGAAGGCATGAGGCTTGGAATCAGAGGGCCAATATTCACCAGGAAGTGGCAGATAACTGAATGCGTAGTCTTTTTGTCTTCTCTATGCCGTCCCCATCGTCTGCTTTGAATATTTGATCTAGTAATGACCCTTAAGATGAGATGAAACCACAGCATCTTTTCTAGCTTTACCTGTATCAAGTAGAGGAAGCATCCATACTACACCGAAGGTTATGTAGTTTCCTTTTTTTACCCCATTCTTAGATGACTTGTCGTTTAACACAGTATATTATGCCTTATGTGGCAAAGGCTCCACAAGCCACTCATGGTTCCTAGTGAAGCTTGTCTTAAACACCCAGTCTCCTTAAGCAATAATCTCCCTCTTCTCCCCATATCCCCGGGGAAGAATAACATCATAGGTTATACTATATGGAACTAATACCTCTAACCTTGATTACTTAGACCCTTCTCCATTTTTCTCTGTTTCCTATACATATAAGAATAGTCTGAATAGCATAGTATGCTCAGGAACAGTGACAAATTCCACCTGTTGGTTGTATCCAACCAGACCAGGCTTATGGTAAGATTCGAGCCTCCTATTAGGCCCTTTTAGGTTAGTATAGTATAATAGATAGTATGCTGTGGAACGCCCTTTAAGCACGGAGTAATCATTGTAAAAATACCACAAGTCCACATTGTAGCCACAGTCCGCCGTAATTGTAGGTAATTCAACTCGTATGCAGGCCCCTATCACCCCACCTGTAGACCGATTTGTTCTAACTTCCCGATTCCATCTCCCGTGTACGCAATACGCGAACAATAGCTGGCTCATGATTATTGCAATCAGCTTCCGCTGCCGATAACATACGTATATCAAAAGCCAAAATGGACCCAATTTCCGCAGTCGGCAGCATCATCTCTGTCCTGAGCTTCGCGGGATCATTCTTCAATGCAAGGCGAGTCTTCCGCGGCTCTGGTCCAGTACTGCTAGACTCAAGCCAGCTGACAAAATGGGAGCCTCCTCTACTTGTGAAGCTGTTTGCGCCTCAGCTAGTTCCGCAACTGAAGTCACTCTATGAAGTCGTGCTCTCTGGCTCGAACGATGTTCTCGACTGCTTCCGGAGCTCTTACTGCTTTGATTGCAACATGGTTGCTGTCGCTGTTAGTTAAGTGTCGGCTTGAATCAATGCGATGTCTTTTAGATCAAGGCCTGACGGCGAGCTTCAGGGCGCCATCATCGCGCAAATTGCAATGACTTCCTTGACACTCCCCTTTCTCAGCCAAACCCATTGGGTCTCCCGCGCCTTCTTCATAACCAGCGTTGTCTCTGGCTGTTTGGCTGTATATTTTGCCGTGATGACGCAAAAAACCGTGGCAATGCTTTACACTGCGCGGGAAACCCGCGCCTGGCTTGCAGGTCCATTGCCGGACGAAATTCTGCGTGCAGTCCACCAATCTGAGTCTATGCTGGATCGGAACCCATCGACAGAGCTAGAGCAGGTTTTCACGGAGCCCGAACAGGTGGAGAATGTCAGGCGTATGCTGACGACGAGGAATCCGTCCGTGTACGCAGTGTTGGTAATGGGGATTCCGGCTTTTATGCTGAACCTGTCATTGGGTACACTCCTTGTTGGACTGGGTGTGTATCTTGGCTTTATCTGGACGCGACATCTCGATACACAAAGTGGTCCGAATGATTCAAGAAACGTATTCGTCTTTTACATTGTGGGCATCTTCACTATGATTGCGACATATTTCATTCCAAATGCACTGAAGGATCGCGAGACGGAGCAGCAGGGGGTTCGCAAACGGATCTTGCAGAAGTTGGAGAAAGTTGAGAATGGCCATCAAAATATTCCAGGGCTTGACAGACAAGAAGTACTAAATGAGCATAATCAGCGCTTAACGCATGCATTAGAGGCGTCAGTTCGATCACAAGAGGCGTTACTGAACACGGTCCAGGATCTCCTCAGACATCTCGATATGTCAAACAATCAGCAAAACGAGAGGAACTAAGAGTTATCTACTGCCTTCTACATTCTTCCACGCAATGTAAGCTGGAAAGGAAGTCTTAATTGAGTTATAGCCACGAGATGGCGTCCATTGAAGCATTCTTTCATGTACGTAACATCTAGTCCGCGCAACGCAGTCACTAAGGAGGTGTGACAAGGCTCGTATATATGTCAAAGGCTCATATCCGTCACAAGCTCGTATGAAACTTGAATATCGACCTCAGATGCTCCTAACAGAGTGTAAGCGTACCTAAGAAACGACAAGGCGTTGGTAACTTATTATATTTAATAGATAGGGCTAACGCAGCAAAGGTGATCGTACTATAGAGTTTGTTAACAACACTTTAGACCACTTTCACCTTGAAAACGTTTCACTTTCTAAGATGAATCAAGTAAAGTCCGCACAGCAGGTGCAAGGGTGTCCCTAGTCGGTGAGCGGAGCAATCATTGGGAGTGCGAAGAAGGTGGAAGCCGATTGTGCAAGCGACTGTAAGCTAGAGAGGAAATAAAAGAAGAGAAGAGGAGAACTGAGGTTGGAATTCATATACAAACGCGCCGGAAAGCCCGAAGACCAACGTGCCCCATCCCCGAGTAGGTAGGTGTCAAGACATAATGTCATATTGTTTTGATAACGTCTTCTAGGTTGTACCACCGTCTGATTTTCACTTCCCGGATTTCCATTGCCGTAGAGACAAGCCGGCCTGGGGAACGACGAGAACACAAAGGAATATTCTCGAGTATTATGGAGTGGACTCAGTGACTTGCCATGCATACGTCTTGCTTGATCCTCCATCGACACAACAGTCAGCCGTGGTGGACAGGATCCAACCCTCAGATATGACAAATAGCACCACGCAGAGTCTCAATCAGGTTCAAATCCCCCTTCAGCGACCCCAGACTATCAATGTCGCTGGACTTCATGGATCGTCGCGCATTGGCAGCGTTTCTAAACCCGGCTCGCCCGAGTCCGGCCCCGGCCAAGTAGCTAAAGACACTCATAAAGGCATTTTCAGGGTGCTCGATGATGTCGTGCAACAGCAGGCCAGTCTCGCCAGCCGCGCCTGCCAGGCGCAGCAGGGAGCGAGCTGCCGTCAGACCGGCGGCCCCGGCGGCCTCGCCCACGAAGGGAATGAAGAAGAGCAAGCCTGTGAGAAAGCTGATGATGAACTCCTCGCGCTCTCTCTTCTTGATTTCCTTGGCAGTCTCGACAATCTTGTCCATATTGTCGACGGCGGCCTGGATCGTCAACGCGGGTAGGGATCCGGCGTCAACCAGGTCGGACCACTGCATGAGCTCGTCGTAATCGGCATGGTCTCTGACGATCTTGAGACGGTTGAGGAGGCCCTTGGTCTTGTCGTACGAGTCGCCGATGAGGTCTTTGGGGTTGTAGACCTTGACCGTGTCTTTGGTGGGATAGTTGTAAAACCAATTGTCCTGCCTGTCTATGCAGTTCAGGACGTCCTCGCCGGCGTACTGACAGCCATTGTTGGCCCTGACGTGTCTCCTGGCGAACTTGACCCACGACTCCTCGATGCCGTACTCCTCACCAATGTCCTTCCAGAAGCCCTCGGAGTCTTGCAGCGTGTATGTGGCGTTGGGGATATCTACGCCTATCCCGATGATGGTGCCGGAACCGCCCTTGAGAGTGGTCGGACACGTGATATCGACTGTGCCCCGGCCATTCTTACAACTTTGGGACTTGTCGCAATCCAACATACAGGTGGGATAGTTGCAGCTGGAGCAGCATGTGATCTTCTTGGTCTCCGTGCACTTGAAGTACTTGTCCGCCTTGCCGCTGCCCATGAAGGCGTCGATTTGGTCCTGGACTTGGTCGTCGACGTAGCCTGCGTAGGTCTCAAACTTTTCATCGTAGCCATTGTTAACCAGGTCCTTGTACTTTTGCAAGGCTGCTTCCATGATGGCAACCTCAACATTGAAAATGTATTGCTCCATGCAGTGAGTGGGAATCGAGTCCTTGCGGTCCTCGAGCTCCTTGAAGCTAGTGTACTTGCTTACACACTCTGGGTACATGCTGGTGTCGATGTAGGGTTCGTAATCATCCGGGTAGTCATCACCACCGCTGCCACTGCGAAGAGTTAGTGTCATTAAACATATCTTTACAGAGACGTGGGAGGTCTATGGGGCTCAGCTCAGTGGCACTTACTCTCTGAACTCCTGCAGGTCAACCGCCCAGTCCGTGGTCCCAGCAAAGTTGTATGAATCATAGAACTCCGCACGAGTAGCCTTCATCTTATCATCCATATACGCTACCCACTCGGTGTCGTTGTAGACCAGGAAGTTGGAGCCGACATCTGTCCACTGCTTGGTAACTTTGCCGCTGTTGATGATCTCATCAATCTCCGCGTTCGAGATGTAGCCGCCCGTCTCTGTGCAGCGTCCTTTTGCGGCATTGGATATGCGCGAGGTACCGGTGAATTTGCAAATTGGCCCAGTGCAACCGGCCTCGGCCATCTTGAACGACCGGCCGTAGCTGGCCACACCGACAACCACTTTGTTAGAGGGCACACCAGCCTTGGTGATCATTGACAGGGCATCTTTGGTCTCTGTCTCGTTGACATGGGACCTTAAGCAGTTACCACTAGGACAGCCAGGCGAAGTCCACTTGTTGCCGTAGTCCCACTGGCCGTGGAGATCGTAAGTCATGTAGATGATATAGTCGAGACTGGCGCCCATCTGCTCCATAGGGAAAGACTTGAGATAATGATAGGAAGCCGGGCCTGCGAAGGAGACTGATTTGGAGCTGCCCAATGCCTTTTTGACGTTGGAGAGCAAGTAATAGTAGTCCATACCCGCCTGCGGGTCACCGGCAGGAATGTCGGGAATGTCAGGAGCCTAGATTAATTACATTAACCAAGTCCATAGTGTAAAAGTAAAATGAGTGAACGTGTGCTACTTACTCCAGGATACTCCCAGTCGAGGTCGAGACCGTCGAGTTTGTGCTCATTGACAAAGGCAACGAGATTCTTCTGGAAGATATCGCGGTTGGCTGGCTTGACAGCTTCGCGAAGGATGTTGAAAGTGCCAGGCATAGTACTAAAGTCCCAGCCGCCAAAAGAAATAATCTTCTTGATCCCGGACATGCCTTTGAAGAGGTCAAACTGCTCCTTAACGGCACTTATGTCGACGTTGAAGTCCTTTGTCACATCGGCGAAAGCGAAGTGGATATGCGTATACTTGTCCGTGTCGATCTGGCCGACGTCCATGGTCAAGCACTTGCGCTTATGGTTCCAGGCTTCAAAGTATGCTACCTGGATCTTCTGGACCGGCGCCGGGCCCTTGATAATGTCTCTGCCGCAGTTACTGACGCCTGATTTTCGGGGTCAGCTGTGTTTCTCAGGAGTATCAGTAGATGTTGTAGGGCAGAAGCACTTACAGCCATTTTTGCCGGGCGCAGAAGTGCCAGGAGCGCCAGTTTCTGACTTGGACACGGTACAAAACTCATCTGTCGTGCCACATTGACCCCACACATTGCAGCAAACCTTCAGGGGGCACGGGTTGAGCTTGGACAGGTCGGTGCCTTTAGCTGGCTCTTTGGTGCCGGGGACCTTTAAATCATATTAGTCCGGGCAAGTTCAAGCTTGGTACAGCAGTCTGGAAATCCTTACAGTCGGTCCACAGATAGCGTTCTAAAGACCAACATTAGCATATATTCTTCTAGGGGACTTGTGTCACGTTCAAAGTATACATGTATATGTATATACTTACCGAAACAGGGGCAGGCATAGGCGGCGTTCCTGAGCTCAGGCACAACTTGAACTGGACTGCGAGCACTTTGCAGCCGTTCCAGCCCCACGTCTTCTTGTTAAAATCTTCGATATTTGCAACAGTTAGGCCATTAGCTGCGGCAATGCCGGAACAGCTGTCGCCTGCCTTGGTCGTGTACGTGGAGCAGGATCCGTCGGGATTGGGCTTGGGCCTTAAATCGGGCAGCTTGCCACGCGTGCAGCATACATGCTGTCCGACTTTCAGGGTCGAGCACAGATTGGCGCCAGTGTTGACCTTGGTAAAGTCTTGCGGACTTAGACCGCATTTGGACGCCAGGGAACCGCAGCTGTCGCCGCCTATCACCTGTCTTGTCTTGCAGGTGCCGTCCGAGTTACCAGGAGGGATAGTCTCAGGCAAGGTGCCGGAAGAGCAGCAGACCTTCTCGCCGGCAACAAGGGTGTTGCAAAAGTTTGGACGGGGATTGTACTCTTTCAATTTGGCGTCGGTGATCTTGCACCGGTCGGCCAGAGCCCAGCAGCCGTCGCCAGCATTGACCGTGGTTGTCCTACACTCCGCCCGGGCAACAATCCGGGATCTTGATCTTGCCCCCAGGTGGGCAGCCGCGGTTGGTAACGTCGTAGTGTCATTGGAATCTGAGTTTGACTTGACATGGGCAGGGACGCGCAGAGTTACAGTCATCCAGTCCTCATCACCATCCACCGCAGAGACGCATCGTCCGTCAGCCCAGGTCTTGACGGCCTCCTGGACGACGGGCAGATGCTTTGCGCTGCTCATAATAATACCAATGCCGTAATCTGCGCCGCGGCCATCCGCCTGACACAGCTGAACGATAGTCGTTTTGGAGACCGAGTTTTTCTCCGCATAGTCGAGCAAGTTGTTGAGAACGTCCGTGGTCACGCCATGCTGGTGGACCTCCGCACCGGCAAACACTCCAACAACGGCGGATTGAGAGTACCCAAAAGCCAAAGCGTTCTCCACACAGGAGGGCTTTTGTAACCTGAAGTAATTGACAATCTGGCGGCCCGCAGACAAGAAATCCTGAACGGCAAAGCCATCCTCATTCCCAGCGGTAGAATGGGCAATTCTGATGGAAGCTTCGACGAGGGCATGATTGGGGGTTGGGCAAAGAGCTGCCGTTTGATCATGTGGCTCGTAGGCTGCCTGCATCGTCGAGCTATAGTCGGCTGTGCATGCTCTGATGCCTATTTTGGGGCCATGACTACTGGCACCGTCAACTTCGTTTTGGACGACAAAGTCGAGCAGCATGGTCTCGTTGCACGCAGCGAGCCTCGACTCATCAGGAAACAAGAACCATCCGGCCCCTGCGCTGCTATTACCGGTTTCGTGACAGGACAGAGGGCATGCCGCGAGTGCGCTGGGGGGCGCCCGCTTGTTGGCTGCAAGCCATTCGTCCAGACCTTGGTCCTCTCTAGTGTCTGCTCGGTGGGAGATGTGGAGATTGGAGCCAGAGTGGGCAGAAAAGGCCCCTACCACCAAGGTAGTAAAGAAGCACAGTGACGGCTTCATAGTGAAGGAGAGCTGCGCAGGAATTGCTCTCGGATAAGATGAGGAGCCCTTGACAATAATGGGGGGAAGAAGCTGACGACTATATCCAATACTTTGATTGATCTTATCAAGCGTCAGGACATGATCCTAGGGTGTGCCTCGATGTAACATTAGAATCTCCTTTTTCCAACCCTAAGATCCACTCCATAGCCCCTGTGAGGGAGTTGTTTTCTAGCGCCAACAGAGTACGACCTATAGCTCTTGGCTGTTCAGGCACAGAAGTGAGTTGCTGAACCTCCAATAACACCCTAGCTTTAGTGTAGAGGCCAAAATACAAATTAAATCAAATTAAATAGATAAATACATAATATAAGAATAAAATAAAGGTTGACAAGCAAAAAAGAAAAAAGGAAATTCAGATCCATTTATCCTCGGTTCCTTCCCCTCGTCTTTGCTCTGTATTGCTCAGTGTATACGACTTCCTGTTGTCTATCTTAATCTCTATGTCCTTGTTTGCTCGTTATGCGGACATCATTCTTCCTTGCGCTTGCGTATATTGTCGCGAGTGTCTGGGCCGGAGGATATCAGGGATGCCTTGAGCGCGTGTTGTTGTTTTACGCCTACCAAATCGACGGGCTCAACGACCCCAAGGACCAAACCCTGGGCTTCCGGTGCAAGAAATGGGACGACAAAAGCAATAGTTGCGTGAATAATGACTGGGTAGCGTGCAAGGGCAAAGGCGGCGGCAGATGCAACTTCAATGAACTCATGGCCAGCCTGGGGAAATCACGTCCCACTGACAAACTGGTCGGCCCTCCCGGGGCAGATCAGAATACGGCAACGCCTGATATCCAAGAGACGGCGAAGGCGCTCTACAAGCAATACACGACCCCGCCAAACAAAAAAGTGACCAACTTCCCACCCTACAAGGCCATGAAAGGCGCGGACAGCAACTTTAACGACTACACTTTGAAACTCGGCAAAGTGGTCAACGACGCATGGCGCCACAAGACCGACGCAAACAAGAACCTGTGGGACGGATTCGATGCCAGTCTGGAGAAGATCAACATCGCGCGGGCGGGGGATCACGGTCCATTTCTCATCAAAGAGGTCGAAGCCAAGTTGGGGAAGCCAAACGGGATGGAGATCAAGTTGATGAATTTGGGCGACAACCCCATTTCGAACCCCACGACGCAATGGGAGACCGTCGACTGGAAGGCCACTGCTGATGCGGCCAAGACCAAAGGCATCAAGGATGTTGACAAACTCATCAGAGACGTTCGCACTCGCTGGTATACGAACGATAAATCAGCCGGTGACCACTATGCGGTCTTCAAGACGTATAAACGGATCGGAGACCAGGCGCGGTCGTGCCGAAAGTAGTGAGGAGACTGGCCGTCTGATATGGTTGAAGCCAATGATAGGAAAAGGAGAGAAAGCTATGTATTGAGGTTGCACTATGTACCTAATCTGGTGAGGGAAATTAACTGTGAAGCTGGTGTGTAGCGACTTCTGAGATATAAGTATCTTGAGACACCTTTTCTTGAATATTGAGCCACGGAATACAGCAAGTTCCACAAACTATAAGACAAGGGCATAAATAATTATTTAGGATCACCAAGTTGCCATCCATTCATCTGCCATCCTATCCAGGTCCTCGCCAACCGCAATCTGCCCAGTCTCCTTGTCAATGAACCTTATATTCTCTTTTGGGCATGGCCAGTAAACATACTCCCAGGCGTCCTGCCATGCCAGCAGGCCATCCTCGCAGATAACATGCATTTCCTCTAGATTAAAATACAAATGTAGCTCCTGGGACTCAGAGTGGAAAAAGGAGTCTGTATTCTCGCGCTGAATAGTAAGCCGGCGAATCAGCTGTCGTTCAGCCGGTTCAATTGTGTCGAAATAGGTATCTCCAATTGAGATCATGTCAATCTCAAAGTTCACCCAGACATACCGCGGCTCAACCCCTGAGGGGAACTTGAAGGCCTGTTGGTACAGCCCCTGGTTTCGGGATTCATGGCAGACCTGAAGGACCGCAGGCACTGGTGTTGATGAGGTTACATGCAGAATCTTGCCCCATAATCCGTTATCTTTCTTAACACGGACCTCAACAGTGCGTGGCTCGACTGTCAACTCCCAGATCCGAGAGCGAAGCTCAAAGGGGAGATGAGGAAAAAGGCGGAACGCGGCCATACTGCGCTGTGGTGGCGAGTTCAGCGACGGAACTTTTCAGTGGGGGCTGGGGGCGGTTCAGCTGATAGCGTGCCGCTTGGCGTCTTGGGAGGCAGAGAAATGCAACGTTAACAGGTAGGGAGAGCGACAGACAATTTTGAAAGGTTGACCAGAGGCGTTGGTGGAAGATGAGGAATGGACGCGGACAGAATAAGGGTAGTAGACGACGGAGTAGTAGTGCTATTTAGCGCCCTTTTCTAGCGTGTCTGCGTGTACGCATAGATGGCAAAGGAGTGTAGGATAGGCAGTGCCTTTGACTGCACCGATTGCGACAATACTGAGACATAATGATCCAGTCTGGAATGTATCGAACTGCATGTGCTGTAGTTGTCATGAGCAGACAGAACGGAGTACTCCGACAAACCCACTAGTTCAACTGCTCAAGGCAAAGACCTGGGCTCGGGCAGAGTCGAGTCAGTCGACCAAAAACCAAAAGATCAATAACGGGTTAATACTTTTTTATTGTTTTGTTATTAAATTTCATGGTTGAGCTTTTCCCAAAACCATTTTCTCTCCTCCCTCCCCACCCGAAGGACAGTATCTCGCCCTGTCTCTCCCCTCCCACAGCTCATTTAACCTATTCTCCATCTTCTCACGTTTGTCACCATTTACTCCGTCTGCCATGAAGTCTACCTTCCTCTCGATTGTGTCGCTGGTCGGCCTGCGCTTTTGCGCCGGCAGCCAAACTCCAGGATTGCAATGGGACCCTGACACAATCGCCTCCTGCGTCGAGTGGTATGACAATGACGAAGGTCTTACATGCGAGGAAGCCAGAAACTACTGGGGCATCACGCCTGAGCAATTCACCGAATGGAACCCTTCGGTCAGTCTCGACTGCGAGCCGTGGAGATATCAATCCTACTGCATCGTAACCCAGGAGAGACTGGACAATTCAACCAAGACAACCACAACATCCAGGCCAGCAAGCACTCCTACCACCACCCAACCCACCCTGGGCCCTTCTCCAACGGCATGGACTCCTTTGGGCTGCTACTTCGACGACCCCAAGCTGCTGCCGCTTCTCCAGACGCGCGTGAGCAAGGAGGGTGGCAACCCCGTGCTGACGATCGCCAAGTGCCAGAATGCCTGCTACCTCGCGGCGCTTACATTTGCAGGGGTCAAGGCCGGTAACGAGTGCTGGTGCAGTCCCTTCGTCGCTGGCGAGCACGCTCGTAACCAGACCGACTGTAACCTGCCCTGCACCGGTGACAAGAACGAGATCTGCGGCGGCAAGGAGTCCGTCAACGTCTTTGAGCCCGTCACGGCTGATGAAGATGAACCAGTGCACAAACCTACTACTACTACTACTACTACTCCTACTACTAGTACCAGTACTCCTACCCCTGGTACCAGTGGCGATAGTGGAAATGGTGCTAACGACGACCCTGCCAAGTCTGGGGCGATGAGGAACTTTGCACTATTTTAAGTGTATTTTACTACCGACCTTGGGTTATCTGGGTATGGTCTCGGGAACTCTGTATGTACAACCGCAGGAGAAGAAAAATAGAATACCCGTATTGTCCAGCCAACGAAGCCTAAACTGCATGAACAGATGGACTGGCATGAACAGATCCAATTTCCTACACGTCCTTTGGCTACTTGAATCAGCCCCTAGTCCGTTGAATAACCTGGATCAGACACACTATTGTCGCCTCCACAACGTGCACGAGATGATTGGCATCTCCTCTCGTCCAGAACTTGGCCTATCAATCCTAGGAGATAAGTATGTACTTGGCTAGGCTGTAGCCAAGCGAACCTCTCGCTTATACAAGTTAGTATGCTTTGTTCAGGGGGAAATATCTGCACATCTATCATAAACGCAGTTAAAGTTGAGACAGTCCGCTGACCAGTGGAGACTGCAGACTACTGTTCTAACGCCAAGTACCAAGCCTCGGGGCCAAGGGCTAGAGGATGAACATGCGCTGAGGCCCCTGGCTAGCAGTCCTTTGCATCTTAGACTAGTATTAAACAGGCAGCACCAGGGCAATGTTGAGCTCAAGACTAATGCTTAGCTTGCAAAGTCACGCCGTTAGTTTCGGCTTTTGTCCCGGTACAAAGTAGATGCCAAGCCCCAGCTCAACTGGTGCAGACAAGCCCACTGAACAGCATCTTTATTTCTTGCTTCTCTTCCCTAATATGGAGTAGCCTCTAACCAATGTAACAGTCTGCAAGGTATCATTCTTGGCAATTATTTGGCTCACAGCCAGTTATCACTGCGATCTAAGTCTGTCATGTGCTATCCATAAAACTCACTCAATAGGCAGGAAATCAGCCTCTGGAGCCAAGCCACTATAACACAAGAGAAAAATGCCTCAAGCCTTGGCAACGTTTTGTACGTCTCTGCAGTAGCATTGTACTTACCTGTGCTATCCTAGTTCATCGCTAGTTTGATACCATGTGTGTGACTTGGACAGAGCACCATCCTAACCCAACCTGAAGTGGGAAATGAATGGCAACTATTCCCTATCATCGGGTGTGTACCAGGAAATGAGGATTTTATTATGTTATTGTTATTGTTATTGTTGTTGTTCTCCAAATTTGAGAGAATGTAGCAAACACTTGAGATGGGCTGAACAAACTGGCAGACTCTCCTTCAGAGCTGTGCTCTGCCCAGGGTATCACGGTCTATACGACTTCCAGAAGGCGAATCTCTGATACTGAATTCTTTATCAGTCACTCACTCACTCAACATAAATTGACGCGACGATCACATCTCAACCACACGCTAAGGCAGTAGAGCCCTAAGCTTGAGTGCCCGACAAGCTAACATACAGGCTCCGCCTCAACGAAGCCATCTCAGAAGTCACGCAGGCAATCGAGAAGGTGGAAAGCGCTGGAGACCCGATTCTCCTGGTTTATATGAAGTGGGACTGGAGACGATCAAAGGCTTTGCGAAGTTCAAGAGAACTGGAGAATATCGGAACATATGGTTGAAAGTAGATGAAGCTGTCAACAACATTGCAAAGGACCAGAAGGCACTTGACAAGGCAAAGCAGGACCAAACAGATGGGGAGAGAACGGACAACTCTTTCGAGGACCAACAAAGCGCAGAACTGACAAAGGCTGTGGCTATTGCCTAGGAGGTCTTTGAAAACTCCGACGTTGCGGCTTGCTTCGGACTCGCAGATTCAGCTGTGGGGGATCTCCAACAATGATGCTGCCACCAAAGACATTACTACCAGATACACCAATTACCGAAAGAACGACGGCCATCACAGCCGCAACTGCGCCCAGGGTAGGGTCTTTGCCATCAAGCCTTATCAGCTTGCTGAAATCACCATGCTGTGGTATATTGTGAAGCTCATGCGTGCAAACATCCCTATTCCCACGCGCCAATCTTAGGCAGAGCTGGTGCAAATTCACCCATACGACGTGCTTTACGGGTGGAAACTGCTAGCCTTCTTTTGGAAACAGTCACGGAGGCAAGAAGACCAAAGGCAAACCTCAGAAAAGCACAGCTGCTTGGCCCATCTTTCATGTCCCCGGGCCTGATCATTTCGGGCTCTGGCTCCGTCCGAAATGCAGAGGATGAGATGACGTTGTACTAATGCTAGCCAGTCTTTGACGAAAACAAGCTTTGCCAAGTGTGACCAACCTGGCTTGTTTCATCCATTGATATTAAGGTGTATTTTCCTTCAACAAGCCTGGTTATTATTCAAAGAGACCTAGGTCATATCTTCTAAGCGCGATGCCTGGCCTGTTACATTCAGCTAGCCTTCGGGCATTATGAGACGGAATTACACATCATGAAGACGCAGAAGACTCTTTCAGAGTGATAGATTAGTTGCTCACGGTCACCAATGATCAGGAAAGCCTCGAATTCGCTCTACGACAGCAACAGGGAGGAATTGCGGAAGCTGAGACTTTCCACGCAATCTGATAAACTCAGTATTCTAGCGGTAGCTAATCTGCTAGACATACACCTCTAAATCACTTCTATATCTAGTTATCGTGACTCATGATACGTATGTGCTTGTTGTTGGCCTCTGGATCCACACTCGGACTCCAAAGCCCGCAAAAGCCGACAGTGCAGAATCCAAAGTACCCTAGAATAAGGAATGGCATGATCCTACTATCGGCAGGCTTAATATTGCAGGAGCCTGCAATACTTCTAAAAGATCATCTGTTAGTGGTTTCAAATGCACCGGTCTCATGACCAATCCAAAGTCAAATTCATTAAGTAAATGTCGTCATAACCCCGTCTCCTTATAAGACCGCTCCTATCCATCCATCGACATCAACCCATACCACGACTCCCCATCCTCTATACTGAAAAGCTACAACTACAGTGGTCACAATGAGCGAATTTCCAACCGCATTCCGCGCAGCCCAAGTCCTAGGCTTGACAGGCGCCGCCTGGCTCTCAGGTCCTTCCATCCCCCACCCTCAACATAACATACCAAACACTGAAACTAACATAAACAGGCAACATATTCTCCCTAAGCCTCATATCCACCCCTGCCCTCCTCCAATCCCTCCACGAAAAACAAGTCACCCCCTCCGCCGCCGCCAAACTCTGGGCCAACATCTACAACGCCGGCAAGATGCAGAACCCGCCCGTTGCGGCCGCCACCACCGCAGTCTTCTTCTACCTGGCCTGGTCTGTCCGTGATGGAACGGCGTTGTCGCTAGTTGCAGCGCCGAATAGTAGTTTCCTGTATGCTGTTTCGGGGGTGTTGACCGTGGGGATTGTTCCGTTTACGCTTGCGTTTATGATGGGGACGAATCGGTCGCTGGAGGCGAAGGTGGAGTCTAAGGATGAGATTGAGGCGACGAGGACGGAGGTCGAGTCGCTTTTGGAGAGATGGGGGGTGTTGAATGCTGTGAGGGGCGTGTTTCCTTTGGTTGGGGCGGTGGTTGCGGCGCTGGCTGCGATTCCTTGATCTTAGGTCTGCTTGTATTGTATTATGAGTGAGGTCTGTTATGCTAAGTATTGGAGTTTGTCGTTGGCGCCCGTGGCGTTGTGCTGTCCTTGATTCCAAGTGGTGAATTTATTGAAGGATTATCTTCTCTTTCTACCCGAGGCGATTGTATGTGAATGAAGACTAGAAATATGTCCCTCGATGAGACAGGTTGGAGTTGCTCCCACATTCTTCACTAAAGCTACGATTTCATTCTCATCCTCCAGACAGGGAGTGAACCTCTAAATCCTTCTGCTTATGACGTCCCCGACTGTGTTTTGTCGCTAGCTGCATGGGACGAGGTGACCATCGCTGTCCCGAAGACGAAGATGAGCGGTTTCCTCTTTGAACTTCTCTGAGTCGTCGTCATTAGATGGATACGGTGAGTGGGTTGTCGTCTGTCTTTGCACAGAGATAGTTGAGGGTGGATAGTGCAGCGTCGGCATTCGACGGATTACAAGGTGTCCACCCAGCGAGTTTATAAGTCTGAAGTATGCGTAACGCTCGCTGTAGTCAAATTTGAAAGTGTTCAATCGGAGATGCCATAGACCAGCTGTACAGTCGAGTCACCGGCCATCTGGCAACATATATTTAGAAGTGATGAATAGTAGAACGGTAGTTAGTTGGCCCACGCGTCATGATCGGACGAGGCATAGAGCCTCCCAGAATGCTGCTTATGAAATTCTCGTGGACCTTTCTTTGGTGTTGAGGAAACACAATGATGGTTCGGATGTCATGCGAGAGGGCAGCTCTTCTCTGCATTCTGCCCATAATCGAGACCTCAATCTAAGAGGTATCAAACAAAAGATTGTGTCGGATGCTCATTTGACAGACCGCTCATACCGCTGCAAAGCTGATTGGATCTGCTGCGTGAGGCCGACCTGCATCAGCACTTCTTGGATGTCCATGCCACGGTAAGGGTCAGTTCTCAGGACTACAATTTGTCCGCAAGCATAGTCCAGAAGATCGTCAGGGTAATGTCCGGGGCCCGTCGGAGCGAAGTGGAAATGTCATTGGAACCGGTGCTTAGTTGCTGTCATTCGAAGCCTCATGTGCTCGTCTCAGCGTTGTATTTTCTCCTGAAGGGTTAGCTGAGAACAAGCAATGAAATAGCCCGGCTTACCAATTCCAAAGATTTCTAGCTCTTGTCTACAGCTTTTGCTTCAACAAATAGTCTCTATACATGAGATTTGTTGGGGTTCGCCGAGGAAGAATCTGCCTGTCCTTGACCTCAAAATCGATGAAGGGCCGTCAATCCGCCAGTATAAACACGAATCCCTACTCGACGTGACAGACTGGCCATGAGGGATGCCATTGCGTGGAAGCACGCGCAATGAAGATCACAATTGGTTCCATGTCTTCTTCAAAAAAATTTTTGAAGAAAGAAACCCGAGAGTCAATACGGTTTCTTTAAGCGACACTAAGTATCTAGCAAAACAGTGCTCCTCGGCGGGAGCGCGGCGCGGACCGAGGGCGGGGGCAGGCAGCAAGGCGGCAGGCGGAGGCGGGGGCGGCGGCGCTGGCAGGGCGGCCGGTATGACGACGCCGACCAGGACGCCCCCCTGGTCGTGGACGTGCTGCGTCCCGCGCTGGTCGCAGTAAAGGCCCAAAGGCCGCGCACGTGGCGCAAACGGAACAAAAAACAAAACGGCTCTACCCCCGGGGGGGGGGAGCAATCACACTCTATATGACACAGTTAGCCCAACACTGGTATAGCCAGGAGAACGCAGACCCTACTCACCCAGTGAAAAACTGGAGTGCACGACGCCAGAAGCCCGCAGGGGCAGCCGCGGCCATCGGGGAGCCGGGCGCGGAGACAAACGGGGGGTTCGGAGTGCGGGCCAGGGGCGCTGGGGCCGACGCAGGGGGGGCACCACGCGGCAGAGCGCCGCCGCCCGCCAATTGTGCTTTTGAGGAAAGCAAATAAAAATAAAGAAGAGGAACGATAATGTAACAACTTGAGGAGTACGAGCTGGGTGCCCCGGGCCCAGAGGGAGAGGAGGAAGACTCCCTTCGGAGTTTGACGTCCTGCTTGTACAATCTCTTCAGGACGGTTCAAACTTGAAATGGTATCAGAAATATGTTTGATGAATTCATCTTCATGGGAGTTGCAGTTGCATTATAGAGCCGCTCCGGCGTCCTGGCAGCTACCTCAGCTGAAGACGACATTTTGATTTGGATGATGAAGCAAAGGCTGTGGGCAGCGGCAGGTTTATATCCTTATATCAACAATGACAGAAAGCTGAGTCTGGTGAATGTCAGCAGCTCATCAAAGCATGATAAGTCCTACTCTGTGAATGCACCAAAGAGCTGTAAAGATTGTTTAGGTTCCAGAGCCTTGTACTATTCTCATGCAAGTCGTGTCTAGTAGACTAAGACGCAGGCTTTTGTCAAAGAAGTGGATAGTCTTCCATGGAGCCCTGTCTGCTAATCTTAGGTCAATGTCCTCATCTGTAAGGCTCAATCATTCTGTGTTGGCAATTGGCATAGAAAGTCGTCACTAAGGATATGATTATCATATCCAAGGCTGAGGGAGTGAATGGAGTTGATCAAGTTGATGATAATCCCTGGTTGCAAAATCCAGGCCGCCTCAGGCACGAAACACTCATGGACAACAAACAGAGCAAACAAACAATGATAAGATAAGCGATAAGGGTGAGCTGATAAGGCGAGATTGAAATTGGACGACACTCCAACACTTCGTCATCGACTCATCCCTTGCTTACTACAGAATCAACATGGTGAGTTGACAATGGCCGCTCGTAATTAGAATTAAAGCTGACCAGAATAGCGCAGTCATTACCTATCCACCTGCCTCAAGGGGCGATTTTGGTCACTTCCTTCCAGCAGGACAACCCAACAAATTGGGGTCCCATTTAGGAAACCCAGTGGCCAGCCTAGACAATGGCCTGCTTTAACGCAACTACGCGCCGCTACGGTAGATGCTACTCAGAACGGTCCAAATCTCAGCGGATCCTCAACACCCACAGTGCGGGTACAAGGGCCGAGCAGCGAGGACCAGGACAACCACAAAGCCAACCTCATCTCCCAACTCAAGAGCATCCCCCAGGACACCAGCTCTCTACGCATCGAGGAAAACACCCCCTCAGACAAGGAATGGTCAATCCTCAGCGAGCACTTTATCAACATCCGCGACCTGGAAATGAACAGCGGGTACGACGAGGGCCTCAACGATAAAGAAATGCCCCTGCACTGGCCCCTCGAACGGCTGGAGGTCAGCTCCGCCGCGGGCGAGGTCATCCAGACACCCTTCATCCTGCAAGGCCGCGTAAAACATCTCGCTCTGATCTTCACCTCCGGTCTAAGATTCGAGGGTCCCACAAACGCAGAACTGCAGCGCACGAATCGCGAAGCCATCGATCGCGGCGACGCAACGCCGCGATATCTCACAGTAGATGAGGGGACACCCGCGGAGCGAAAGATCGAGGTGACGTATATCCCAGAACTGGTGGCGCAGTGGATGACAGACAAGTACTCCAAGCCCAACCCGCAGGTGGAGTCGGCGAACCGGCCCCCTGCGCAAGTCACCACGGACACGCTGGAGATTGTCGAGAACGATGCGCTGGATGCGTTCTGCCGGATGGCGGTGGCGTTGCCTCATGTGGTTGATAATCTGCAGACGCTGACGCTGCGCTCGACGCATGGGCTGGATTTCCAGTTTGCGAGGGAGAGTATGTTTGTGAGTGTGCTTCCGCATCTGCTGAATCTGCGGACGCTGCGGTTGAGCGTGGGCGATATTTTCGAGGATGAGCAGTATTTGCCAAACCTGTATACAAAGCTACCGCCGAATTTGTCGGCCCTCTACTTTCGGGGTCCCGCATCCCTGTGTCAGTCAGAGAAGTGGGAGAAGTGGATAGAGTCTTTTGCCTCGAAGGAGTATCTCCCCGAGCTGAAGAAGCTGGGATTCGTTCTCGACCTGCATTATGAGGGTGACAAGAATGGGAAGAAAGAGGTCCAGGCGCCAGAAGCGGTTCTCCGGGAAGCTCGAGCTGCTTGCGACCGGCTGTACGCCGTTGCAAAAGATCGTGGTATCACAATTGAGGCTATGCATGATGGGTGGGCCGACGAATTTGAACATCTCCGACAAGTGGATGATCGCTGGGGTGCCTTGTGAATTGCGAGCCTTGCTGATTTCTATTTACCTTAATCATTTCCGGTAGTCAAATTTAGCATCACGGCTTGTCCGTCCGTCTCCCTGAATCACCCGTTTGACTTGGCGGTGGGCTCGTACTCGTTTACCCACTTTTTCGATTGGGCCTTGATGAATCTCGCAGCTGTCGAACTCCCAAGGCAATTAATTAATAGATGCCAAAAATAATTAAGCTTGATTTCCTCAAAGACGAATCATCCTCGAGCATAATCAGGCAGAAGAATTCGATGATCGGGATGAACCGATGCTATAGCCCCTCTCCCTTCAACTGCCAAGTTTGGCTCCGCTCGTACTCGTAGCAGCCAGTCTCTAAATGGTGCGGTTCTAGTCTGATTAGCTTAGCCTGTGGTGTCCGTGTATCCGTTTGTCTGAACAGCTTAGATACGAATACGATTTGTTCCACATAGGGAATGTGTTGCGTTGGACCGTGTTACTTTTGTTCATGTATAAATAGGCGTAAGCACTTGCAGCCTTGCTGTAAGCTTAGCATCAGCACTGCTCATCAATCTAATAGATATAGATTTACCCTCAATCAAGCCTTTATTCTTGCGCTACATTCGGTTCATTCGACGTGTCTGTACACAGTCTACAAAATGGACACTATCTCCCCCGCCCCCAGCAGGAGCGGCAGCGACACAGAGAGCATAACCAGGTATGAGCAGCACAATCCATATGGCGTTGAATATAAATAGACCACTAATACGGAGTAACGAGGATAGCATCCCACCGCGCCAGAATAACCCCAAACACTCAAAAGAACAATCAGTGTTTCCCCTCGCGCACCCACCCCCAAAACCAACCCAACGCCTCCGCCTCACCCCCAAACTCCTCCTCCAAATCCAACACCTCTCCCCGAAATCTAATCGGCCTCTCCCCGTCCTCGAAGTCTGGCAACCTTCGCGCTTTGCGGCCCGGCCGTGCGCGACTTTTCCCAAGCTCCATGCGGGGGATATGTATATTACCCAGAGCGAGGCATACGCCTCGTTATCTGGCGAGAACCACAATCACAATCCAGGCTCAGAGGCAGAGGCGGATGCCAGCCATGAAGCAGTCGTCGGGGTGATCTACCACCCACCCGCACAGAAAACAAAAGCGAAAAAGGAGGGGCCGGAGCCAGCGCAGGCGGAGGTGGAGGTGCATTTCCCGCTGACAGGGCGCACGTGGTCCGCGAGTGTGACGGCCGGGGGCGGGTATCGGTTTCAGGGACGGGATGAGGCCGGAGTGTACGTGTTGGAGTGGAAGAGGCGGGGGGAGAAAGAAAGGAGTAGGTCGTTTTCTTCGTCGTCGACGGATCGGGCGCCGGGGCCCGGAGCGGACAGCAGATTCGTGCTGGGGATTGTGGACATGAGGACGCGGCGGGGGGCGCGGGTGGCATCGCTTACGAAAAAGGGGTTTGAGGTTGGATGTTGGGAGCGGCTGCCGCTTGAGGGGCTTCAGGAGTGTGTGGGCTCGTCTACGGATGAGTCTGAACTGTCAGAGGGGCAGTTCAGGACGGCTGTTAATACTATGGTTCTGTCGACGGGGGTTTGGGTTGCGGCGCAGGAGGGGTGGCTGGGTTGAGGTAGAGAAACAGTGCACATTAATGATTATGACGGTCATATTGAGATGTCTTCCACTGAATCTATGCGTCTACTTCGCTCCATAGATGGTGATGCCTTCCACCAGGGCCTTGATCTGCAAGGCCAACAACCGCGAATAGTACCGGCAGAGCGCCAGGTTGCCGCCCATAAACCAGAATCCGGGATGACCGCTCTGCCGCCAGATCGTGCGCATCTCGCCTTCCTCATTGAATCCCCAGACGCTATCGATGGGATCGGCGACTTCGTCACCGAAGATGGCCCGCGCTTGCGTCTTCATGTTCTGGTAGCCGGTCGCAAAGACGATCTCGTCCGCCTCCAGCTGCGTGCCATCTGCGAACTGAAGTCCGTGAGGGAGGACCTCGGTGATCTCCTGGCCCTGCTTGACCTTTATCTTGCCGTCCGCGATGAGCTGGCTGCCGCCCACGTTGATGTAGTAGCCGCCGCCCCGCGACAGGTACTTCATCAGGAGACCGGCGTTGTCCGAGCCCATATCGATCTTGAAACCGGCCTTGTCCAATGCTTGGAGGATCGCGGCATCGCGTTGATTCTGAGCGGCAGTCAACTTGATCTGCTGCGCCTTGAACAGCTCGCTAGGGATGCTCCACAGGTACAGGTCCGAGTCTTCGGTCGGGGGGGCGCCCTCCTCGTAGAGGCCCTTGAGCCCGATCTCGACAATCGATTCGGATGAAATCACACATGTGGTGCTCCGTTGCACTATCGTGACGTCGTATCCTTTTTCGTAAAAGTCCTGCGCAATGTCGTGGCCAGAGTTACCTGATCCGACGACCACCGCTTTCTTGCCCTTGGAAGCGGGATTCGCTTCGGTAAAATCGGAGCTGTGGCAGAGACGATCACCCTTGAACGACTCCATCCCCTTGAACCGGGGTAGACTCTTTTTTCCGGAATGGCCGGTAGCTTGGATGACGTGCTGTGGATGAAGGGTACGGCTCTCGACCGAGCCGTCGTCTCGTCGTCTTTCAAGAACGACCGTCCACTGCTTTTTATCATCGCTCCACGAAGATGATTTGAGCTTCGTCCGCGTCCACACGTTGAGTTCAAGAAGCTTGGCATACGCTTCGAAGAACTCGGCTAGCTTGTCCTTCGGGGTGAAGACAGGCCAACTCGAAGGGAAGGGCAAGTACGGCATATGATCGAACCACACGGGGTCATGCAGCACGAGTTGGTGATATCTCCGCCGCCAATTGTCTCCAATGCGGTCCTCCTCATCAATGACCAATGTGTCAACATCGAGCATCTTGAGACGAGCGGCAACCGTGAGTCCGGATTGACCGGCACCTGTCAAGTTAGCATCAAACGCTCGTCAATGAGAGACGGTGACGTACCAACGACCAGGACAACTGGGTTCTTTTCCTCAAATTCCAAGTCCGAGCTCCGTCTATCCTGCCAGTTTTTTCTGCCTAATTGCGCTCCGTGCTGCACACCCAGTGGTCGACCGGTGTTCACAGCCTCCTCATGCCCCTTGAGCTCCTGGAGGGCCGTGAAGATAGTGAAGATTTTCCAGACGCCGTCCTTCTCCGCCATGCGGACCACGCCCCTTCCACCCCCTACATCGTTTGCGAAAGTAGTGAAGAACTCCACACCGGTGACATCACCGAACGCATCAATTGGGCCGACATGAGGCGCACGGAAGGGCGATGACTGGTCAATATCAATCTGGGCCAGCCGTGCGGAATGCTCGAGGAAGCTGGCGATGTTCTCTCTGCCTTTGATGGTCCGGTAATCCCACGACAGACCTAAATGGTCCCGCCAGTAGGCGTCCTCAAGAAATATATCTGAGACGGCCTTGTAGTTCTTCTGCTTTAGAGCACTATTCAACCGATCAATCGCCTCTGAAGCGACCTTGGCTGCATCGACAGATGTGGAGGAGGCAGTTTGGGGGAACTTCCCAACGGGGACATTGAAAGAGCCGGGTTCAATTCGATCCTTGGAGGGGTGATCAGTGATGGGGACAGTCATTTTGTCAGTATCGGGTAGAAGAGGAGTAGACAAGAGACAATGGATCGATATCGACTCGAGCAATTGCTCCTTAAGACTTAAGATCGACAGTGAGTAATCAGAAATTGCGGGGTAACGTCAATCCCCAAAATGGAAAAAACACACGCTCCCTAGGCTTCAACGCTGTCTGGGCAATGTCGAATACCTCTTGAAAGGAGATGAGATGACTGACGACACGTATTTGTATCACAGCAGTCCTTAGCCAGTTCTATTGGACGAAGCCTGGTTCTGGCGTGCTATACAGTGGAGATCATTGCATGAGATATATGCATGTGCTGAATTTGTTCCCGCAATTCAATTGAACTACACGTTCAATTGGTCATGCTGTATGCATTGAACTTGTACGGACAGCAATTGCAGCATTTCCATGACAGCTAACTAGCTAATGCGTTGAGAATCAGCTCATATGATGGGGCATCTGCGGGGTTACGTGAGGGGACATCATTTGTATGAATTTGGAGGGAAGTCCTGGCGGTCGTGCATGTCGTAGATACTAGCCAGAAGACACGTCAGACGATCTCGAGCGAGGACGCTTCCTGATTAATCGTCGAAGCGGTCTAAAGTGGATCGATGCGGAGACTATATCCCCAAAAACTAAAAAGAAATGCTCACAAGCGGATTTGAACCGCTGACCTCATGATTACTAGTCATGCGCTCTACCAACTGAGCTATGCGAGCTGGTAGATATTGTATGGGTCTGTGTAAGACTTTATGAGCCTGAATTTACTCCATCAGAATGTCGATATGAGTGTTGACATATCTCCTCATATGAATTGTCTTCAGTTCTTGTATACAGGAGCAGAGTTCTTTAGACTGTGATACTGCTATAAATGCATAGACCCGACCTATTTATCCGATCCCTGTGTTCAATCCAAGTTCTGATTAATATCTCCTTTGTGCGCATCGCGAAGGGATATATATATTTGTGATCTAGTGATATTTAAGCAAAGCAGACGCATGCAGTAAATTAACACAGTGTGGCCAAAAGGTGAAAATACTAATACTAATGTTTGAGAACACCCAAGGTAGCAATTACAATAACCCCATTCAAATAGTCTACGGAGCATTAGTGTACCCAAACTAAGCAAATACATTATCTCATACTCATCGCCACGGGCCTGACCCATAACTAACTAGCCATATACCTCTAGGCTTATTACATGTAAGCATCATGCATTTTTAGTGTATTTAAATGTGGCGTACCCAGACATAACATACTAAATTTCTTGCTGCTTTCTGTCTCAGCCCTGCGCCCTGTCTCAGTTGATGGCCACGTGCCCTACGCCCTGTCCGCATAAAGCCATCACCCTGCCTCTGCAAACCTTGCTTCTACATTCCCCTTGTCCCGCAAGCATTAACTCTGCCGCACTAACCGCAGTCCAAGACAAGTTCCAGCAAGACAGGGCTCAAATTGGGCTCAGGGCCTGCTGTCTCTATTTCATGGTTGACAGAAGCGTCTCGCCCCAATGCACAAGACCAACCCACGCAGTGCGCAACCCGATTCGCTTCCTTTTCTGAACTCGCCCCGGAGGAGCTGGCCTGGCTTAGACGAGTGATATTTTTGGCTTCTAACTAGCTTAGTTTAGTAGTGCATGGAGCACATCATAATTATCCATGACGTGTAGTTGTCCTGAATAATCGTGCAGGGTGATCCTGTGCTTTGAGTGTTCGCTTCTGCCCATTCCACTTGCATGCGTGAGCGTTCGGTTATTTTCAAGAGTCCTGTACTGAATCACTCCTTAGATTAAGAATAACCATGAGCATAGTATTAAAACTAGTTAAATGAGTGTTCCATTATACGCAATCAATCAAAGCCATCGCGAGCAGCTTCCATAACCGGCCTCTGCCGTTCTGCCCTTGGATATGTTGAATATCCGTCGAGCCCAATGTTTGTACCCCGGTTGAAGGGGTACACATTCTAAATCGGTCAGTTACTTCTTCTTGTGACCTTTGGCAGCCTCGCTATCAGGCGGGGGACCCTGGGTGTAATGATTGTCCCGGCCCTGGGTGTAGGTGACCGAGGTTCCGGGGAGTTGGGTGAAATCCACATCCAAAACTGGTCCAATCTCCGTGATGTTGACCACGGTTTCGGGCTCATACTCACCAGTGCCAATGTAATACTTGACGATTGGCTGAAAGTAGAAGTCGTAGCTGGGACTTGCGGGCACGGTCGCCACCGGGACGATACCCTGGGTGGAAGGACCCCGAGCCCCCATACCAATGAAGATATTAGCTGCATCTTGTAGATTAGCTGGACTGCCAGTTCTCACAGAAACGATCAGGAGGAGGACTTACTCTCAGTGGGATAGTCAAACGTCCCATCACAGGAGATGCAATAGGCATTGGGCTCGGTCTTCTGAGTCTGACTGACGTTCTCCCAACTGGGATACTCGCCGCTCGAGGTGGTCAACACACAGGGTGCCGGGCTGCTCCGGGGGCGTTTCACCACTAGAAAGGGTGACTGACGCTGCGGAACCCGTAGTGACCTTGACCTTGTCGGCGAGCGGAGTAGGGTTCGTTCCCAGCACAGCAAAGAACTCATCGGTCATCTCGAAGGTGACCTGGGAGTCATTACCGCTCGCAATTTGTCCAGATGACTGGTAGACGTTGGCATAGACATCGGGCTGGCCATCGGGAACAGGCACAGTCTGGAAGAGAAGATAGTTGCGTGGCGCGCCACTGTAGTTGTACACCTGGATACTGTAGGTCGTGGACATTTTGGTAGAGTTGATTTTCTCGAGAAGAATCAAGTTAATCAGTTATAGGTATCTGGTACGGGGCGTCCTGGAAGTTAGCGACATTCAAGCTGATTTTATACTCGATGACCTCAACGTCGAATGCGCCAACAGCTACGATGATGCCCCACGCCCTCGTCTGCGCAGCACTAGAAGCTTGATGCTGCACTCTAAGCCACCGAAAGCACCACAGAACGAAAATAGATCATCATCTGGTCATGAAGAGTTGCCACAGGATCATTGTTTGGTATTCACCATAAGTCGAACAGCCCTAGCAAGGTAAAGGATGACTGCTATTTACCGCATCAGCATCTGCTCATCGATCTAGCACTGACACTCACAACCCTGGTCAAGAGGTCAGCAACACGCGTGCATATGCTAATCTGACTTTTTTGATCAGCCATGGAACTCATGTTTCTCATGGTTCGCATCAAGAACATGGTTCAGTTTGGCCGTAGAAGTCTCATGATTTGATACTTGAGAGAGCCCAGCTTGCAACTTTGAAGCTCAGTGAAATCCTTGCAATACGACTTCAGCCGTATGCGCCCTGCCTCCCAAAGAAGACAATGCAGGCAGGTGGTCAATAGGAGGCAAGACACTCTATATTCCGTCTCCCTTAGCTGCATGCGCAGGGAAGTGTAATTCATGTTTGCCTTGTTGTCCGCCTCGAACTTTCTTAATTAGGGCGCAAGGGAGACAAACAAGTCAGTCTGCTCTGAATGCTGCTACCCCTCAAGAACCGCAGGCTGGCCTTATTGCCGAGACCTAGGCCGTGGCTCGAGAGCGATCATGCTCTGAGGCTTCAGGAACGCTATTCCGATTGCGTGAAGAAAAGAAGGCGCATCATGAGTCCTTGGATACAACTGCCTCACCTGATCAGTCTCTCCCAAGGTCTGCCATGTCAATCGCTAAATGGAAATCTACAACCTCCACAGTCTAGACCGAGTTTCAATATCACGTCTATTACCGCGTGATACGCATGTCGTTGGACAAGTGAAATCCCCCATGATAATATCCAAGCCCGGAGACGTGTGCTCCATACTCCCCGTAGGCGCCAGGTGGAGGACATATTTAAACTGTATATTGAGCAGGCGCCATGCTCAATGCCCAGCTAAGTGGTCCAGTGTTCGCGTATTGGACTGAAGTACCCCGATAACCAAGATGTCGTCCTTTACTATTCAAGTCCTTAACAACAGCAGAAATAACCAAGTCTACTCCCTCTTCTACCAGCCCTTCTCGGCTTCTGGATATGCACCTCTCGCGTGCGTCACTCAGAAATCAACGACGATTGCAAACAACTACGCCGCCACATTTACCATCGATTTACCGACTGCTGTCGTCTGCGGCACCAGCCCCAATCAGCCCCTGGGTACCGGGGTGAACGTCAGCATCCAAGAGTCGACCGTTATAACCCCCCCGGAGGTGGTACGTGTAAATATCCAAAACAACAGTCCTTACTTCCCGCCGCCCACACAAGAGACAACAGCGGTAGGTAACTGGGCAAGAATAGTGACACAAAACTATAACACAAACCCTACCGGTGAGCATCCATTCTAACACCGCTTAAAGGCTGTACTGACCAGGTCTCCAGCACACGTGTTTTGCGGCCTGGGGGTCGTCTCCCCGGGCTCGGGACAGATTGTCCCCAGCTGTGTCTGGGAGATCCAGCCGAACACGCCCTATGCCATCCTTACTCCCCCGCAGCAGCCGGTGTTTTATATTTCTAGCGATTCGTCTTTGGATGTTGGGACGATCACCGCGGCGACGTCTAAGGATGCGACTGTTGATTTCACAGACACGGGAGATAATTTTTGTTTGGTCACGCAGATGAGTAATAATACTTTCAAAGTGGCTCCTCCATCTGATGTTAAGACATAGGGCGTTGGCTTGCTACGCGGAATTTGATGTATCTTAATCATTTTCATAGTGTAGTGATTATACTTGTTGTGTGGTCAGGCTTCTACAATTGCAGGTAGTCTTGTAAAGTCTCATTCCTAGAATTGACAATGGGTTAGTCACCTGGACTGACTTATATCTCCTATAAATCTATGACTGGCCTGTCCTTGATCTCCAAGTAGACGAACCATCGAATGTGCTTGTGGTGTATTTGAGTTTGATGCAATTTAGATCACTAGGAAAAGGTATACCATATAGACAAAGACGGCAGATTCTAAGAATAACTGGCATCATTGGTCTAGTGGTAGAATTCGTCGTTGCCATCGACGAGGCCCGTGTTCGATTCACGGATGATGCACTTATCTTTTTTCCCTTTCTGACTCTCTTTTCAGCCCTCACTTTAAGGTTTTTTTCCCAGCTACTCATTCTTGATGATCGACTACATCGTCAATCTTAATATTTGACGGTACAGATGACTAAAACTTCAGACAGCTTGTACTGGCTTATGGCCAGTGTACATGGCAATTCAGCATGCGTAGTCTTCCCTCTTCAACCACATCATTATAACCAATTGACTCCTTCCGGTCCTCAGGGCCGGTTAAACCCCTCTGGGATTACACAACCCCATCTCCATCGGCCTATCAGATGACGCTGCATACCCTGTACACGGTACAGTGTACAACACCCCAGCCTCTCTTGACTTTCAGTCGAGCGACGCAAACTGAGTACAAGCCTGATATGCTATAAAGCGATATCCTTCAACTGAGAGAGGTTCTTAACCTCGTCCATCTGAGATACGGCAGATTGACATATGTCCGTTTATTATCCATCTATCCGAATATTTTGGTATGGTCAAGAAATGGAAAAGAAATATATACAAGAGAAGGTAGAAGTGTCCAAAAATCAATGAAGCTCGTACGAAAACGCCGACACCTGCACCGGCCGCGTGGGCTTCTTCACCGCATACCGACTCCTCCACCCCAGGCGACCCAGCGCCAGCGTCTCAAGCGACTCGTGCCTCCCGCCCCAGAACTGGCCTTTGCCGGCGGCGTCGCGCTGGACGGGCGGGATCCAGAAATGCGTGACGGCGGCGCCGAGGATCATGCACGCGCTGAAGACGATCAGGATCCAGCCGTGGCGGATGGTGGGCTCCTCGCCGGGTCCGGTGCCGAAGTTGTAGTACGACGAGAAGACCTGGACGAGGATGGAGCCGAGCTTGCCGGCGCCGGCGCTGATGCCGTGGCAGGTGGCGCGGTAGCGCGTGGGGAAGACTTCGGCGGGGATGATGTATGTTGTTGCGTTGGGGCCTGACTCGTCAGTTCCGAGGCATCTAAGTGGGGAGGTTGGGGGGGGGGGGGGGCTTTATGCGTACCAAAGTTGAACAGGAGCTGTCCGATGATGTATAGGATGACCGCCACGGGCCCTTCTTTGTGGACGGTGATGAACATTGTGCCGAGGGCGATAAAGTGTGCGGCCAGGGCGAGGAAGCCGTACTTTTGCAGTGCGGTGCGGTCGACCTTGTGGCTGCAGAGGATCATGAGCAGGCCGCCGACGAAGCTGCCGATGTTGAGGATGACGAGCGCGTGGATCGAGCTGTTCATGAACATTTCAAAGACGTCGGCGTTGGGATCGTCGTCGGTTTTCCACACGGGCGCCCGGCCGTGGATGTTCAGGGATCCCCACGTTTTGGCCAGGAACTGCGGGCTCGAGAGTCCGATGCCGTAGAAGCCAAAGTCGAGCAGGAGCCAGGACAGTGCGGTGCCGACGAGGGTGCGCCAGTTGCCTTCCGTCCAGAAGTACTGGGTGATGTCCTTGCGGGTCAGATGCCAGTGCGAGTTGAGGGTGGCGGGCTGGAGGATCTCGGTCTGCGAGGGCGAGCGGCCTTCGCTGAAGCACTGGCTCGTGACGGACATGGCCGGCATGGGGAGGTCCCTCCAGGTGTCATCGGGGTCCAGAGACGGGGTCTCGTTGAAGAGGGTGGTGGCGTCGAACTCGGCCTTGACGGGGTCGTCCTCGATCTCGAGCAGGAAGCGAGGCGTTTCGGGGATGACGACTCGGAAAAGCGTCGCGATCACACCAGGCACGACGCCGATTCCCACTACCCACCGCCACATGATATCAAAGGTGCGGATGAGGTCGTCGTGCTGCTGGTTCTTGTTGACGGCCACCACGATCAGGGTGACGATGTTTCCCGCGATTTGTCCCAGTGGTTGCATGAAGAAGACGCTGGCCATCATGCGGGCGCGATGCTTGGCCGGAGCGAATCTAACACCGTTAGCCTTGGGCTTCTGTAACCAAATGCATAACCTACTCCGAGGTGATGACAGCACTGAGGGGATAATCCGCCCCGACTCCAATCCCAACCACCAGTCTCCACCAAACCAACCAGGCAAACACATCCATGCTCCCATTCTCTCCGGTTGAGGACATGACGACGCCCAGCGTTGACGTGATCAGCAGCATCAGCTCCACCCCGTACATCTTCTTCCGCCCGTTGCGGTCCGCCAGATAGCCAAAGAGGACCTGTCCGAAGAGCGTGCCGGCCAGAGTCGCGATATTGATGTAGGTGAGTTTCTTGGACGAGGGGTTATTCTGCCAGTAGACGTAGCTGACCATGGGGAGGGCCATGTTACTCGCGAAGAGCTGCCACAGTTGAGTCCGAGTCCGTTTTAAGCATCTGGCTGACTTACTGTATATCCATCGAGAAAGAAGCCGACACCGGCCACGAAGACGACAATCCATTGATACCCTTGTCTATCGATCGTCTCGTAGATTTGTCGCATGCGAACATGGCGGTCCTACAATCAGAACCAGATCAGCCTTGCACCAGCCTCTGAATATGAGACAGACATACCTGCTCATGGTCAAAATCCTGAGCCCGATCGGTCTTATACAACCGCTTGATCTTGCCCATATTGATGAAAATGATGGATTAATCAATCGACATGATCACAATCACGATGGATCTTTACATTCGATCTAGAGATGCAGGCTAGATAAGAGAAATCCGCCAGTCCAGCAATCGGCCCACGGGGCTATTAGCCCTAGCACTGACCACCTGAGGGGTTCGCCTTTGGCCTCGTGAAAGGAGAATAAAAGAAAAGAAAAGAAAAGCAATATGTGCTCTAGCTAAGCTAGCCTACCCAGTCATCCACCGAGCCGCCACTGACCTGACCTGACCTGACTCGAGGACATCTTTGGAGCAGTCACGCCAGACGACCTGGACAGAGAAATATCCATGTTAGCATATCCAGCCGTTATTGGCCTCGCTCAGTGCTCGCTATCACTAAGCTCCCGGGCCTAAGGACCCAAGGCCTGCACGTGCGGTGATGCCGTGTCACCACTGGCCCGTTGAGACCCACATATCACCGCTGTCACGACAAGTAAGTTACTTAGACGAGGCACTGGTGAAATCAACCGATAGAGATCTATTATCTGTCTCAGTACGAGGACACGAGTTCCTGGCTACCAAGTGAGACCGGACCATTACGGGAGGTCATCCTGTTGCAGTTGCACATGTCTTGGCGTTATGGCGCGTCTCGAACAATGGCAATGACATAACAATACTCCTAGGGGTTCTACAGACAGTGGGGTACTCCCATAAATCAGTACGAAGATAGCCTTGTCTATGCACTCCATATGATATGACTCCGTATTCTACTCCACGTGTAGGATCTAATCGAAACACGCGAAGGATTCGTCGGCGATGGTCACCGGGAACTAGGTCCTTCGTACTTTTACGGTAGTAGCATATTACTGAGCATTGGACGTCAATAAAATGAATGACGGATACTGCGCAGTCTGCGCTTATTACGCGCAAATCGGAAAATCAGAAATTCAATTCATTCCCCAAGTACAAGGACTAGACTAAGTTCTCAGTCGAGAGTCTGTCGACGTCCCACCGGGAAAAAGGCAAACTCTATCAAAACGCACAACAGGGTATTTATTCCAAACATCCTAGACCTAAACTCCGTGCTCGTGCAAATACTTGAAATTAAGTAATGTGATCCCAGTATCCAATCATCAGCATGCACGGCCTTGGCGATTGCCTATACTTGGTAATCCTCACTCCTCGTGCCTGTGCCTGTGCCTGCCTGCGGGCTCATGGGACCTAGTAGTAGGGTACCAGAAAATCGTATCCGCATATGGTACAATTATAACATCTGATTGGTCAGAAATGCGCAAAATGCTTTTCGATCTGCAACTGGTGAGCGTGGTCTCCCAATGACAGCGGAGAAATGACATACCCTGATCGTCCAGGAACAGAATATGCAGTGCTTTCATCTGCGATAGGATATCAAAGTTCGGCTGTAGCTCCAGCACCACGGGCCGACCGGCTTTTTTGCCGGGATTGACTGTCTCGATGCAATTTACTACCTAGAGTGTCAGTATAGTTGCGTAGATAGGAAAAGTGCAAGTGAAGAATGACGGAGCATACCAGGAATTGAAACATATCGCTTCAGCTCCTTGCGCTGCGAGTTGGCGAAAAACAGCATGACCTGTTTCCCGTTGTATCCGCGGAAGATCCGTAGATTCTGGCTGATGCATTCCTCCCCGCGGCCTTTGGATTTTGCTTCCGCGATGCCGGCAATAAAAACGAGTTTTGCGGCCAGGATGAGTTCCTGGAACTGCACGCAGTCTGCTGGATGTCAGCATCGGGAGCTCCAGAATAGAGGAAGAGTACTAACCCTGCCAGTCCTCAAAAGTATATGAGAGCTTAGTGGTAAAGACCGTGCTGGCGCTTTGGACGGTCTGCTCTTCCAGAAAGGAGATGCGGAGGGAGGGTTCATCCCGGAGTTTGGGATGTTCGAGGTGAGGCACGGGGAGTTTTGTGCCGTGGACTGTCTGCATTAGATTTGCTTCTTGTCTAGCAATTCAGCGACTCACAGGTATGGATAAAAGGCGAATTCTGCCCTATCCCGCCCCCCAGCTCCAGACCGCGGAGGGTGCCTGTGGCATCCTTGCAGATGTCGATGTAGGTATATCGTAATTTGAAGAGTTTGCTATTTCGCACGAATGATCTATTTCCAAGTCAGATTGACAGATTGACCCTGCCATAATCAAGGGACGTACATTGTCACGGCCGGACTGAGCTGTAAGCGAGAGACATCGTCATGCAGCGATGGGACCCTCGACCTCGTCCCCGGCGTGGTCGCGGGGCTGATGGGCGTGTAGAACGGCGACGACGGAGAACCCAGAATTGCGGATGCTGAGCCGGACGAGCCGGTCGAGGTGGAAAATGCACTTTCGCGTCGGGACGGAGGTAGAGGAGGCAGAGGCCAGTCGTGATCGAAGACGGATAGTGTATGGTGGCTCATGGCCGCAGTGTGGGACGGCCGATGCGCATATATAATTGCCAGAAGGTGGGAGAATATACAGTTATATAACGATGAATCTGTATACGATCGTCAAAGTGACAGCTTCAGCGATGGATATAGGTCCCTAGTGATCTAACAGTGGAACAACAACGTGGGAGACTGGCGATCGTGCTGATCTCCGAGATATGATCGATGGGGCTGAGATGGACGCAGGGAATCGGAGTCCCATTCTTCTGGCTGCTCGGTTGATGCCTATGCCTTCAATTATGACCGATAATCATGAGTTCGCAAAGGTGGTGGAACTGGACCGAAACCATAACGGAAATGGGAATCTAGTTTAGGGCGGATGAGGATTTTGAAAGACCACAACTTAAATAGAGTGGTAGTAACTAGTCAGATAGTCAATTGTCAATAGTCGATGATGTAGAGAATATACTACTGGAGACTGAGTAAATAGATAGACGTACTGAGCCCTCGTGGAGCAGACAACTGGATCGGATGTGCTGTGGAGTTGCTCAACAAGTGCATATTTAGTGCCTGGTGTGTGCAACCAGGTGCAGGGAATCAACCATCAGAACAGACAGGGTTATCCGCAACGTGCGCAAATGGATGGCTGAGGTTAAAAGCTTATAAGCCGGTGGGGCCCTTGTCAGCCTCTGGAACGGCGTGACAATGGGACATTTCTGCCTTTGTCTTCCTCGGCTGTGTCCTGGCACTTAATATATCCATCACCATGGCATATTCATGGATTCAGAATCAACTATTGGTGAACTGCCATGAGTCGTGGTCGTCCACAAGCGCCATGGCACGATCCTCCTGACTCAATATCTCCTCGATGGCCTGTGTCTGCACGGATATCACATTGACGTCCTTAAAGTCCAAGCTCAAGCTAGATAGAGCTCTGTCCATGTGCAATGACGACGGAGCCTGATCCTGGTAATCGGTCGCATGTTTGCTTTTCCTTGCTTCCAAGATAACAGACGTAGTGAGGTATCTAGCGGAGTGAGTTAATTTATTTTCCATCAATTGGCGCTTCCATGGATCCATTCTTATTGTTATCATTGATCCAGAAACAATTTTAAGTTTGTTTTCTTCGGTGTGGATCAGGTCCGCGTCGGATTTACTACTGAGAAAAAAGAAGAGGCGCATGTTGAGAGACTGAGATCCTCCCAGTACGAAACTCTCATAGATATCCATCAGGTCAGTACGTATCAAACACAGTATGAATCCTTTGATCAATCATATATTAAATGTCTATATACAGAGTCAACCCGTGGACTCCCACTCTACAGGGTATCCGACTGGAGGCCAACATGAGAAGAACTAAATGATTATCCACATCGATGAAACCACGGCAAAACGCACAGAAGATGCTTGGAACCCCAAATGCAATCTATAGGCCACGCGACGGCCGCAGGAAAACACCCAAAACTTCGGAGTATCCCTAGACCAAAGCCGGGAACCAGGGTAACCGGCACTCAACGCACGTGGTGGCTAGTCTCAGACACACTGACCACGGTGTCAACGGTCTTCAGACTAAGCTAGAACGAAACCAAAAGGATTCGACATTCCGCACATTGATTTCCGCAGCCGCATCCGCATCCTTCGGCCGTGAGTCGTGACACGTGCTGTCTGTGAATGCCGGTATCTGCGTTGTTTGACATGATCTATCGATCAAAGCAAATAAGAATTGAATTAGATTAGTCTCTCGCGAATTGTCGCGATGGATTTTCGTTTGTCATGAAAGGAGAAAGGAGGTTTGTGGCGTGGTCTCGTCCTGCCAGCAGACCTGTGGACTTTGCGGCTCCAGTCCGCGAGGCCACTGTCGCCAATGCTCTTGTTTTGGACGGGTTAACGACTGATCACCGCGAAGGCTTTTGAGCAATGATGCGGTAACTCGTACTGCACAGACGCATGCGGTCCATCTTGACAAACGCCTGACCATCCAGACACAGCCGGTTGATCAGAGTCTTGAAGTGGTGCGGCAGCGCATGCACCTTGACCAGACCTAGGATCACCTGTCGCATGGACCGGAAGTAAAAGTCGACCGTGTCGATCAGCGGCGCCTGCAACCCATCCAGACTGGCATTGTCCGAGCGCAACACCGTGAAGCCGGCATCGGCCAGCGCCCGCTCGAGAATCTCCGGGGTGGGAGTGCCGACGGCGCCGATGAGAGGCTTGACGCGACACATGAGCTCCGCATGCTCCGGGTTCGACGGGTCGTACGCAGGCAGGCTGACCCAGTCCAGCAGGGAGATCTTTGCGCCGGGCTTGACGACGCGGTAGATCTCGCGGAAGAGCGCCGTCAGGTCCTTGCACAGACTCAGGGCCTGGATCTGGTAGAAGGCGTCGAAGCTCTCGTCCTCGAACGGCAGCGGCAGCGAGTTGAAATCCTGCACGACGAACTTATTCTGGAACCCGCGCTTGTCGTTAAACTTTTGCGCCTGCGCGATCTGGTTCGGGTCGATGTTGATGCCGGTGACCTGCGCACCACCGGAGAATTGCGTCATGTGCGCCGCCACCCGCCCGCGGCCGCAACCCAAATCCAACACCTTGTCGCCGGGTCCGAGCCCGATGTCGCGGGCGATCGACTCCTCGTACAGGAGCTGGTTCTCCAGCACGGTCGCCTTCTTGCTCATGAACGGCGGGATGTACATCTTCTCCACGTCGCCCAGCGCACACAGGTGGTTCAACACCCCGTAGTACGCTTTGAGGCAGTCGCCGACTTTCTCCTGGTAGTTAGGCCCCAATGTCTCGATCATCTGCTTCTCGTCCGACCAGTCGAGGTTATAGATGACATATGACGCCATGAAGTCGTCAACCTGCTTGGGCGTCAGGTGCTGCAGGTATCGGAAGGCGGTCCAGAAGGTCTTCCACCGCTTCGGGGAAGCTGAGTTGTGCAGGTCCGGACGGTCTTTACCTGCGGTCGAGGTCTCTGATGCTGCTGCGGCTGCTGCTGCTGCTACCTTTTGCTTCTCTTGCGCAATGACGTCCACGGAGCTACTGCTCTCGGAGCTGCGCCCGGACTGGCGCGATGACGCCAGGGCCGGTGCTGTGGTCTGTGTTTCCATCATTGTTGTGGCGGTGATAGCGGACTGGGGAAAGAGAAGCTGAATGCAAAGCGGGTGGGATATGCTGAATATCTATTATTATGGAGGCATCCTACGCAGACGGGCAAGCATCCCGGGTTGAGAGGAGCGGGGCCCGCTTTGAATTTATAAGCAGTCAAAAGCACAGTTGAGTCAAAGAGGATTTTTTTTTTTCTTCCCTCTTCTGCATCGGCTTGTTTTCCATGAGGGGCAGGCTATCTAATTCGGATAACCGCCATATGACCTGCCATGGGTTAATCGGGGACCCTAGAGGGGTGACTGGGTGAGGCAATGGCCGCAGTGGGCTAAATTACTCTTCTTTGTCACCAGATCTGGAAGCTCACGGAAGGGTCGGATGTGGAGGTCCATCCTCCGTAGTACGTAGTGGAAAAGAAAAAAGTAAAATTTGCTGATAATCCCAAGGACGGGATAAGACGGCAGATGATCCGGAAACGAACATGAGCATGAGCATCACCCCTGCGAGATGAGTCAAGTATGTAATGTAAGCTGGTGGTAAGCTATCACAGACCGCTGCTTCCCCTCTCGTGAGGGGTTGCTTATACTTGTGGTGTTCAACTAACTACTACTACAACCACCACGACTACTAGTACCAACGGTCTAACTGACATATGACAAAACACAATTGACCCTGCCAAGCACTCCCTCTAGACAAAGACCCATCGAAGCTCGATGACAAGGCTTAGTCTATACAGCGGAAGAAGCTATGCACAGATTCTCGTACATAGCGCTCAACCCTACCGGGATGTCTCGGCTCGGCTTCGGCGCGCCTTTTGCTTCTTTGGACAGTTTGATTGATGGAAAGGGCTAGGCCTTGGCTGCTTTGGGGTTAGTCTGCTGTACGGATTACTCCAATAAGGAACTTGCCCCGATTTCGGATATTTTCCCAAACACTTGTCCCATGCTTAGTCAGAATGACTGGCCATCGTTGACAGTTTCTATCATGGTTAAACCTGGATATCCGAATGGCCGATCCGAACTATGGATCATATGTCCAGTTACTACAGATGGGGCAGTTTGATGTTGTAAAAGTAATAGCATACTGGCAGACATGCTCGATGACATTAGAAATCAAAATAGTTAATGGTTGATCCACAGTCCCTGGTTACATCATCAGCCCTGCCGATCCCATTATCAAATTGCTTTGATCTCATGGTTCACTCTCAGACCTCTGACGATCTACAGATTTTCATCTCTTGTTCTCGTCGTATGCACTCCATTCAGAAAGGATTGTCTGTCGATTTAAACACCGCTGTTTACCAGTAGCAACTGCAATACAATAATATCCACGCTAGCCACGTCATTTCATAGATCAACCCTGTCGTTGACTCCGCCCTATGGCCAGGGTACGGTACTTTTGTATACATTTACCGCTGTCTGTAGCGTAGTCTATGGTCTGATGAGCGGGGTAGATCCAGCCGTCCTTCGACTTGAGGACATAATGTCCGCTAATTTCTAAAGACCGAAATTATGTCGTAGACACGCGAAGTAATCGGATATCATCGTATCAAATCAGTCACGTGTCTACGGACCGGAGTATACTGAATAGAATCATTGTGGCAACATGGCATCTCTACTGTACCTTCTGTATATCAATATATATAGCCAGCAAGATCTGAACTCTGAAGATAACAACGCAGGAACCAGTCGCAGTTCCAATACCCCGGGACAAAGAACCTCAGATAAGCTTAAGCTTAACCAGTCCCAGTACCGTTCTAGATCCAACCCATCTCTTGACAGAGCTTATATAGCCGATTCCATCCCTGGCAATGGTCACCTGCACTGACGAATCCGAGACGAGAACAGCCCACCTAGCTGCAGATGATGTGATGCTTAGTCTAGACGTAATCGTAAACTGTGGCCTGTGAGTCGATCTACGGAGGGGAGGCCGGTGGCGCTCGGCTGTTAGGTAGCAGCGTTTCCAGCGGGAGGGTCAGACTCGGGCTGTCGGTGTCGGACTGGTGGCTTAGTTAATCGTGGTGGTGGGTTGGTGTGAGGTATCGGTACTTGGACTTGAGGGCTGTGTATGTGCTGATCTCCGTGGTGTACTGGGTGGACGTCTGGTTGGTGGGAGGCCTCGTGCTTGCTGAGGGTGAGGGTTAGGGTTATTCTCAGTTCGTTTGGGCTTGCTGGAGCTGAGACGAAATGATATATAGGGTAGAGATACTGGCTCTGGGGCTCAGGATATTGAGAAGGCAAAAGTCAAGTACTGTACTCGTCTTGAGTACAGTCTCTGATGGCATCATGCAGTGATATTGGCTTTCGACGGACTTGACTTGGCAAAAGCATGAGCACTTATCATATTGCCTGAACATAGTATGTATTCATGATATGATTGAGCAAGGGAGATCTCTGCAAACAGACTGGATTCCCGTAGTATAGGTCTAATCATAACCTGTATACGATACCCTTGAGTCTCCTGCTGTCAACCATCTCCCTGGATAAGATCTCCACTCTGTCAGTGCTCTATATGACTCATCCAGTATGACATCCAGCGTTTCTGTAGTGGCTAGATTTCCGTGCAAAGCCGGAAGTGGACAGGTAGGACAATCCGACATAAGCATCGAGAAGTCTCATTTGTCACTTTGACTCTGAGTATTTCTAATCTTATCTATCTATCCGCCTAAATGCCTGAATAATATGTAGATTATATATATATATTTGTTCTAACTGGTCAATGTATCACCGATTCGACCCTCTAAATCGACAGCACAACTCCCCACACAGACAGACCTTATTCAACTGCTTCCAATAATGGTCCGAGTAATCTACCGTGATCTCCCTCCCCGCTACTACACCTCGCGAAACCACAACGATCCGCTCCCGGCCGCGCCAGTAGAACCGCTGGAACTGGCTATTGGGCCGGCATGAATGGTTGATAAACCGGGTGAAGTTGCCCATCTCGCCCTGGTAGATCTGGTACGTCCTGCCCTTCGTGCCGCCTACCATGACATCTACGCCGGAGATACCATTTGTTATAAGCCCGACGAATTCGCCGATTGCTGCCCCGCGGTCAAAGTTCTGCAGCTTCATCAGCGGTGTGCCTGGAAGACCTACAGCGTGGACTTACCACACGGGCCACTACGCCATTGTTCTTTCCACTGGCGGTACTGAATATCTGAACAGGAGCAGGTCCCTTGACGCCTCCGAATAGCGCCGGAAAACACGAGCATTGGTTCTGCTCGACGTCGTCCGCCTGTTTCGACTTGCAGACCTGGCAGATATCCGGATCCAGATCGGGTACGCGACGGGGATCTTCTTCCCCGAACACTGTCGTATCGAGCACACACTCGTCGATGAAGCGATAAAGGAACCCGTTCGGCAGATTGAGGTGCGCATAGGTCGCGTGCAGGGGTAGCGCTGGCTCTCCTGTCACCGTCACCCACTCATGGGGGTGGCCATGGTACTGGCGCCGGGTACCCCCCTGGCCGATGACGTGCAACAGATCCCTCCATTCGGGGTGGAGGGTGTCCGCCGCAACTTTTAGACTCGACCGGATATGGCGCAGACGAGTCGAGAAACCCTCGCTAAAGCCGGTGCGGTATTTGCAGAACCGGTAGACGCCGGAGCTGGCGAAGATCAGGGCGGGCCAGCCGCCTGCATCTTTGATTTCCTTGTACCCGCGCCAGATTGCCCTATTTCGTTAGTGGAGGTTTAGAAAAGGAAATGGTGGATTGAGATACATTCTGTTTCGGAGGTCCTTTTCCTTCCAGTTGAGGACTGCACAGGCCTCTTTCAGCGCAGTCATTCGTGCTTCAGTACTGGATAAATGCGGGTTCTCCAGCCGGATGACGGCAATACGTGCTTCATAGCATTCAATCCAGTAGGCCTGGACGATCATCTCCAAGGCGCGAGACGACTGGCTCTGATTGTAGTATTTCATGCACAGAGTGTTGACAGCTCGGAAGACCTTTTTTGTCAGCGAAGCCTACCCGACTCGATCACCGCTACTCACATCTCCACTGACACCAGTGCGGATATTAATCGTGGGTTCAGCCACCTGTCCGATTAGCAAAGTAACGCATGTCGATCAGAAACATACAGCAGGAACTCGGCTCAGCTTCACAGGTGAGTACATCTGTCTCCAGATCCCCGCAATCAACTTGTCGGTTGATGTAGGCTCCAGGACCGGCGCGGCGTAATCCTGTCCGGCTTTTCTACGCTGCGGAAACCCGGTGTCACTATGGACCTGGCGGACTGATCTGGAGACTGTGCTTTGATCCTCTGTGGAAGAAGTATCGCCACTATGGTCCGGCTCTGGAGACTCTACAATTGTCCCGGCGGGCTGAAGATGTCGGGATGGTCGCAGACCGCTGACCGTCTTGTGACGTTTGGGAGGATGTGCTTCCTCATTTTGGATTGATCTGGGGGTGAGCGGTGCGTTTTCATCCGTTTCGTCGTCCTAGAAAATTAGCATGCAATTTTACCAGTCGAGATGGACATACTCGAGGTGGAGTAGCAGTTGGAGTGATTGGGGAATATGGAATCACTTGTCCATTCTTAAGATCAATGCAGCCCTAATAATGTAAGAATACAGTATATAAGCCTCATACCACGAAGGATAAGTACCAAAAGTATTGTGCCAGGAGGCGAACGAGATGCATCCTTTGTACAGATAGACGCTTCTATGTGCAGGACAAGATGATCTTTGCTCTCGTAGCTCTCCTTTGCGTTATGGTTACTCAAAATCGATGCCAGCTGCGAGGGAAATTGCTGGTTGCCCAGCAGCGTGCACAATTGCGATACCAACGGAACAGCCATGCCATTGAGTCGAGCGATATCAAATCATAGATGAGATGAAGAAGATGTGTATACCCCAATCCCCTATTCGTATGTAGAAAATCTGCCCGCGCAGAAAAAGCTGCTGACTCATCGAACAGAACTGCCAGCGCATGACGTCAAGCATCCCGATTGGCTCGGAGTATGCAGTATATGGACGAAGCCGGAAGCGTTGAGTCCATGAGAAGAGCGTAGGAGCAGTTCTGAAATGAAGGTAGAGAAAAAGAGTGATGACTGCGGTGCGCCCTCTGTTGTGTCTCAGCACCCTTCAGCTGTCACGATCACTCATATCACTCCATACATTCCCCAACGTTGTCACCCAAAATCAACCTCCCCACCGGGAGATTTTCAACGGACGTTCGATCACCCTCTGATGAGGCCAAGAAATCCAAGACAGAGAATAGCATAAAAGCTCTCCAATTCCTCCTCTAAGCTCATTTCCCCGTCGCAAGTCTACCTCCATATACTCATCTCATGCATCATTCAAGACTCGCGCACAATCATCATGTCCCCCGACCAGCCTCTAACAAGAGAAAAATCCTGGCTGTCATACACCTACGAAGGTCGCAAAGGATGGAAGTCCCTCCGCGCTCTGAATCTCTTTCGGGGCATGTATCACGACGTGCGTCGAAGGTTGCCCTACTACTGGAGTGATATCGCAGATGCATGGACGTACCGTGTTGTTGCGAGTACGATCCGGATGTACTTTGTTAAGTGCGTTTCTCTTTCTACTCTTGCCCGCTGTTGAGGGCGTGTACTGATAACGGCAGTATGCTCCCTGCCATTGCATACACCCTAGATATGTACCGCCGCACAGGCGAATTCTACGGCATCAACGAGGCGCTCTTCTCGTCTGCGCTGGCCGCTATGATCTTTAGTGTGCTTGGTGCGCAGCCGTTGACTATCGTGGGTATTACGGGGTTGATCTCGCTGTTTAACTACACTATCTATGATATCGTGACTATCTATGAGCCGGCCATCTACCCGAATTTCATGTGCTGGACGGCCATCTGGGCGGCCATCTTCCATTGGATCGTGGCTGTCTGTAACCTGTGTGACTATATGCGCTATGTCACGGACTTTTCGTCCGAGTCGTTCGGTGCCTATGTTGGGATTATCTATTGCAGTGAGTTCACCCTGCGGGTATGGGAGTCGTAACGTACTGACAGTAGTAGTCAAAGGAGTCGAGGAACTAGTAAATGAGTTTACCACGCAGGGCAACACCGCCGGGTTCATGAGCACCATGATTGCCATCCTGTACTTTCTCACCATCTACGGCCTGGAACGGCTCGGGTCCAGTACCGTCTGGAAACCGTGGTTCAGGGGCTTACTGGCCGACTACGCATATGTAGTATGTATCCCCGGTATGCGAAAAATCCAATCACTCACATGTACAGATCGGGACCATCTTCTGGGTAGGCTTCTCGCATATACCCGGTAACCTCAAAGCCACCCACGTCTCCTTCGTCCCCATCACCCGCGCCTTCTATCCTACCCAGCCACGCGGCTGGCTCATCCATTTCTGGGAACTCGACGCCAAATGGGTCTTCGCCGCACTGCCCTTTGGGTTCCTCGTGATGCTCCTCTTCTACTATGACCACGTATGCCTCCTCACTTTCCTTTAACAAGCGCAACACTAACCCAGAGCAGAATGTAAGCAGCCTAACCGCTCAGGCAAGGCAATTCCCCCTCAAGAAACCCGCCGGTTTCCACTGGGACTTCTTCCTCCTGGGCTGCACCACCTTCCTAGCAGGCATCACGGGCATCCCCATGCCAAACGGCCTAGTGCCGCAGGTACGGCAATCCCCCTATTTCTTTCATCCTAGCTAAACGATATCCAGGCCCCCGTCCACACAGACTCCCTAACCATTTACGAAACCTCCCTCCGCACCATCTCCACCTCCGAAGGCGAGGGCGCCGAAATCCGCCGCCCAGTCGTAACCGCCAGCGCCGTCGTCGAGCAACGCATCTCCCACTTCCTCATGGGCCTGCTCATCATCGGCACCATGACCCGCCCGCTGCTGGTGGTCCTGCACACGATGCCCGCCGCCGTCTTCGCAGGCGTCTTCTTCACCGTCGGCTGGGGCTCCATCGAGTCAAACGGCATCCTCCAGAAATTGATCTTTCTTGCGCGCGAGAGCCGCTTCATCCAGCGCGATGAGCCGCTGTTGACTGTACGACGGCGCAAGATCGCGCTGTATATCGCCTGTCAGGCGGTGGGCGTTGCCGCGACGGTGGCCATCTCGCAGACGATTGCGGCGATTGGGTTCCCGATTCTGATCATTGCGTTGATTCCGTTCAGGGTGTGGATTATGCCGAGGTGGTTCAGTGCCGAGGAGCTGGATGTCATGGATGATTTGACGGCGAACAATAGTGCGGTGTTGGCCAGTCTTGGGGGTCCACCGCGGTTTCCGGGACAGCCTGATAATGAGAGGTTTGGGCTGGAGCGGCGCTATTCTGAGCGAGGGTTTGGGTTGGCGAGGCAGAGGGCGGGGAGTATCCATCGTTAGGTTCGGGATGTATTGCTAGAGATGATGCAAGAGATAAATAGCGTGCGTTAGGGTGAAAAGTTAGAACACTTTCGTACTCGAACGATCTGTGAGAATAAGAACTACAACATGAACTTTTCCTTCAGTAACCTACATCGCATTATTGACCTCTTCAAGGATGTTTACGATAAGCCAGCAGGAATCTCCCAATTGCCAGGTGACCATTTGCCTGTGCCAGTTTCGCCGCTCTTTTTCTCTTGACCTCAAGCTCTTCGGTATCCAGATGATAGTTCAACAGGAGATGCAGAGTGTCAAGCCTGCCATTCTCTGCAGCGGCATCGATGGCATTTAATCCCTGCTCAATGGCAGGTGCTCCATTGGCATCTGCCCCGGCATGAAGTAGCATCATCACAATGCGAATGTTGCCGCGTATCGCGGCCCCTTGCAAGGCTGTGACACCACCCAAATGTGCTGCTGGAGAATTGACTTCGGCTCCATGAGCCAGTAGATATTCAGAGAGCTGCACATAACCCGAGCTTGCAGCCTCTTGGAGAGCAGTCTGACCTCGCACTGGACTGGGCAAGCCGTTGACATCAGCCCCATGATGCACCAGGAGGTCTGTCATGACTCGATGGTTCTCTGACACTGCTGTTTGCAGGGCAGTCTTCCCTCCATGCTTGTTTGCTGGTGCATTGACGTCAGCGCCCCATTCGAGCAGTAACTGGACTATGTCAATAGTTCGCCTAGAAACGGCGGCCTGAAGAGCCGTGACATTGCCAGGAGAGCTGGTTTCCCAGCGGTGGTTTACGTTGGCCCCTGCAGAAAGCAGACAGTGCACCACTCTGTAGTTGTGCCTTTCTACTGCAATTTGAAGAAATGGCTTCGACTGAGTGCCCGGGTTATTGTTAACGGCTGCCCCCCCTTTGAGCAGCATCTCCAGCAAAGGCACGTCGCATTTCCAGCGGGCCAGAGCTAGCCCTATGACTTGACTCTTCGTAATGGGTTCAGACGATATGCCGTCCGGTTCTTTATTGAGGAAAAGCTGGACTAGCTCTTTATCACATCTCTCGGCGGCAGCTTCCATCACCGAGATTCCGTGAGATTCAGCTCTGTGTGACTTGATCTCTGCGCCAAACTCCAATAGCATCTTTGCCGTAGACACATGGCCGTTTTCAACTGCTGCCTGCAAGGCTGTACGTCCTCCAGACCGGCAAGGCGGGCCGTTGACGTCTGCTCCATGGCCTATCAATACCTGGACCAGATCCTCATTGCCTCGGGACGAAGCTTGCTGCACAGGGGTTAGGCCTGTCTGCGCACAAAATCCTACATTCGCGTTTGTGCCTTTCTCCAGGAGCTTCCTCGTCATTGCCTTGTCTCCATTTCTTACTGCGGCATGAAGAGGGTCGTATTGATTGTAGTCGAGACCCTCAGTATTCGCGCCTGCGCGCAGCAGTAGGTAAACTATTTCATTCCGTAATGCCGAGCCTCTGATTTGGATAGCTTCCTGGAGAGCTGTGGCCCCTCCAGTGCAAATTGGGTCGGTGTTGACAGCTGCATTTGCATCAAGAAGAATCCTGACCCCTTCGCTGTTACCCGCGGCGACTGCTATTTGCAGGGCAGTTTTGCCTTCGCGTAAGGCCGGCGGAGCATATACATCTGCCCCGTGCCTTAGCAAGATGCTCAACACCGTCGTATCCGAATGTATAGCAGCAGCCTGAAGTGCTGTCCTTCCACGATAGACGCCCGCTGGGGCATTGACGTCCGCTCCTTTCCGCAGGAGGATTTCAGTGATCCTTTTATTCCCGACCATGGCAGATATCTGGAGCGCGGTGTGGCCATACTTTCCTTCCGGCCTCTCGTCGATATGAGCTCCTGCGCTCAAAAGCATGCGGGTCATGGTGATATTCTCTTCCCTGACAACTGCTTGCAATGGTGTAAACACGGCCAGGTTGGCAGAACCCCAGTCGTGTTTGTCAAGTTCGTGATCTAGGAGTTCAGGTGGGCATTTCTTCAAGCTGGCGTTAATAGCAGCTCCTTCCTCCAGCAGAAGCTGGACCACCTCCCAATTCTCGTTTTCCGCCGCTATAAGGATGGCTGGCTTAAAGGAATCGGGAACACAAATACAACCCTCAATGCAATAGAATGAATCGTATTCTGAATCGGAGTCTGCATCGCCGTCCCCGAGATAATCGGAATTTCGATTGTCACATCGGTAAGTTGTGCGAAAATCAATGTTCGCGCCTGCAGCTATTAAAAGCTCGACCATTTCGGCATTGGCAGAGTCACGGCATGCCATTTGTAGAGGTGCGCCACTCTTGGAGGTTATGAAAGAGTCGGGGTTTGCTTTGTTATCAAGAAGGAGTTGCACCAAGCCGGGCTTCCGATTCTCGACAGCAAGTTGCAGAGGCGTGGGTTCGGCACAGTCTTGCAGCGGATTAACATGAGCTCCAAACTGGAGCAAAAGGTCCACAATATCAAGGGCTTCGGACATAAGGCATGCAGTGTGTAGCGGTGTCTCCCAGTCCACTGCTAGATTGGGGTCTGCACCGGCCTCCAGCAGCATCCTTGCACACTCCGCGTCATTGTTCTCGGTTGCTCGGTGAAGAGCTGTTGTTCGCATGCCTGTCGGCCCACTAGGTGCATCTAGGTCCGCTCCAGCCTCGATAAGGATCCGGCAGATCTCAATGTCTCCCACGGCCGCCGCACTAGCTAATAGGTTGCTCACGAATATCTGAATTGCTGTGGACGTTGATTTCAGGAGGGCCTTAAGTTTTGACTGAGAGCCGCTCTCTTAATAAGCAAAACCAGCTCGTCCGCTGACAGGCGGTTCATCAGGTTATTGGATGACGGATAGGCGAAGAGACTGAGACAGTGAGACAAATTTTCCGGGGAGGGCGATTGAAATATAGCCTCGACTGTAGCGTCGGCTATAGCCTCGGCTCGTCTTGTCAAATTGCGGTTGACATCCCCTACGGTGATAGGCTCCAGGGCTGAGATTAGATCGTCGGAATCAGAAGTGCTGTACGGATCTGCCTGAAATAAGAGTGTCTGTCGGGTCTGTTGAGCAATGGCGTAGCTGATGGTATCAAAGTCGTACCGGATATGTGTGCTCATATTTGTAGATGTTGGTGTCCTAGAAGATGTTACAGGCGGACAGTGGTCCAAGGTAGCACTCTCGAGATAAGAAGGTGTTGCGGAGGGTGCCTCATTCCCCTGGAAAGAAAGCTGCGAGTACCTCAGCTCCGGGAATTCAACATGGAAGGCGAGAGGGTCCCGTTCGGTGGATTGGGACCTTGTTGAAGTTCCAACATTGATACCATCCACGCTCAGGCTCTGGGAGCAGTCTATCGCAACGACGTTCGCGGAAACGCCGGACTCAGTACCATCTATGTCTATTCGGGGTACCCACGACAACCCTTCAGGGGTCTTGGGGTCTGAGATGATGAACAAGTGAGCATATCGACGAGGTGAGTGGGAAGCAGGATAGAGAACGAGTCGTATATAGATACGCACCAGAGTCTCCCATCCACAAACATTGCGACAATAATGAGACGTGACGCGCTGTTTCCTTTCTGACCTTTGGTTCAGGAATAAGGTTGCCGTGCACCCTGACCTCGCCTGGGTGTTTTCCGTTTCGTTTTCGCTTCTCGCGACGATGCGCAACAAATTTCCACTCCTCGTCGGTCAAATTCTTTTTGAACCTCCACTTCTTGAACTGTCGGGTATACTGAGGTGCGCTGAGACGTTCTCTCAGTCAGGACTGAACACCTTTCCAGGGGTTTTACCAACTGACCTTTTGCGGAAACTGTGCCTTTGGGACATATGCTCTTGGATCTGCTCTAAAGTCCAGCGCTGATCCAGCCACAAGGCCTTGAGCTCATCGCGGTGCCTCTGCCATTCGGTCTCTTCTTCCTTGGTTCGAGCCATGAGTTCTTTTTTCCGTTGCTTGTTTGATGACTCTTTTTCTTTCGAAGGGGGCCGTCCATGGCTCGTTTATATTCCCCATCTCCATGGGTGTAGATAGCGCCATACGAAAGGGAAGAATTTCCTCGCTGAATTCTCCTTGGATCGTACCAGAAGGTACAGATCCTGTTTCTGGAGGCTCACAGCCTTGTCGAATCAATAATGGCTTGCGGCTGTGTATATTCTGGTCTCGACAAATGACAGCAGGCAACGTCGCGCTGGACTAAACGTGATCCCTGAGTCCCTGACACGGGGTGTTAGACACCCAAGCCTTTCATTCTTTTCTTTTATTTATTTAATTATTTGTTTGTTTTTACTTTTTATTTTATTTTACTTTATATTTTCCAGCGACACCAGCAGACCGCAATTCTGGTAATCCTCCAGCTACCAAGGTAAGGTACTTCGTGCCTTGCACCTTCATGCTTCCCTTCACGTCTTTCGTGACAGACCTGGGTTGCCAAAATTATCTCTAGGCAACACAAGGGTAGCGATACTCTGGGACAAGCCTGATACATTGCGAGACATTCGCCGGATTAGAACAACGTTCTTGGTTGAGAGCAGTTGCAGCTCAAGATCCCAGCAATCCCGGTTCTGGCAATATGCTTTGTTTTACCAACATTGTACACAGGGCACGCGATATCTTTAGAGGCTTCGGAATGATTGCAAGTGATCTCTAAATTGGAGGGAAAGACATTGTTTGGGCACCATTAGAAGGTACAGGGGGGAAATGTGGCCTAAATCGCCAGGTCAAATCTGGAATGACCTCGGCATGCAGTACAGCCTCAACTCATCCTGTGCCTAGTAACACGATGGAACACGAAAATATAGTTTTCCTATAATAATATTAATATGAGGAAATTTAGAAAAGAACTGAATTTTATTTCAAAATATTTTAAGTATTTTCTAGTCCCCAATACTTCTCTATAACCCCCTATAACTAATATTACGGGATATTTTTTCTGAATTTCTAATTAATTTTGGAAGAGGGTTGGTATAAAAGCACCGGTCCAGAGCTGCGGGCTGCATCTCTCAGGCAAGGACATGCAGCAGTAGGGCGGTATCCGTACTTCTTTTATTTATTTCTTTTTGTAAATTACTATAGTTGTACCAAAAGTCTACTATATGTTATACTTCTACTAATACTTTTCCAATAAAACTTGTAAACCTATGTTGATAGATTGATACTAAATAATATATATTCTTATTTTTACACTATAAATAAGTATGTTGAGGCTACATATCATAGAATATGGCCTCGGACCCATGATCGGGGGATGGAGAGTTTTGAAGCCGACCACCGGGTGTGGCTACCTCTCTCACCTCAGCTCGCCATAGCAGTTAGTGAGGGAGTTGAGAGCTCGCTGAGCTGCTATTGGTCAAGACCAGAATATCAGTGATCAATAACGTAATCAACCACCGAGCGACGAATACCACCGAGCGACGAATTTTTGCCGCTTCTAATACTATTTTGAAGCTTTTCAACCACCAACATCATTAGACTTGACTATCTAGTAGCTGAATATATAGCTATATATTAGGACAATTCCTTCTAGTATGTCCAATAGTCCAACAGCCACTGCAGCGTGGTGGAGCCCGCTGACGAGGTATAGGTGTAGGCTCACTGACCTGCTCAACAAGAGGCATATCAAGCTGCTGAATGCGACTTTGACCTTCCTGTACCGATAAAAGGATATCATTACCTAGGTTAGCACGCCTCCTTGCCTTATTTCTCATCTTTCGCTCATTCTCAGCCCGTAGAACCTTGATTTCTTCTTGAAGAAGAAGGTTCATATTCATTGCCATTTGTGCAGCCTTTTCAAGATGTTGAATATGGGATACTGGACTGCTAGAAAGCTTTCTTTTCTGAAGACTTCTCTGCAGGCTGCGGACCTTTTGATCTAGTTGCCGAGGATTCTGAGGAGTTTGAAAAGCAGATGATATAGAGCCTTCAAGAAGTGGTGGTGTTGGTGTACGGAGTTGAAAAGTAATCTTTTCAAGCACCTGGTCTTCATTAAGTGGTTTAAGACCAGCACCTGCGAAGCCACTGTGTATATTCTTCTGGATAAAGACCCTCTCACGTGCAGATGGATATAGGTGTAGGAAGTCTTCCTTATCAATATGGTTGTTCCCAGCAACCATCATTCCTTCAACTAACTTCCCATATGCGCGCTTTAGTGGACCAAAAACGCCAACATCCAGTGGTTGCAGAAGGTGAGAAGTATGTGGTGGCATGCAAAGGCAGATAATTGCATTCTCCTTGCAGAAAGCATCAAATTCTGCAGTCTGATGGCTAGAATGGCCATCAAGAATAAGTAATCTCTTTGCACCAGTTGAATGCCGCCTTGAGTGTGGCTCAAATACCTCCTTAAGCCAGCGAAGGCCTATTATATCAGTTGTCCAGCCATTATCACTCTTTGCAATTAACCAGCTTTGAGGAACTGCTGGTTCTTGATACCAGGTAGCCTGTTGCTCTTTCCCCTTTAAGATAACCACTGGTGGTATAGAAACCCCCTTTGAGCTCACACATTCAATTATTGTAACCCATTCACGGTTCCCCTGAATGACAGTACGGGGTCTCTCACTGCGATCCACTGCAGTGATAACCTTCGAAGTTGTACAGAGTCCCATTGCAAAGCCAGTCTCATCAAAGTTCCAGATATCATCCTTATAGATGCCATATTCTTGAATAGCCTCATGCACAATTGCAAACCACTGTTTTATCACCTTTGGATCCTCCTGCTTTGCACGCTGGTATGTAATCCTCCGGTTATATCGTGTGCAAAGGGCTGGATGGCGTTTAATAAACTTATATGCCCAGTTGACACCAATGGTTGCGGTAGGATCCCGTGTACGCTCATGGAGTAAGATCTGCGCCATTCCACGCAGGTACTCTGGTCGAATCGAAAAGCCCCGTTTATCTGCATCTAGCAGACGCTTGGTAAGAACTTCTTCTTCCAGGGCTGTCAATTTATGGCCATTAGCACGTGTTTCTGAGCGTGGTTTTCTTCCATTAAGGCGAGCGCGAAGGGTAGGCTCAGGCACGCTAAAGGTCTCTGCAGCGCTCAGTACTGATTTAATTTTTTTATTCTTAATGGCTGCAATTGCCATTTGTATCCGATTTTCTTGAGATAAAGGCATTTTTAATAGTAGTGGTGATAAAACAACGCGTTGAAGAAAGGAAGTGGGTGGCGTAGGGAGAAATTCGTCGCTCGGTGGTTGATTACGTTATCAGGTACTCCAAGTTAGGTAAGCTCCCTCATATGCCACCAATGGTAAGCTATCCGATTGGTGTTTACCATATTCAGATTTCAGTCGGTTAACAGGTCGTTCATCTCGAGGTTGATTAGCGTCTACTCAATGCTTCACGTCATTTACTATGGAGGATAAAAAAGATAAAAGGCTCTTTCCTGTCATCTCAGCATGGCTTTTCTTCTGGACACAATCGACAACTTCAGCCTGTCTGTCTTCTGAGGATAGTCAATAGATCAAAGAATGGGCTGGTCAGTGGAGGCTATCATTGCACTTGTTACTCTACTTGTTACTGGCCCTGCATCTCTTCTTCTACTGTGGAATCATTTCGAACACCGCAATATACAGATTTTTAGAGGTGAGTGCTTTATACCTACACAAGAGTGAACAGAAGGAAAGAGTTAACCTAGATCCTCATAGATCGTGCACAGTCCGGAGTCATGCTCCCATGGACGCTGACACGAATGGACACCGAGTATAGCCCCCGACTTCTCGAGGCTGGCCTGAGTACCTACCATGTTCCTGCAGGTCAGTGCTGCGATCTTACCAGAGCTGATCTGAGCTTTCCTACGCCTGTTCTTGCCGCTAATGACCTTTATTCTTGAGATGCGCAGAGATATCTATCCGTCAAAGAGCCGTTGCAGAGGTCCAGGTGTCGTACAGGTTGGCGGATGAATAGTTACACTGAGCTGGTGCAACCGAGAACGGGTATATAGTGGATAGACCCCGTCAGAGCCACTCATTGTCCTTTGTCAAAAGCTATAGAATATCAAGACCGTGTATAGACATTAGCAATTTGCTTACATGAGTGACATTCCTTCTGATACCTGCTTATTTCAGTGTTCCACTCGTCCCTGCTGGAGGTACAGCAGGATCAGGAATTTGAGGAGACGGGTGTAGTTGCGCGGATGTGTTTGGCGGTCTCTGGAGCGAGACATACGGACCGCTTGTTGGGTTGAGGTTCCGCCAGTGCAGAAGGTGGGTACTCCACTGCTGAGGATGGAATGCGATGTGATAATTCATTCAGGTGCAAGGGTCTTTTCACTAGAATGCGCCGTTGATGCACTTGATCCTCAGCGTTGGATGTTTCACGCCATTCTTCCTAGAGATGTGTATATGTCAGTTATTGATAATGGATAGATGACGTGCATCCATACTGTTATGAATTGCAGCCGTCCCTTGGTCTCTTCTTGAAGGTCTGACGGGGTAACCTGGTTGGGTGAAGACGGATGGTCGCTGGGATCCCGGCAGGCCAATATGATTGCATACGAGAAAGAAATAGAGACCCACTCTACGTCTAGGCGTAGATCCAAACTAGGCTAAATAGGGTCCCATCTTTGGCCAGGTGGTGCTACAAAAGACAACAATGATCAGTATTTGAGAGCAGGAGGTAATTTATGGATCCGCCTGTCTGGTGATGGTATCTGCGAGTATTTAAGAAAGTCAACAAGAATGAATGGCTTCAATGTCAGGCAGAAGAGCGAATAGCGTCACCACTCACCAGTCAATCTCTGGGGGAAAAAGTCAAGGAATGTGTTGCTGAGCATGAGCATCAATCCAACGATCTCGGCAAGTCAAAGTTCACAACGTCTATAATATTATGAATACTATCAAAGTATATACTCGAGTGGTATACTCGAACAATCACATCAACCCTCAAAATCCTCCCGGATGATTCCACTCTGATCACACATACTGCGGAAGATGCCGCCCTT